TTACCGTGCAGCAAAAAATGTTGGCTCATAGTTTTTCTTCCTTTCCATCCTTCTCTTTGGGTATAGTTGTTGACTTGGGATTCGGTATTTTATTTTTTTGAATTATAATTTATATTTGAATATTGTTTAAGAGCTAAATTAGATGATGTACCTCTGGAGGCTCCCATAGACTATCTGCCACATCATCAGCAACTTCAGTCAGGTTATCGTCCATCACATCTCGACGCCGCTGCATGTGCCGAGTTTGAATCAAAGAATAAAAATGCTGCTCAACAGATTCTTCAAGAATGTTGTCAAGCATGTTTTTATCAAAAAAATAAGGAGTATACCTGATAAAGAGAAGATGAGGAAGTGGCTGTTAGATACCGCAAAAGACACTAATCAAATTTAGTATGAGCAAATGGAGAAACAACTTCTGCATGTATATTTGCGGGTAAGAATTTAATGAAGAAGTTGGTAACTGACAATGAAAAGAAGCGTGACTAATCCATAAAATCAAATCCAATATCAAATATCTGACTATATAAATTAGACAGACCAATTTAGAAAAGAAATAAAAGATAAGGACTAGACTCCTGCCAAGTGAATCTGAAGAGAACTGAGAGAGAGAGAGAGAGAGAGAGAGCTGCTTGAACAGGGGATACATAGAAAGGAAGGAAGAAAGGAGCTAATGACATTTGATGAAGGACATAATCAAGTGTAAAGTGCCAACCAAGTAAGAGAACTGCTAACAGGAAATGTCAAGTTCTTAATCAATAAAATTGACCGAGTATTTCCAGATTCAGAATCTTTTAATGTATTTCCAGCATGTCAGAATTCTGCACATTGCTAACAGGAAATGTCAAGTTCTTAATCAATAAAATTGACCAAGTATTTCCAGATTCAGAATCTTTTAATGTATTTCCAGCATGTCAGAATTCTGCACATTTTTAGGGAAGGAAACTCATGTGCTGACTGGTTAGCAAATTGGGTCATTCACTCTTGTGATGTGAATGACACCTTAATTTTAGATAGGCCGCTGAAAGGTTTGATTCCTTTATTGATAGGAGATCAGGTCGGATCTAGTTTTTTTAGGTGATTTCTGGCATAACTTTTGGGCTTCGCCCCTTTCAATACCAAATAAAAAATAAAATATAAAAGTTGACCAAGTAAAAGTGAGATGCCGCAACAGATTCGAGTCTCAAATGGATGAAAAGAGACATGCGTAGAAGACCTTACCATTTGATACCATCTGAGGTTGCTATTGCAATGTCTAAATTTTGGGCACTAAATACGGGAACACCATCAATTTGTCTATTTCCATTACCCTGAGATATTGTCTTCAGAAGTTTGTTGGCTGCCTTGACCTTCAAAGAAAAACGAAAAAGCTTAGAAATACATAAATTTGCAGGCACATTGAGTAAGATGGTCTTGCCAGATACCTGTTTCTCGTTAGGAACAAACTGGAACATGTGAGGTTTCTCCTGCATAAAGATTAAATCAAAAGATGAGTCACTATATATTAGTGGGAGGTATAAACTTATCGCGGATATCTCAAACTGGAATCTGTGATTTCCCTAAAAAAGTTGTACAAGTAGTGTCGACCATTTTCAACTGAAACCCCAGACTTACAGATTCTCTGAAAAACTTCACATCTCTCTCGGCTTACATTCCTCTCTACAATCCCAAGAAACAATTTCTTAGCTATGGGTTAACAATTGCTTGAAGGCTAACCCTCACATTTTAATGAACTATCCATCCCAATATTAAAATTGTAATGAACACAGAAGTTGTGAAGCTTAAGCAGAAATTTTCAATGAAACATAGCATCAAATCATATTGAACAACAGGAAAGAGGTAGTGACATATATCCACTATACGTGCTATATATACTAGTACATATTCTATAGATAGGAATGTTCAGCACTCCTTGGATTGCAACATAGAAACAACAGAACTAAAAGAAGATGGCAAATGGAGCCGAAAAGGAAATCGACTGCGATGGGTATCATGTGCACTATGCAAGAAAAGACAACTTCCACGGCGATAGGGTCCAAGGATATATCAAGGGCTGGCAAATGGAAAGGCTTTTCAATTGGGAAAAACAGTACCTTGAAATGCTCATATGCTAGATCCAGTCGACAAGCACCCACGACGCCACTTGGGATGTTCAACCGCTTAACGTAAGTAACTACAAAATACACATCCGATCACAACTTGAGTCATCATCTGTGCATTCATGTGCATGCATATAGAGTGAGAGTGTCAGTTCAGAAAGGAGCACGCAATTCGTTGAGCTTGAGTAGTAAGTAATTATTCAATTCGTGTACACCAATAAGAGCAGACATCTTCCATCAATTTGACTGAGAATAGGAGGCTTCACAGAGAGAATTGAATGAATTCTAAAGACACAACTATGATCATACAACAGCAAAGGCTACAGAGAAAAGAACATGTCTTTAGCCACATAGCAATGGTTGGCAATGCCCTCGAATATAGTGAAGAGCTTCATCCTAAAGCAGTTAAGAGTGAGAAGCATGCTCATATTATAAAAGCAAAATCATACCTGCGTCGCCTAAATCCATGAAGAACCGGAAGACAGGGCCATTCCTCTCGCTCTTGGTAATCGAAGCGAACACCTTCTTCAGCCACTCCGGCGTTCTGCACACCAGTTAAAGTAGCAACAAAAACCCTAAGACCTTCAACCATCGCACCGAAGCGATCAATAGACCAAGGAAAGCACAACTGCACAGCAGACAAACCGCTTCGAAAGGAAGGGAACATCAAAGTGCGTGGACACGGCCATGAGGCCAGTCCCCGACAGGTCACACATGCTGAACACCTGCCCGACGAAGGCCGGCCCGCCGCCCTTGCCGTTCGATTTGATCGACGAAATCCGCACCGTCGACGGGAACGCCCCGGAGCTCGACCCGGCCGGGGCCTCGGCCGCCGGCGCCGATTTGAGCGGCGTCGGGTGGGGCGGGGCCGGCGACTCGGAGGGCGAGGTGATCGACACGGCGGGCGGGAGGTGGACGGGGAGGAGCAGCTTGGAAGGCGGCGGAGGAGGCGAGGAGGCCAGGGGAGGGGGGGCGGCCTTGTGGTTGGGGATGAGAGAGAGGAGATTGGAGTCGAGCAGGTGGGAGAGAGGGTTGGAGCGGTGGCGGCGCTTGTGCGGTGGCTCGGGGGAGACGGCCATGGCGGAGCTCCGCTCGGGCGCGCGACGGTGTAAGCTGGAGGGAAGGGGAGGTGGAGGCAACGAGGGATAAGGAAGCGCGGAAGCTTCGTTCTCTTCTCTCTCTCCCTCTCGCTCGGCTTCCTTCTAGATAGACTGTCCGTGTCATTAATTAGACCGGTTCACGCGCGCTGGCGCGACTCGCCTGGTTCGATCGGTGCGTCGTCGCTAACGACACCGTCAATTAAAGCCAAATGGCACAAAGGAAGGCGAGATTATAAATTTTAACCAAAATATACGACATATAAAATATAATGTATATAAGAAAATTTTGTTTTTCTTTGCTAAAATTAAAGAGAAAATCGGAGGCCAGTGGGTGCAACTTGCAAGCAAGTGGTTCTTAAACTTTTATGGCTGTGTATGATCATGTGTTGGCATTGGCAAAAAAGAAACCATATAATTCGGGGTATTTTTCCGAATTCGATCCTGCTCTTTAATTCTTATGTAAATATGGAATTATTAATATTTTGACTAACAGAAAATATATCTTGTCATTTTAATGAATTTTAAGTAAATAAAAATCATCTGGCATGTCCGAACCAATTCAAATGCAACCTCATAAATCCGGCAGTTCAAACCAGGCCGTTTTAAAAATTCACTAAGGTGAGAAGACCATCCCAGCCTAACAAGGGCCACAAAACCCAAGCCGATTTGATCTTAAGCTAGTCTAGATTTTGGGGCGTTCAGGCTATTTCTTCGCTCAGGATAAGGGCCCTTCATGGAAGGAGACGAAGAGGAAAGCTGAAACAAAATCTGAGGTATAGTTAAACTCATCAAACGGGTTGGGTTTGGATAATATTGAAAATTGTTCGACCTAAATAGATTCATTTTACTCGTTTTAATCCATATTTCCATGCAATGCAAATATAGTAATCAATACTTGATCCAATCCATATCCCATTCGACTCATATTGCCAAAACACTTTCATATTTAACTCAATATAAGAAAATTCAAATCCAAACTGAGCTGAGAGTGCATAATGAGTGAGAGCGAAATCGAGTGAGGACGAGAGAAAATGAAGAGCGTCGTAGACGCGAATTGGGTCTAAGTAAGTTATAAACTCATTTATGATCTATTTACAATCCATTTAATACCCATATCATGCTTTAACTTATTTATGACTCATTGAGTGAATATAATAAATCTACATAAGAATTTAACCAATCATATATGTGTTAAGACATGGGTCTATGACCATTTTGACAGGTCTAGGTTGAGTGACCACAGTTGTATCGGAAAAGAAAAGGACAATTTTCTTAATTTTATATTGTGGAACTTTATTATGCCTCTTTTTAGCAAACTACCGCAAATTTTTTTTTTTTTGATAGATTTTTATTTTCTTTCTTTTTTTCCTTTCTTCAAGGCGCTGACAGAGTCGCGTTGATTATCGCCGTGCTCCGCGAGGTAGTGAGATCGGGCGAGACCCTTGGCGGTGCCCCGGTCGGCTGCGATTCGGGGGCCCTGTCGCCCGACTCGCCTCCGGGATCGAGCCGTACCGCAACCTCCCGGCCGACGAGGAAGAAAGAAAAAGTAAAGAAAAATAAAAAATATTTTTGTTTAGTGGTAAAATATGATTTCAGATTTATTAATAGAATCATTACTGGATGTGTTTTACCTGGACCACCCCTCGGTTCAAACCAAGAGACAAGTAGGGAAGAATTCATATTTCTGTGAGGTATCTCTCTAATATAGTATCAGAGCCACACGATGCAAGATTCTAAGTACGAGCTGTGGATATGAGCACACGGAAACTTGAAAAAAAATACAAGAATGAACTCGACACAGGTCGAGCCGGCAAAATCAAGAGTAGGCGGGGCGGGTAGTCATTCAACACTAAAGTATATCGACATCGAACAATTTGTTCAGCAGGCGAACAAAATCAAAACGATTTGCATTGGGCACAATTCAAAAGTATAGCCTTGTTACTCGCCTGTACATTTATCGGACATCTCTGAGCAGCAGTGTTCTCCCCCTTCCTGGACAATCCAGAAAGCACCAACATAATTATATTGCAAATGCCTTCCTCGCACCAGCATGTGAACCACGAGTCTCCCCTCTATACTCTGGAACCTTTACTTCAGACGAGCACGGGGCACAAAACAAGCATAGACTTCTAGCACATTATCTGATGCCATGGAAGAGATAAACTGAACACATTCTCGCTTTAAACTGCTATAGATTCCACTATCAAGAACTTTACATACATTAGAGATCAATCAGATTCATAAACCCCGTCTATGTCGGGAATCATTTCATCGGCATCACTGGTGTTCCTTTCGGACACGCTATCAGACTCATTCAACTGCTTAGTGTCTTCAATCATTTCATGACCATTCACACTGCTGCTTTTGTTAGCGTCATTGAATTCATTCAGACGCTTTGCTGATATTCTAACACGCTTTCCTTTGATGTATCGGTACTCCCATTTTGGCGGTGGGTATTTCTTTGTTAATTTCTCATATTTGTCCATCATGCCCAGCCGTTGGAAGACATTACCCAACATTGAAACAATTGAAACATTGGGTTTAACTCCAAGTTCCTCCATATCAGCAAATACCTAAGAAGGAAGAATGAGGAAAAACAAAGGATCTTAAGATATAGTCGATGATGGGCCATGAGAATAAATGAAGTCCAATCATGCGCCAAGATGGTCTAACTGGCAAAAAAGAAAGGTGACAATTGAAAACATAGGTACCTTATATAAGCATAAGTACATCCTTACAGATGGTGAATAGTGAAAACCATATGAGCATGTGCATAGTGCATTTCCCAATAATATTTTAATGAATTGTGCATGTTTTCAGATGCTTGAAATTTCACTCTGTAATGAAGGGCTAAACCATAACCAGAGCAGTGCAAGCACAACTAAAAGAAAATCGAAAATCAACCTGCCATGCCCATCTCCAAGAACATTAGAGTACCAACAGCATCTTTTGTTCTCAGAAAAGTGACGTACACTTTAGTAAGATCAAAGAAGAGTACCTCAAACATCTTCTCATGCATGTCCCTCTTATAGTAGATTGATACCATTTTGTCGAAGAAAATACGAGGCGTGCCTTCCAGATTTTGAGAAAATATCGTTGCCCATAGTTCCTCAGCTTCGTCAAGCCTGCCATCTTCTGCTAATGCATTAAGCAATGTAAAGTAACTTCCCATCGTTCTTCCTTGACCTTTGCTTAACATCCACTTAGTGACCTATGGCACCAACAAGATTTTGGTGATTTTATAGTGGAGATTTCCAGGCAACTATGCAAGAGATAAGAACACAGAGAGCGGAGCGGCACAGAGGCTAGAGAAGTGGCACCTGTATTATTCTCTTCCATTCCTTTTCCTTCTCAAGTGTCTTCAAGGCTTTCTTGACTGTGATCAGAGGAAACTCAAGTTCCCAAGCAATAAACGAATCAAGTGCTCCATAAACTTCCTCTTTAACATTTGACAATCCCTTCACCTGAAAAGAGAGATTGTTAACCCAAAAACAGCTGTTTAAACATGCAAAGACACCACGTATCTTATGAAACAATTAATTTCAGAAAAATCAATGCCCTAATACCGGTCATATACTTATATTAGGTTCCTCAAGGAAAGAGATAAGTTCATAATCATACACAGTCAACAAGCTTTTCAGACTTGGAGATAGTCCCAATTTTCTTCCGTGATTTCCATACTCGAGGATATCTAGGCCGGGGACCTTTTGCCGCGCACACCTTATAATTGTCAAAAAGCCTCGTTGTAAGATGAGGAATTGCCATCTTATGTTCGCACTAAAGGAAACATCGAGACAATTTCTTTGTGTGCACTACTTCGATCACAAAACAGTAATTGCTAATGCATCATTGGGGCGAAAATCCATAAGTCATTCACTCTCTCATTTGCAGGTCAGCGATAAGCAGTAAACCCTGCGGAAAAAGCTTATTCAAATATAATGCATCCACAAGCTCATCTGTGATGGCCATTCTTATCGTACCACAGTACTTCTAATGCTTCCGGAGATTTGACTTGATTCAAATCTTCTCGTTATAGCTGGCAGAGAACACCTGAAACTAAGCATCCTGAAAGAAAAGCACAAAGAATCTGTAAACATAGCAGAATTAAGCTCAACAAAAAGCAAGTTACACAGCAAAGAACCACAAAAACGATTCCCTGTGTAACGACCCATTTCTCGGGATAACTCTAAAATTTCAAATTAACTCCCGTTTATGCTCGAGGTGCTGCTGACTGCGGACATTACACATTGAAATCGAAACTTCGCGCTTCTATCTACCACGATGTTATTTCAAAACAAATGACCTTCCGACAGCTTCCAATCGAAACAAAAACCAAGCGCAAAGGCAAGATTTACTGAAAGAACGCCATTTACACAAACTCACGCTGAAACTTCACTCTTTGGCCCAAAGAACAAAAGTGGTTATCGGACGACTGCGCAAAGTTCCGACCAACAGCAGTGCTCGTTCGCGGGAAAGAATGACAGAAAAACTTACCGTTCGGAACAGCGCGAGCCTCTACTTGAGAGAGACGGAATTTGATGATTTCCCTTCTTATCTTCTCGGAGAATCCCGTTTCACCGTTGAAATCTCTCTCTCTCTCGCTCTCACCTGCAAATTTCTATCACCATGAACACAGTGGAAAGAGAGAGATTCTGTCGCAGTCGAGTCCGAACTCCGAACTAAATCGCAACTGTGAGATTTGGGCTTGGGCCCGAAAGATGGGCATCTTGTTGGCTCTAAAGTTCGCCACTCAGAAACGGATGGGCCCATAAAAATTAAATAGAGAATAATTTAACAACCAGAAGGAAAAGCTTCCTCCAGATTTTAACTTCGTTTTTTTTGCTGTCAATTATAAAGAGAGGATAAAGAAGAAATACTGAATTTTTAATTTCCCTTTAAAAGGAGAAAGTTAAGATTATTTATGACATTCATAGTAGACTTTTTTAATGTTTTAATAAATTACATTTTTTTTAGTGAAAGCCATATGAGTGAATGTTTTTGTATGATAACGAACGCTGACTCTATCAGTGTATTTTATCATGGGAAGCATTTTATTCATTTATTTTTACTATTGTTAAATTTGCCCCCTCCCAAAAAGAAAACCATTTGCTAGCCTTTTGAGTTGTTTATATTGTTCGAAAATTTGCAAATTTCTTTATTGAGAATGAGGAAGAATAAAACTGTTTTCATCGTCACGATTTCTCTTCTTAATTGGAAAAAAGGAAAGAATTGGAATAGAGAGTTTTCAAGGTGCACGAAATTTAAATGCTAATAAGCGTAATAAGCACGGAAATATCAATTGTCTGAGTAAATGGAAAAAAAAAAAGTATACTTTAAAAGCTAAAGTATTTTTTTTTGAAAATTTTCATGAAAATTGGATATTCTCTCGAATCTCATTACCCCAGTGGCCACCCTTCTCACTTGAGAAGGGGGAGGTGGGGAGTTCAAATCCCCACCTTCGCAGGGGGTAAGGGTGGGGTCGCGTAATTTAAGATGTGGAAGCTGACGCCCACGCTCAGAAGAGACATGCACATGGGCACCTGAAACACAGCGTCAGACGTTTTCAAGGTGCACGAAATTTAAATGCTAATAAGCGTAATAAGCACGGAAATATCAATTGTCTCGAGTAAATGGAAAAAAAGTATAGTTTAAAAGCTAAAGTAATTTTTTTGAAAATTTTCATGAAAATTGATTCTCTCGAATCCAGGTCTACCCTAGTGGTTATCCTTCTCAACTTGAGAAGGGGATCACTTGAGAAGGGAACTCCCACCTCCCCTTCTCAAGTGAGAAGGATAGCCACCGGGACATCCCCAAATGGTATGGTCATATCCTATTGATAAGAAAGAAAAAGAGAGAGAAAAGGAAAAGTCCAACGTGATATCCCTGATCCAGATCTCCAAGTGGCTCTTTTGGGCCGAGCCAGGATCACCCACGACGATACGACGCAGGGCAAAAACGTCGTGCGTTTTTGTAGCGGAGCTGCGACGTCTAAGCGGGGTTGCGTTTTGGCGGAACGCGAGACGATATCACCTCATCCGCTTCAACTTTTTTCCGCTTGAACGAACACGAAGAGAGAGAGAGAGAGAAGCGCTTGTTGCAGCGCATGATCTCTCGCCGCTTCGCTTCTTGCTTCTCCCGTTCAGCTGAGGCAGCTCCCGCGGGACGATGATCGAGTCGGCCATGGCGGTCCGGTTCGCCTCCGGTTCCAGCTTCTGCTCCTCCTCCGCCATAACTTGTAAACTCGCGGCTGCTTCCGTTCGTTTTCGTTCGTTTGCTGAGATAATGGCGATGGCGACTGCTTGTCTCCGTTCATTTTCGTACTAGGATTTTACAGTGAACATTGAGTACTAGCTCAATTCTGCTCGATTGTTGATTTTTCTCGTGATTTTCGCGCATTTTCTTGTTCACTAGAGAGAGGCATAAGCATAATGTTGTCCGCTTGATGGAGCGGTTTTAGATTCTCCTTTTTGCTTTCCAAAGGTTACCGTTCGTTCTGGAGCTCGGATGAGTGCCCCGGCGTCCACGCGAGCTCTCGCCGGATTTCGCACCCGGGCAGCTTCGACATGCCGTGGTGAGTGCTCGATGCTTTAGGCTTGTTTTTGACGGAATGGAAACTGTTTTGGAATGGATTGATTTTGATCGGTTAAACAGCAACAGTTACCAGAGGTTCAACGGCGGTTCGCTCGTAAGAAAGAAAAATGTTACGAGGAATAAAGTTAGAGCTACTGCAGAGCATTTAGGCTCTGCCTCTGATCCGGCTAAGTGCAATGGAAGGGCCGAATATCATCCGTTTGAGGATATTGCTGAATTAGCCTCTGGTGGGGATGCGACACTTACTGCCGCAGAAACCACTAGGACTACCGTCGAGGTATCTTTGCTATATATCGCAGGCCGGATGTTCATATTGAAGCTTTTGCTCTTATTTATGTGGCTTTACATTCGATTGAAGTGTTGGTCTTGGCTCTATTATGATGCTTCTGTTAGTGTGTTGAGTTCAGGTTAACACCAAAGCGACCCTGTTGTTTTCCGGTATGATTGATGATGAAATCCACGAGAACATTCTATGGCCAGATTTGCCTTACACTATTGATGAACAGGGAAGTGAGTATACGGAGTCCACTGTGTTCAAATTAATATATCCTAGTTTTACTTGGCTGAGTCTGTTCTCTCTGCTCTGGCATTTTGCAGATATTTATTTTCAGGTAAATGATGATGAGGAGATTATTCACACACTAGCTTCGGGGAGTAATGTTGTGGTATGCCCTTTTTGCCTGAGAAATTTATTTGTGCCCGATATTCAAGCTTGTACAATTTGAAGTCTTTGCTCCTCAAGCAGCGGCATAGTGTCTTGACTGGCAATAGTTGTGATCCAGACACAACTTTTTTTAAACAAAATAACATGATGTTTTTGCAATTCATTCTGCAAGAATTGCCCGAAAATGCTTCTGTATCTGAGTAATGTTTGTGTTATGAAATGCAGCAAGTGATAATAGGCCTGAATACCATGGAAATGATCAATGAGATGGAAATATCAGGTTCAGCAGATGTTGAGTTTGGGATTGAGGAGATTGGGGAGGAAGACAGTGATATTGAAGATGAAGATGAAGATGATGAGGATGAGGATGAGGATGATGAAGATGATGATTATGGAGAGGTATGCATACTTCCAAATGCAAAGAAGCTTTGCAATAGAGTTGTATTTTGTGATATTTCCTACTTTAGTGTTCTCCTTGCTTTTGTGACCAGTATCTGCTTACTAAGATTTAGAATTCCCTTTGTTTTGTGTTATATATGGTGTCTTTACTTTATCCTTTAGTTTTCTGCAATAAAATCAGTTTATCTATTTGTTACCCGGTGTTAGATGATCAACTCTTTATATGCAAAAATCTGTAAATCAGGGAGACAAACTTCTATTTTACATGTTTCAATATTAGTTTGACTTCTCGATTAATTTCCTTTTTTCTGCATAATACATTCATTCAGACGAGGACAACTATTAGTTCATATTTGGTGTAGTTATTGTGTACGAGTGTCTTACCTTCCACCTCTGTTAATGCTATGTAAATTTTGTTATTCCAATAGCTGTAACTGAGGCAAACTTTTCAGTTTGCTTAAACTCATCGAAGGAGAAGTTTACTGTGATTCTAACTCATCTTGATTATTGGCATTGTCTATTATTTCTCATACAATAACCAAATTGCCTTTATTTGGAGGCCAGAGAATTGCAATTTTGTTTATTTTAGCATTTTTTTTCATGTGAAGTTACTATTGCAATGTATTGTACTTTCCCTCATAGAAAAAGAGAAAGCTCGACACCGAGAAAAAATTGCTGGGCCTCTGAATTAGTTTATCACCTTTGATAGGACTGGGTTTCTGTACTTGACGAGGATGATGAGGACCAATCTGATGGAGATCCAGGAGATTGGGCAAAATTGGAGACGATGAGATCTTCTCACCCAATGTACTTTGCCAAAAAGTTGACTGAGGTAAATGAATACTGCTCGAGTTTTAGTCCTGGGCAATTAGATACCATGAAAACAAAAATCAAGAATGTGACAGTATTGTACTTTCGATGCTTCTATAGTATTGTACTTCATAAACTAAAAACAAACGTGACAATACCTATATTTTTATTCAGTTTTCACTTTCACTGGAATTCTTATTTCAGGTTGCTTCAGATATCCCTGTTGATTGGATGAAACGGCCTCCTGTTGGCATTGTCGTACAGGGCCTTTTAAGCCCTGCACTTCTCGAAGGACACTCCATTGATCAGAGACACCTGCCTAGACATCATTCTGGTGCCGGAGTAGATCACGCTGGAAGTATCCTTGAAGACAAACAAGTAGATTCTAGTACCACTGATGCTGATGGACAAGAACATTCACTTGAGGATGTCCCCAGTTGGGCAGAGGAACTGGGCGAGAATGGAAGCCCCAGGAGTGGGAAGTCATTTTACAAGCTCGAGATGATTAATATTCAGCTGCTTTCAGTACATGGTCATCCGGTATGTTTTCAAGATTTTAGTATGCTGCTTAAGACCCCGGGGTACTTTCTGATTATGACTCTGGAAGTCATCTCTTTGTGCGGCAGGGTCATGTGCTTTCACCACGCATATATACACATTTTCACATTCTAAACCATTCTGTACCCCATATTTCTCTTTACTGTAGTTGAGTCATTACAATAAGTCAGCAAAGTAAGGAGGTTTGCATCATGTCCAAATTGATCCAGACATTGTTGAACTTGTATGTATTTAGTTGTTCGCATTCCCTTCCTCCTTACTTCCGTCCTCCGACCCCCCCAAAAGAAGGGAACACAAGTTGGCTAGCTTCAAATTAATGGCCATTAGGGGTGTCAGAACCGAACCGAAAAACCGAACCGAGATACGAACCGAACCGAACCGAAAATTTCGTGCATTTTGGTTCGGTTTCGGTTTCGGTTCGGATCATCAAAATAAACCAATTTTTCTTTTCGGTTCGGTTCGGATCGGCTTGGATCGAACCGAACTAAAATAAACACTTCGGTTTAGGGCTATTTTGCCCTCTCTATCCCCTTCTCTCTCCTCTCTCCTCTCTCTCTCTGCTTAATGAACTTGAAACCGAAAACTGATCCGAACCGAACCAAACCAAACCAAATCGATTTTTCGGTTCGGTTCCAATTCGGTTCGGTTCAAATTCAGTTCGGTTCAAGGGGGCACCCTTAATGGTTCGGTTCGGTTCGGTTTTTCAAGAAAACCGAATCGAACCAAACCATTTACACCCCTAATGGCCATCATCTGGTTTGTCATTCTAAGTACTACACTTTGTCTTAAGGAGAGGAAGAGGTGATTAACTGCAGAGCTAAAAGGCCTAAATACATGCTGTCTTAGCCCAAATGGAATGCTTTCAACGGCTGTTATTGGATTTTTGAAATATCATGTGCGATTTCCTCTTGTAGAATAACAGCTTCAAACTGCGAAGTTGTTTGGATATGACTTTGCTTGTTGAATTATGATGATTTTATGTAGCAGTTATCTAATTTTCTCTCTTCTACCCTTTGTAGCAAACTGTTGAAGTAGAAGATTTCAGGAAAGCGCAACCAGATGCTATTGCTCACTTGGCTGCCAAGATTATTTCCCGATTGAAAGCTGGCAAAGAGAAAACTATGCAAGCCCTCAAGTCTCTCTGCTGGAGATGCAAGGGGATTCAAGTGGAGGTGAGATATACAGACCGGTAGTTAGAAGTTGTCTTGATGCTTAAGCTGCATGCTTGTACCCCTGCTGTTGCAGTAGTTGAGCTGCATTCCTGTGTCACTAGTGTTGGGGAAGGAATTCTCTAGTTTGATTAAAAAGTTCTCATTGCTTGGTTTGCATCAACACAAAATGTTTTGTACTTTTAATACAATTTCTGCAATTTTGAGGATACAGCATAAATTGGTATTTTGACTCAAATGACTCGATCATTCTCTAACCCTGAAAAGAATTATTGCCATTTTGTGAAATCTGTTTCCTAATGTGAATTACTACTGCAATTAATTAATATGATGCTTTTCTCGAGTTCAGATATCCTGACCCAAGATAGTAAGAGTGATATTTATATTCTTTCTGACAGGAGGCTATGATAATTGGTGTTGATGCTCTTGGTTTTGATGTAAGAATCTGCTCAGGAACACAACTTCAAACATTGCGCTTTGCATTTGACACAAGGGTATGCTGTTTCTGTGCCAAAAAGCATTTCTCTGGTCTTCTTTAGTCGCAATAAATCTTGATTGTCCTTTTCTCAAGTTTATGCTTTGTCAGCTTCAGCCAAACTCCCTTTGGAAGCTGGGAGCTAACACGAGAAAAAAACCCCAGAGGAGCTTCCTTGTTTTTGTTTCTTTTCCCTTGCTTGAATTGGTTAGAGCTTAATCCTTTTGTGAACATCAACAAGATGCATTAGTGTGGCCCTTTTCTATCAAAAGCCATCAGGGCAAAGTGATCCCGGCAAACAGTGACAAATTTTTAGAAGCCAGCCCTTTTGGTGGGTTCACTGAGTCCATAACTTATAGGAATATTCATTTACGCACAGTTATCTATCACTTTTTTCCATTGCTTTTATGTTTAACTCGCCAAAATTTGAAATGTGTTTTCTGTACTCGCTATTTCATTCTTCTGACTATTGTCTTTGCAGGCCACTTCAGAGCAAAGTGCTGAGAGACAACTTAATAACCTACTATTCCCAAGGGTCCAGCACAAGCCACAAAAGAAGAAGGAGGCTCATTAAAAACGAAGCGTAACGTTTCAGGTTTCAACACGAGTGCAGAATTGTTTGTTGTATCGCTCTCAATTGATTAATTTAGCACCTCCAGTGCAAAAAAAAAAAAAAAAGGAATGGAGAAGGAAAAGATGAAGAGAAAAACACAGGATGAGGTCTGTCCATGTATTTGGTGCAAGCAGTGGATGTCATTCTTCTTTAGAGCCATTTATCATCCAACCCTTGGCTATTTGTCACGTTAATTTTTCCATACATGGTTGATTCCCATCCAGATCGTGCAAGAACAGCAGTAGGATATAAACACGGACAGCACAGATTCAAGATCCAAGAGTTGGACAACATATAATCCAAAAATGAAAAAAGCACATGGCTTAGGAAATTATTTTTAACTATACATAGCAAAGGCAAAAATGTACCGCTAATAGGAGAGCTTTTGCTCTGTTCTACTATGAGTGCTATGATAAAAACATCGAGGCACCTCGTTAAATATTGCACAAAATTGAAGAGCTTAAATGATTATAGCTTCCCCGAAATTGTGAGAGCAAGAACAGTTCCGACTTTGGTGGCCGGAAAAAGTCCGACTTGCCCCGTGAATACCATGACTTTTCCATAAAAACCATCTGTGAGTGGCTGGAATGGATTCTCGGCCCGATGTTTCAACTTTGAATAACATAGCTCTTCTGAAATACTATCTGCCAAGCATATTATTGTATACCAAATATCGGAGCTCAGACTACTTTCCTTGATAACTCCATCTTTACGGCGATTACTTTTTAGTCTTCCGCTCTTTTCCTCGTGCGATTGAATCGAAAGGATGCACTACACTTGGTCAAGTCTGCAAGCAGAAGAGCAAAGCAGGACCGACTTTCCTCCCAAATAATTGCAAACTATGAGCCACTGGAATGGTTAACCTCAATCCCAACCTGAGGTATATTTGTTTCTACATCCACCCACCAGTCCTCGTCTTCATCCACACAATTGTTCTCCTGCAAAATGTGCATCGTACTATGAACAATTTGACCAGCCTGCTCCCCCGGCAATGAAGCAGAACTTCTCTCTCTCTCTCTCTCTCTCTCTCTCTCTCTCTCTCTCTCTCTCTCTCATCGAGTTTTTTAGGTAAAGATGAAGGGTTTTAGTATTACATCTCTTGAAGATCCTAAAATAATTACACAAATAAGTGGAGTGGATGACTAACCTTGCTGTCGTACTCCATGACCTGTTGGTTTTCTATAGCATTTGCAACTCTTATAGCTTCGAGCCACCAAGCATTTATAGGGGAGCAATTCGCTGTATTTTCATCATTGTCAAGCACATTATTCGTTACATCGGGAGGATTTGCCATCTGCACCGAATCAACGAATGCTGAGAGATCAGGCACAATATCCTCCGGGACCCGACGCAAGGGAGAGCGGTAACCTGGGCCATTACAAAGCTCACTTTACCTTCGTTTTCACACACTAAAAAAGGTTTCAAATGGATAAACGTAGGACAGAACTTTTCTGTACCTCTGCAATCAGGATCATGACATTTCTGGTAATATGCAGCCCAATTCAGATCGACAACATAGATAACTGGGCCACTCAAAGTAGGGAAACGATAAGCTTGTGTTTCCCAAAGGTAAACTTAAAAAGTACAAATCAACATAAGAGATTTTGCATTAAAAAGGCATGGCGTATACCGTGATTGCTTTTATGCTCTCTGCCTATCCGCTCACAGAACCTGTTCCTTGACATGCTGTAAACCATGAGTCCATGCTCAGAGAACCAGTACCAGCTTCGAATTTTACCTATATTGCGACAGAATCATCAGCATTATTGGAGAAAAGGAGGACAGGCCTTTCAATAGATCATTTTTTTGCACTATTGAGCATAAAGGAGAAAGTGCCAATCAAACTTGCTTTCAAATCGGACATATTAATCAAATTAAAATTCTTTCAGGTCTGTGACTTTAGAAAAGCTAGATATAACTTAATTGTCCTCCTTGGAAAGAAGTTAGCAACTTTAATATCTATTAACTATCTATGAACTATGTATGAAGCAATTGAAATAACTCATCACTCTGTTTATCTGAGAATAAAACGATAGCAATCACCTGACACAGTTCCAACTGAGGCCACTGATTCTATGAATTTGTCCAACAATGGGAAAGGCGACTTGCCAATGAAGTAATTTGCCGAACTATCACTAGGGAAAGAGTTGAAATTAAGCTCTTGCAAAGCAAGACTGTGTCTTCCAAAGTCACCATTCACCTGCGTAAGGGAGAAAAAATCCATCACATGAGAGACCACCACAGAGTTCTAGCACACTAGACAACCTATGCTAAGATGTTTCCAGATCTTAGCTCCACCAACACAAGACCATGAATTTTTTGCTGATGATGAGAAGTCCAGCAAATCATGTGCATATAGTTGATGAAGGGGCCCTATACAAGAACTAATTCAAACTTGAAACTACCTCGGTCTCGAACTGAAGTGTCTTTGCACAATCTAACTCCATTTTGCAGACTAGGAGCTTCTGACAATCAACATCCATACTGCATATCAAAGAAGCCATGAACATGTCTTCCTCACACTGTCAGGAGAGAGCAAGTGCATTTTGAGTGTCAAGAAACAAATGAACCTTTAAATAGCAACTGTGAAAGAGAGATGCTACTGTTTCAAGCACTGTCGCATTTAATTCTCTTTTCTGTGTGCATATGCACATCTTGTCATGTCTTAATCTAACCTTCTCAAATATATAGAGGCATAAAAAAAAAAAACCCTTTTTGGTAGTTTTGACTATTGAGGAACATTTTGAGCAAATCAGGAACAGATCACCACAACCATGTTCCAAAGATGCCTCACAAGTCAACTAGATCTCACTAACCAGGAGAAACGTACCATGTCCTTGCATTTGAAACGCCCAGTCGGCAGAAGTACAGAACTCTTGCCTGCCTTGGATGATAGAGCCAAACGAAAGCATCGATTCCTTGAATAGACAGCAGTGTCCACAAAAGTTTGACATGTCGATGTGCTGGAATCTTTCTTGACAAACAACTTTTCATATCTTTTGTCTGTCTCCCTTGCACTGGAAATCCGCGAGCATACCTGACAAATGGTCATAACAACATCATGGCCACATGCAATGTTATATTTCTTCAAAATGGTGTGCATGCACGAACCTACAAGCCCCCCTCCTCTGCCACAAACACACACACACACACACACACAGAGTTCCCATAGTTCAGCAAAGTTGTGAGAATGGCTGTAAAGTGGCGTATGCAAGAGTTAAAAATATCTGTTAATTCTCGAGTGGATACAATATGTCAGAACAGGTGGCTAACTTGAAAGGCATGATACCAATATCTACACAGAATTATTTAATTTGCAATTGTCTATTCCACACAATAACTAAAGCTTCTCACCAGAGCATACCTCTGAAACAAATGCACCCACGTGAGAGTTGTCCTTAAAAGCAGTCATTGGTATCCTCAGAATCAAATGACGAGAAAATTTTTCTGCATACAAGCAGTGCTGTCATTGATATTGCAACCAACTTGTTATGTTCTATGAAAACATTTAACATATAAAAGGGGGGAAAAGGTTTCACATGAGATATTCCTAATGTTTCAATAGGCAGATGTAGGAACCAAAAGGCACATATTGACTCATCAAGTCACAGATTCTTCCGTGCCTGAATCTCTAATTCACTCCAAGTCTGACAGTGTTCTAGTGTACTATGCGTAAATCCTATTAGCTGTGCCATTAACATCACTCAACCAGTACTTTCCAGTGACCCAGCACTGGGAAATTATGAGCAAGGAAAAGATGCAAATGAACTTTGCTCTGATAAAATCCGATTCCTCATGTCTAGATATCTGTAACTCCAGACCTAAATATATCAAGAAGAAACACCTCATTCTAAACTAATAGGCCTCAAGAAGCATCTGAAGCAGTCATACAGTTAACCAGCCTTTCAGGTGCCCCTTCCCTCTGACATTATGTCTTGAAATTGTGACTCAAGGTAAAGAATTTGGCTTCAAACCGAAAGAAAAAATCATCACTGCAAGAAAGCATCTGGGTAGTGTCCCATGCAGCTCCAACACTCGATGCTCCTTCAAAATAAGTATCATATTGAACTCATCCCCAAATGAAAAATTGAATAACCTTGCCTATATAGCTCAATCTAAGATAACCACGGCCTGCAATATATTCCCAGTCAATCCTATCCAAGCAATCAATGGTGCCTCAACTTCCAAAAGAGGTACATCATTAAAAGTTCCAAAGCATCATTTGATTTCCAACTTCATAACTGCTTTCAAGTGCAATATTCCTCAAAAATGAAATGTTAAAATAAGTCATTGCTCAAACAAAGATGGACCTAACAGGTGCCAGAGATGTCATTCAAAGCTTCTTTTCTTGAATAAACCTAACACAGTTCTCTCACATCAAATGCGAAAGGTCTCAAGAAAAATAATAGAAAAATGTAGCTGGAAGGCACTGTGAAAAAGTACAAGACGGCCTTTGGCTCAATAGGGTGTCTATACGGTTGTATGTCGACATAAATCAGCGGAAATGGAGATGTAGCTCATAATATGTGATTGAGCTATATATACGCCGCCCATGACTACTGATGCAATAACAGCTAATAGAAGAAGGAAATTTCAAAGTCAGCATACCTTCAGTTGAAGAATCGAGCTCAACTACCCATTCCTCGTTTCCTTGGATTGAGTACTTGTCAAGCAACACCTCGAAAACAACTACTATCAGAAGATCAACCATCTCGTCTCCATTTTTATCACCATTTTCCCTCTTATTGAACTCCAAATCAAAGTATAAGTGACAAGGCAGACCCTGGCAAAGAATTTGTTGATGGTAGAGCCCAACTTAGATTTCGAAAACCCAAATGACAAGCAACTTAATGTTACATTATGCGTTAGATAGAACTTCTAAAGTAATGTCACCAGATGCTTCTTTCAAGTACTAGCGCTATTATGCACTCAATGAAATTACATATAACACTAATTTCGCTACCTTGTCCTTACTACTTATGGCTTTTGATTCAGTTTATTGCTTGACACATAAAAACAATCAAGAGCTAGAAGCAAGAGATGGAACTTGGAATTGGCTATAACAGATAGAAAGAAATAAAGGAGAAAATCCTAAACCATCCCAATGAGACTCTTAATTGACAAATCACGTGGAGAGATGCTTTCTCTTTAAAGTCCATTCTATGCTTTGCAAATCAACTCATGGCATGCAAATGAACATGAAAGCCAAGAGGTTCTGACCTCCTGAATTACTTCATAATGGTGGCGTAACTTTGGATCCATATCGTTGTACCTAATTGAAAAGAATACCACGATAGAGAGTTATGTAGGACACCAATACCAAACACGGGCACCCTAAGACAGCAAAGAAAAGATGACCACCTCTTCCAGAACTCCTGGTAAGGAGATACAAGAAATCTTCTCTGGCCATTACAATGGTCTTGGTAACGGAACACATGAACCTGAGGATGACCCTTAGCAAAATTTATTGCTTCCTCTTGCCTTGAGAATGTGGTCCATATTTCCTTCCTAAGGTTGAGAAGGAAAGGAAACTGATTATTCAATTATCAAATGCAAACGTAGTACACATGCAGGTTTTCCAATAAAATCGTGAAATTTCTCATGGAAAAGCAAGGAAGATACAAAGCCAGATATCTTAAAGGAAAAGCTGCTGGAAACGGAAGCAAAGTGCACGCACAGGGAATACGTGAAAACATACAAGGACCTTAGCTTTGGTGAATTTTGTGCAGCAAGATCAACCCGTATCTCATTCAGCAATCGCAGCAAACTAGATGGTCTTTTCGGAGGCACACCATTAGGAGACCCGTAGAACACCACGGGAGAAATATGCACCCCTCTCCTTTGGCTGAACTTGCGTGCTCCAATTGTTGTCGAACCAAGCTGAGAAGTTACAAACGGGAACTCAATCAGCAATTGCCATGACAAACACTAAATATAGAGGTCGAGCGCTATAGCTATAGGAAAAATATAGAATAAAGCGATTCTTTCAATAATCCGTTTGGAACTCGATAAATTGGCCTTCCTCAAAAGCAGCCTCGGTTCTTTCTCTGATGGCAATAAACCGGCTCGTTTATGAAGACACGGAAATAAACTCATCCGTTGACCCCAAAATCTAACCGTAGCAAATAATAACAGCTAACATCCCATACTTTCTCGGCGCAAAGCTGTATGTCCGTCACCTCATCACGCCTCTGTCCTGACGATCCTGGACTGAGAGCGCTCGATGTAGAGCCTTCACGTACGGAGCTTCCCTCCTGACATTTCCTCTTGAATCTCCTCCTCCTCTCTCTCACGGCCGATTCTGATAAAAATCGATAAAACAAACGTCACGAAGAGAGCACGGGGCAGGCGAAACAGAATCGACCGCAGCTTTCATGCATTCCACATCACATCCTTCAACCAATCAATCGCCAGCATACCGCACCACCGAACGAAGCGACAGGCGTTTCAGACCTAATCCGCCACGCGCGGTTCGGAAAATTCGCTCGAACTCGCCATTCGAGAACGGAACAAGCACATCCGATCGGGAAAAGAAGAAGGAAGAAAGAGAGCAAAACGAAGCGAATGCTCCGAGCATGCGGACGCGCCGGGAGTGCGGGGATCGAGGGAGGAGGAAAGTACCGGGAGGAGAGATGCCGCACTTGAAGCAGTCGAACAACCTGTCGACGTCGTCCATGGAGAGAAGGCCTTCGAGCTCTTCCGAAAACCAGAGGAGACGGCGATCGCGCGCTTACATCGGAGACCGTCCCCTCCCGCAGTCAATCTTCTTCTTCCCGAAGCATCTGAAGAGCAGAAGTTAAGAGAAGCGCGCGGGATTGATTTTGCGGAAGCGGGTCGATTTCGAGAGCGAGCGATTCGAAAATGGAGGGAAAGAGAGGATTTCGCCGTGGGCCTTTTTTGCTTCGACATTTCTTGGGCCGTGACGGCGTCTCCGCTTGGTCCGCCGCTTCAGACTGTAACTTGGGCCGGGCTTGGGCCCGGAGCATGAAGTGGGCCGGCCACGTCGGCGTGACCACCGCTACATCGCCGGGGCGCGATGGGCGACAGGGGACGGGCCGAACCATTGATTTTCATCCCGAGTCGCGAATGAAAGATCCCTCTACACGAGGGCTTTACGGCCCTCTGAACACATCGACGCGAGACAAGATGCGACATGCAAACTACACAGATAGTGAAACGTGCTTGATCAGGCCAGCAAAAATAGACGTCCGATAGGAACTAAACCTATATCCAAAATTCCTCATGGAAATCAAATTGAGGGTTAAAGTTCCTCGAAGAGGGTTCGTATTTCTAGATACGAAATGACAATGCTTTCACATCCAACTTTGGGTTTCCTTTCTACGTAATTATCGTGCATATCGCCTTTTCCCTCCCTCTTGAGGGGCCCGAATCCATTTTGGTTTTATCCTCCCAATTATAGCGGAAGCGTTCCATCGTTGGCCACTATCCATCAAGCGGACCTCCGAAACTTCCTTTCCGACTCCAAGGTAGGATTGTTGTAGAATTAATGCGCAAAACATCGTATCTTGCAATTTAATCAATGCGAAATCACCGAAGAAATAAACGGAACACCAAATATTTACATGGTCCGATCCAAGTGTCAATACTTACGTTCATAATAAATAATCTTTTATAATCAGAAAATCATAATTGCAATTGATCGTAAGCTCGAGTGTTTTCTACATCTAAATTAAATTAAAATTCAAAATGTTTATAAATAAATAATTTGAATTTATATTCGGCTGTCCTTTTGTTCCCTTGTGTGGCTCTTTGCTTTTCACTGTGCGACTGCCTCGGCTAAAATCTGAACCCACGAAAGTCTTCTCTTTTCCTTTGTATGGTTACTGGCATACTGCAGGCCGCACCCACAAAAGCAAAATATTTGTCCTCTCTCTGACAGACAAAGACTTTTTTGCCCCCACAAGTGCAATAGATATTATAAAATATGTGAGCCCTGATTTTGTCCTGCAGCGGCTTTCTTCAAGTAGCCTTGTATTTCTCTCCTGTGCGGTCACATAAAGAGTCAAACAACCACACACATCTCCTTTGACCAAGTTCGAATAAGCCAACAACCTTAGCCCCTTCGTTGGAAACCAGTGGAGGAAACCATCCAAAAAAGAAAATGGATTTCCCGAGATTATTCGCACACGCTCAAACTCGAATTATAAATTAACGAGGATGATGATGTCTGATGAACCGATTACGTTGACTTTTTCCAAATCAAAGCTTTGCGTGAAGAGATTGTCTTAGGGACCGTTTGGCAACGTGCCAAACAGTGAAAATTTCTGTTATTTTATTTTCAGAAATAATTTAGGAACAGAAATGCGTTTGGTAAACTTTTTATTCCCGGGCACATTTTTACAAAAATTTGTGCCGAGAAACAGTTTTGGAAGAGAAACAAGAAGTAAAAAAAAGTTACTTCTTGTTTTTCGGCACAATTTTGAGAATAAGTTTTTTTTCTTCTTTTTCTTTTTTTTCTTTTCTTATTTTTGTGTTGTTCTTCATTGCCGACCGGCCACGTGGCCGGCGAGGGCGTCACGACCCTGCGGTGGGCGGCCGCTGCCGGGGGCCGTGACGCCCTCCGGCCTGTCGCGATGCCGATCGCCAGCGATCGGCCATGGTCAAAGAAGAAAATGGTAGAAAGAAAAAAATAATTAAACAATTCAAAATATTATTAAAATATTATTTGGGAACAGAAATTTTATGTAGTTACCAAACGCATTTCTGTTCTTTTCTACTCTAGGAATAGAAATTTTCGACAGTTTATCAAACGCCTTCAAATACTCAGAAATTATTTCCAGGCACATAATAAAAAAAATCATTTCTGTTCAGAAATAGTTTCCAGGTACAGAATGGTATTCATGCCCACCCTTAATATCAAATTGAATAATACGAGAGGACTTACCTTGGTACCTTGGTACACTGACATAAGGAAACTATGCTACAATACGAGGCTAATGCACCTTAAAAGCACAGTAGGAATTACTTTGTGAAGAATAACATCAGGAACGCAAAAACCCCTTTATGAAGTGATACGGACGACCATACCAGAGTCTGCCAATTCACTTTGTAAGTTGATTTATGAAATAGGTCATTGTAATTCTAGCATTATGTGACGTGAGATTTGGTAGGACTACTGCTAATTGTTCAAAAAATTTAAATTATTAGATGAAAGCGTGATTTAATAGTTAAATATCCTTATACTTCTTTTCATGCGTAGGGGCTTAGAAGGATTTTAATTCAAAACATTTTGCTCTAGTACAATTACGTGTAAGAGCCTGAAAAGATTTGAACTCAGAAACCTCATGCTTTGATATCATGTGGGATTTGAAGAGACAACTATTTTAAAATCTTAAGTTATTAAATAAAAGAGTGATTTAATATTTAAATAATCGAACATGTGAAATGGCCAAACTTTTTTAAGAAGTCGAACCAGTAGAAAAGGTGGACGAGTCCAATATTAAGTCCCTCTGATAGCTGTATCCACTGTTAATAAATTCGGCGATAAGACAAAAGTCCAGATTATTCAACGTCATAACGAGGCAAACATAAGTTGCTGCGAAGTCATATTCTATTGAGCATCACGGATGCTTTTCACTCTTAAGCTTCCGTCAGCAGCACCCATGGGTGGACATCGTCCCGTTTACCAAATCCCCTACATAAAGAAAGACTTTTAACTCGTCTTTTTTCAGCATGGCGATCTTGGAGCAGGCCAGATCGAGGGCATATAAAATATTCTTGGTGACAAGAGTATCTGAAGCTTGAGTCTTCAGCTTACCTTGCAATGGCATGCAAATGCTTGCATAACTGGTCACCAATCTACCTCCAAAGAAAAATGTTTCCAGGTGAACTTCCTTGCCTTTCGACCAAAAAAAAAAAAAAAACTTCCTTGCCTGGTTCTTTCTGGCTTTTTCTTGACCTACTGTCTTGGACCTATGGAAGCAACTGCTTTTAAGTAGTTAAGCACCATCTAAGTAAGTATATGTCCAAAAATTTAAAACCATAAGCAAAAAAACAGTAAGTGACAATTTAAATAATGTTCGCCATGCGCAGATCTTTCACAAAATCAGAATATTCCTAGAGACTCCAAGTTACGTCTTGTGTGATAATCTCACTGAAAGAATCACGCTGGCGGTCGACGACGAGCAGAGAGTTGGTTGCTGTCCATCCTCACCTAGTCCAAAAGCAAAGTCCAACTTGAGTTTTTAGTGGACCGTGATTAATTTGACGTTCTGAAGCAACAGCTGCAACGCAAAATGTGTCTAGGGATTCTGGAATCTGAAGGCAGATACAGATACTAGCCACCCCAGTCGGGCATGAGGCAGGTTGATGACTTGATTATGCATGAGGACTTGCTTAGGTAATGCGTCTAGAAGGCGCTTTCACCTTCCCTTCTGAGGCTACATTCTTGTTTCAGTAGCTATAAGACGAGTTCGGTGAAATCTAGTTAGTATATTGGCTTAACGTGTGAGACCAAAACGCCAGTCGCATTCATTCAATAGAGATTTATATATAGAATCCGCTTCCTTAGGCCAAAGGGGAGATTTTATTTGAACTTTAATGTTCAGTTATTTGTCGCGGAAAGCGACTTCGTTTTGCAGAATCAGCAGACAGCAGCTCCTTTGGCATTTCTATGTCCCAGATTTTGGGGGAGGCTCTTGACTTTTTGGCCGAACTTGCTTCATCTCAAACTTTTAATCTTTTCTCATTGTTTTACGTATAGCTCCCGTTCAAAGAAAGTTCATGACCATCATTTCATCATCATTGCAAGTAGCACTCCAATTCAGGTCCGGTTTCTATTTGACATTGTAAGACTACGTTCGGCGATGGTGAGAATGAGAGAGGATGGCGTACTGTGTTGCGAGCCAGAGTTCTGGGTGTTTCTAGTCATATGTTTGGCTCTAGTGATATTTGCTGGCATCACTTCGGGGCTCGCTTTGGGACTCCTCTCTTTTAGCCAAGTTGATCTCGAGGTCCTCATTAAGGCTGGTCAGCCTCAAGAGAGGAAAAATGCAGGTTCTTGTGAATCATAACTTCTCTTGGCAAATCTATGCTGGTTCTTGTTAACGATGTGCATCTTTTTTTGTACTTAATGTATTTGTTACTTCTGCCTTGGGTTATTGATGTTCAGCCAGGATTTTACCGCTTGTAAAGAACGAGCATTTGCTTTTGTGCACCCTTCTTGTGGGAAAATCACTGGCAATGGAGGTATGTGCACTTCTTTTCTCTACTTTTGGTTTAGCAAGAAAGCTTATGACCGCTAATCCACTACTATTTATTCTTGATCATAAAAGGCACTTCCCATTTTCCTGGATTCGATTCTCCCATCATGGGCCGCGATTCTAATGTCGGTCACCCTAGTGCTTGCCTTTGCAGAGGTAAACTATGGCTAGTTCTTGCTGTTTTATAGACCAAAAAACTGCTGAAAAACAAGTTTATTTACCTGCTTTCTTTTGTTTAAACTCCAGATCATCCCACAGGCTGTGTGTTCTCGGTATGGACTCAGTCTTGGCGCTAGATTATCAGTTTTTGTTCGGTTGCTTCTCTTGGTCTTCCTCCCTATATCATACCCAATAAGCAAGGTAAGTTTTGTGCTTTATATTATCGACATTTGGTTTAGTAATTAGGCCATGAAGCCCGTAGACCTGCCATAAAGTCCCAGCATTCTTTACGGACTTGACAGGAAATTAAGTGGACTAAGCAACGTAGAGCCAACAGTTTAAATGAACTTCTCAACTCCCCAAAGGATTGTTGGTCAAAAAGAAAATGGAAGTATGTTGATTACTCATTCTCATTATGGAACTCGGTCAATATAATTTGAAGCCAAAGAAATTTGCGCAGTTAAATCTCTGAGAAATGGTATGGTAACGCGCCTCACAGTTGCTTGGGACATTAAAAACCATAGTTTCTCATCCAATTTTAGAGAGCAGGGTTTGTCACAAGAAAAAGAGCGACTCTGGTATACTGTGAACAATCTTTATTTTGTCCATCTCCCTACTATAGATGTTGGACTGGCTTCTCGGGAGGGCACATTCGGCCTTATATAGGCGAGCAGAGCTGAAGACTTTGGTGGATCTGCATGCAAACAAGGTTGGCTTCCTTTGTTCCATCTGCTACCATATCAATCATAACGGGCATCTTATTCTGTTTCTAGTGCCTATAGCAATCTTGATCTTCTGATAAGTGATGATCCTTCTTTAGGCAGGAAAAGGAGGAGACTTGTCGCATCATGAAACAAGCATAATCACGGGTGCTTTGGACTTGACACAGAAAACTGCAAAAGATGCAATGACTCCAATATCTGAAATATTTGCACTTGATATAAATTCCAAACTCGACTTGTATGTTCTTCGATATTTTATTTAACCGATCACCAAATTCACAATCCTCTCCTTATGTTTCCATCAGTGTTCTCATTTTAGGCACACGATGGGTCTCATTATGAGTAAAGGCCACAGCAGGATACCTGTCTACTCGGGGACCCTAACAAATATAATCGGCTTAATACTGGTACGAAATGTGAATAAACTTTATATTTGGTTCAAGGATGTATGTCTATCTGCATTTAGTTTCGTTGAAGTTTTAAGGTTAGGATGCATATAACGGAGAAGTTTAACTGAACTCGAACTTTACCATCTAGAGCGATGAGAGTAGCAGAACTCTAAGTAGAATGTCAATGGTAGCTTCAAAGACGCATTAACAGTATCATCGAACAGGTTAAGCAAGGCAAAGGAATGCAGGTTTTTCTTCACCTTTGATTACAGAAAAAACGTACAAATATATGCTCGTAAAATCGTTCTTCTTTGAACTATTCACTTATGTCTGTTATTCATCTAATTTACCTGGCATTCTTGTTTGATAGGTGAAAAATTTGATCTTCTGTCGCCCCGAAGACAAGACCCCAATCAAGTTTATGACTATCAGGAGGATTCCCAGGTAGAATCTTCGTGCCCTTTTTGAATTCTTTTATTTCCCCAACATCTTTCTTTCAGATGAAAAATTTTCTCTGCTGGTCTTATTCCATAATTAAAGCATGATTCTTTCCTTCTTCTGCAATAGAGTGCGTGAGGATTGGCCATTGTATGACATACTTACTCTGTTCCGGAAGGGTCACAGCCACATGGCTATTGTCCTCAAGAGCAAAGAGGGTGCCCGAGACACACAAAACTTTTCTAACAAGCCTGCAACTACCGTGGCAAATACCTATTTGAACTTGAAACAGAATCAAGAAGTGAAGGAAGGTAACGACACTTGGTCCTCCTACAAAAAATTGAATTCTGGCTGGAGTTCAACTTTTACATGAAATTTTCCATCAGAATTGCTGAGGTTATGGCATTGTATCTGCAGGACTCTGTTCTCCCTTAAATCGCAATGACAACATATCTGCAGTCACATCGCCTTTGTATTCCACTGACTGTGAATCTCCGAGCCCCGCTTTGGCAGATGTTATGGAGATGTACAAAGATCTGCCTTCACGGCTCAGAAGGTCCGGAAACAAAGATGCGACCATCTCATTGGAAGATTCAGAATCGCTACCGGGTAGCTTAGATGAGGAGGTCGTCGGCATAATAACCATGGAGGATGTCATGGAGGAACTCCTACAGGTAAGCTTCGGGCAAAATGCAACTCAACATACACAGTTTTTGTTTCTCTCAATCATTGCGTATCAAGTGAAGTAATGATGTTTCTTGTGCTTTTTAAGTTAGAAATTTTGGACGAAACTGATGAATATGTCGACCTCCATAACAAGTGAGTACCATCACCTTTTGTTTTGCAACATCATCACAGCCTGAGCGTCATTTTTAGCTTTTTGGCATCGAAGACTCTACTTTGGTGATTATTCCGCATTCTTCTTCTTTTGTTTTATTCAGGATCAGGATCAATCTGCCATCTTCAAGAGCCTCATTAGGATCACCTGGAAGGGTATCAGTCTCTCGCATCCATTGGAGAACTCCAGAGCCATCTCCTCCTTCATATACTGCTATACTGAATTCACCAATTTCCCCATACATTCGGCCACCACTCGCAAGACCAGTTTTATATGCCTCTCCTGGTGCTTCAGTCAATTCATCAGCTGGCTCTACATTGCCAATCCGCAACTCTCCTTTGTCTCACAAGGTATGACAAATAACTTGGTTTTGGTCTTTTCAAAAAGTAGAAGCACTCCATGTTTGGTATTACTGAGTCTAGTTGAAGTTTTCCTTAATCTTGTGAGTGTATGCAGTTTGCACTTCAGCCACTTCAGCCCACTGGTAAATCTCAAGAGGGAAGAGAACTTCGGTTGAATTGCACGTAGATAAACGAACTACTTGATTGAATAGAAACTTATCAATTTATCAATCTGATGCCGCCCTGCAGTAAAATGGAATAAGCTGTGTCTAACTAGCTAATACATGCTTGCATTATATCTATGTAGGGCCAAAACTAACACAAAAGAACGGAACAATTATCGCTGTCTACTATACCTTCTGTCGTTCTGTGGTGAAGGTTTTGGCAGTAAGGGAAGACAAAATTATTAAAAGAATATGCTCCAGCATCCAACTACCAATAAGAACTACCACCTCATAGCTTGAGAATGACCTCTTCATCGACACATTCTGCTTGGCTTCATTGAAATAGCCTTCACCTGAGGACAAGAAGGTGGAAATCAACCCATTTCCTTGAGTAGTTGAGTTGAGCATATCCAAGCCAACTTCACCACCTCTCTGTCTAGCATATATAGTTCTAGAGTCACCATAGTCACGTGGACACTCGTGATATTATACTGGTGCGATGAGAATTCAGGTTCAACAAACATTCATTAAGTCTCTTCTTGTTGGCAGATCTCGAGGAAGTCATATGAGAAGCTGGACCGTCCTGCCTGTTAATGAAGATCTCGCTGATGCAACATTCACGCAACCACCAATAAGAAAGGAAAAGTCCTGATCTCCAAATCGCCCCAGAGAAGTATGATAGCATGTATTAGCTAGCAATATTCTTCTCGTTGTAGTGCAACCAGTGTAAATCTGTTAGAGGCATCTTGTGAAAATGGCAACTGCGGAATGGTGTATCGCAGATGATCAAGCAAGCTTCCTCCGCTGGACAATTGGGACAATGTTACAAAGCTAGGCAACCCAATCAGCCGTCGAGCTGAACACATCAATGTCAAACTTCTTCTGTAAGATTAGAGAAAGAAAATACTCAGATTCAACATTCTGAGATCTCCATAGGGACGGCAAAGTAATTCGGTGGCATGAATTGCTAATCAAGTACTCGATTTCCTGCCGACAAACCGAACTCAAACACGATAATTTCAATAAAGGATGGACATTTATAAGTAGCAGATTCGAGGTTGTAACTTATAAGCCATAGTCCCAACGCTTAGAGATTTCGGCTCACGGCCTACTTGCTTCATGATAAATCGAGAAATGTCAACGAAAGCATATGAAAGCCGAAGGCCGAAGCGAAGATACTTATACTATAATCTGTAAAATTTGAATGTTTACTTGATAGTTAATACCTTTCACAACATCTAAATAGAACCTCTTCTCAAGAAATATCTTTTAGCAATTAGAGGGAAAAAAATCTCAGCAGAACGTGACAAAACAACCTATGAAAAAGAGTACAAAGGAAGTGTCTGTCTGTCCACTGATTTTTCCAGATAAGGCATCAGTCTATGTGATATTGTCGTGTCACGAGAAAAAACTCGATCTTGAAGCAGCAAGCCACCATGGAAGCTCTCCTATTGACCTCAAGACCACCATTGCTCTCCACGAAACACTCCACGTCGAATTCGCAGCCACATCTCTCATCCACGCACTCCTCCTCAATATCTCCGAACCGCCGCCACCCTCCGCCGCTCAAACCATGGAAGCTCCGCGCCAACCCCAAGGGCTTCGCCGGCCCTCCGCCGCCGCCGCCCGGAAAAGCCCGCCCCACCGCCGGAGGGCCCGACACGAGCAGAAGCAACCGCGACGGCGGCGAAGACGACGACCAGGTCCCGCGGGTGGTGTTCGACAGGATGATCGGACGGATCCTGGCGTTCGTGGGCGTCCCGATGGCGGCGGGCCTCGCGCTGCTCTACGTCCTCGGGGCGATCAAGGAGCGAGAGCTGCTGGACATCCCCCCGTGGCTGCCGTTCCTGACGACGCTGCTGTGCTTCGGGGCGTCGGCGCTGGGGATCGCGTACGGGACGCTGTCGAGCAGCTGGGACCCGGATGAGTCCGGGTCGGTTCTCGGGCTGGACGAGGCCCAGAGGAATTGGGCCGAGATCTGGAAAGAGGAAGAGCAAGTGTAGGAGGAGCCCGAGAGCCCACCATACGCAGTTGCATGGTCATGCTCCCAAAAAGCTTGTGAAAGTATCTGGATCCACATGATTTTTGTACGAACTATATACTATGATTAGTTTTGTCCACTACGTATGCATTTTATATACCAAGTTGCTTTGCATAATGAAAAGGTAACTAGCTAGGAATTATATCACTAATCGATTAATATACTAATAATTAATTTTATGTACGAAACTTAATATCCATGAAATTCTTAGAATAAGTCCCTTTAATGGGCCATACCAAAAATTACTTTTAGGATGTACATGTTTCTAGCTAGGAACCGATAAACCGTCTTCAATTATTGTATGTTTCTTTGGGTTAATCAAGACCGACGTGCATAGTCTTTTATATTTGTCTTAATTCGATCAATTCGATTAATTTTGGTCATAAATTAATGACATGGATACCGGCTATCCTACATAGTGCGGCCGGCGCTGCGTAAATATATGTCCCTTTCAACTTTACCAAGAAGATTTATTAATTTATTCACTTATTTTCCTTTCAACTTTGTCACGGTACATACATGTCCCTTTTTCATCACGTCATCACTTGTTTTTTTTTATTATATGTCGTAGAACGCCGGGAGGCCATTACCATCCCTAACATGACTTTTTCCAACGTTTGGTCATCTCGACCTCGACGGGCTTGGGACACGACACGCATTACTGTGACGCGAGGAAGAATCTCTTAAATGCGAAAGACAGGAACGTGCTCGTAATCGAACGGTATGGATCGTCAGCTAGCGCAAAGTACTTTATCAGGTCACGTCAATTTGAAAAACCTGCATGCCCTTCGAAGACGGCAAGGGCCACTCGGTTTCCAATTTAGTAATTATTACAGAGCCATCATTACCATGCACAGAATTTTATGACCAAACCCTCGGCGACGTGATGTAATAGCGGAACCCACCAGCTGGTGGGGAAGAGGAGATTTTTCCGAAGCTAGGAATATGAAACTTTAGATCGGGATTGGCCTTTAAAGAAAGTTTTACCACTTGTTAAATGCGGCCCACAAGACTTCATATGACATGTTACCAATCAGAATCACGAGGGATCAATCAGTATACACGCTGGGTTGAAAAATTACCATGGGATCAATCAATTCAATTGTAAAGCTATAAAAAAAAAAAATCATATGTCGTGTTGTTATCTTGACATCTTAGCTGGCTCAACTTTAAAATTGTATTGAATTATTAAAGTCAAAAAGTTTAAGATTTGATCACGCGCACCTCCTTCACTTGATTATGGGTTTTCGCGTTTAATTAGAGCCTTCGGGTATATAGAAATTTTTAGCATAGATAGGTTATATACTTCATGAATAGTGTCAGAGTGTGTGTGGAGCCGATATCAAATATCAACTCCTATGCAATGGTTTAGTTAGCTATTCGACTTCAGTTGAATCTATTTAGAGAGAAAATCACCGAGCTGCTTTTTAAAATAAAAGAGAAAGCAAGTCACGCAAGAAAGAAAAAAGTCAAGCTTCCATATGTTTAAAAAAGGGAAAGAAGTTCATGATTTCAATCTTTCTTGCTCTTTCTTCTCCGGCGGTTTTTCTTTTTTTTTTCTTCCTAGCTTCACAATGGTTTGTATTTCCGGCTAGGACGCATACGTGGATGCAAAAACCTCTTTATGGTACGGATGGTAAGAGTTGCTCGTAGTCTAATTTCACTTTTTCCAATTCTTATTGCTCTTTCGATTTAACTTTTCTCTAACCCGAAACATATATATTGGTGTTTGTACATATATCTCAATATAGGCTTGTCATAATTTTGTGAAATTTAATTTTTTTTATTGATTTCAAAAGTGGAGGGAAATCAAAAGGTGCAACTATCAAGCCCTGAAAAGGTGAGGCATAAAGAGAAAAAAGGAAACGCAAAGTTTTCAGGAAGACTTTTGGTCTTGATTCATGACTCCATCTCAGTCCCGAAGCATTGGCGCGTGACCAAATCTGATGACCATCTCGGGGTTGTTTCTGTCGTGAAGAACTTTAAAACTAATGAATGGAGAAAAAATTTAACCAAAGTTTTATTAATTCCATTTTCTAAACTTCTGCACAAAATAGAAATATTAAGTCATGAGAAGGACCAAAACCGGTCGTGCAAATCAGTTAGCAATTATGATCCAATCCATCGCATCGATTTCGTGCTTAATTTAAATGAGAAAGATCATGTATTCAAATCACAACGTCTTTCATGTTTATCCAACAAACGTGAACCGGGATTTACAGGCATCTATAGAGTCGAACCGAAAGAATTTGTGCACCAACAGCTCCAATTGGAAAAATTGCGAGACTCTCAAGTTGAAAAGTCAGTTACTTTCGGCAATGCTCATCCACGACGTTGGACATCAGCAGGTTTGTTTGGACACTACCTAAATGATTTGGGCTCTCATAGCCGTCCCTTTAAAAAACTAGCTTTCACATTAAATGAGGTGAGAATGATTGAAGTTGTTGAGTTGGAAAGGGAGAAAATTACCCAAAAACTCCTAAATCTATTTCAAATCTAAAAAAAAATCAGTCCTAAATTTTTTTACAATTTGTCAATTGAGTCATTTTGGCTAATTTTAGTTAAAAATTGCTAACGTGGACGCCGATCATCTTACGTCGATGCTGACATGGAAAATTTTTGTATTTTTTTTTTTTTTTGCATCGAACTCCCTACCTCGGCCATCCAAATTGGACGGGCAACCAACTAGCTGATGATTGAGATCACGTTATCACGCTAGTGACGGCATAAACTATTTTTTCTATGCTATGGTTCTATCAGAAAGCTAAGCTCCAGGATAACGATAGGTATTATCGGTAAAATTTCGTTCACAAAACAATGTAATATTCGCAAGTGGGCATTTGAATAATCATCATTTAATGTTTGGGGAGCTATTGGTCCAAACAACCAAATACTATTATACATATCATTGTGCAAAGGTCCACACTCAATACGGAAGCTAGATGGTGAAAGCATTACGACATTCCAGCTAAATACAAAGGAGATATTTTCAGATTGAAGAAACGTGCGTCCAATTATTCCATTATCTTAGTGCTTGAGTAGAGATATGTCAAGCCGTCCATATTGTTATGGTTATCTCATGCTAGATTTTCAAAGAAGCTTGCGTGATCTTTGAAATATCTTGCACAGTGCTTGCCAATTTAAGTCGTCAAGTTCTCTGTGGATCGAATTTTTTTGTTCTATTCTTTTATATTTTGAGGCACATGCTCGAACTCAATTGACCATCGACTTGGGCAAGAATCAAGACAGTGGCAATGATGACAGTGTTCGACCGAGCATCGATGACTAGTTACAACTTAGGTTAAGTCTGCTTTGCAGAGAAATCAATCAGTTAACGTAGAATTACGTGCTTTTTTCCCCTTTATCGGGAACAAGAGATTCAAATGAAAAGCCTTGCTTTTTTCATACTGGGGGGATGAGGAGGGCTCGCAGCAATTTCTTGTTCTTTCTTCTTTTTTGTTCAATTCACACACGGTTAAGATCCCAGCTCTCGATCCAAAGCACTGTTTGATTCACTGAAAGATGGAAGTTAATTTATGCGAAAAGTCTGCCCTTCCTAAGCACCGAATCTAATTACCCAAAAGATCAAATTACGACTGCTTTTTGTCTGTTGTATCACTGACCAGCAGTCTTTGGAGTCCAAACCAGCCGGTGAGCCCCAAGTCAGTACCCAGCAAAGCAAAGAAGAAAGGAAGACAGATCGAATCAAGAAAAAGCGTATTCCTTGGGAGCAAAACCCGAGCACACTCAAATCCTCGATTGAACATAAAAGAACGATCAACCCCAGAATTTCATAGGCTTATGTACAGACAATAACTCTAGGCTATCGTAATCTTCAGCTGAAGCGGTAAAGATTAACTATCAGACACTTGACCAGATTTCAAGATTTGTTCCCTTTTGCCAAATCTACTTATTCTATGCAAAAGATCCGAGCAAAGCATCGAATCAGCAGATGACGCAGCCATTTGGGTCCTCTTCTACACTCGTGTTTCTTCCATAGTAATACGGGGGTGGATAATAGACGTATGGAAACGGGTAGACCTTCGAGTCTTTGTTGCTCTTGTCACCGTCCTTCTTCTTGTCCTGATCGTCTTTCTTGCCGTCGTCCTTCTTCTGAGCCTCTTTGGCCGGTCCGACCGAGATTATCTCCGTGTTGAACGTCTTCCTCAGCTTCCCCACGAGCTCCACCGGATCCATACCTCCTGTCACCGTCAGCTTCTTGTCCTTCATGTTTATGTCGATCGAATCGACCCCTGCACATATGCAGCGAAATTCACACTCTGTTCTGAGTCGGATTTCTTTACTGCAGAAATTAAGATATGGGATTTGTTCTTTTTACAGAAGTAGAGAGACAGAGACGAGAAGAAAGCTTGATCTGATTGATACCTGCAAAGCCAGAGACTATCTTCATGGCCTTCTTCTTGTCCTTGTTGTCGCTCAAATCCAGCTTCAACACCGCTTTCTGTCACCAAAACAAGAACCAGAGCAACGTCAAAAAAACCCCTTTTCAGCCCAACAAGGACCACTTTCTCTTCAACCGGCATAAGCACAAAAGTGCTAGATCGCAAAAGAAACGTTAGAGGGCGAGAGCTTACATGCATGTTTTTGCAATTGTGTTGAATTCGACAGAACTGATATTCGTATCTTTCAAGAAAATGGAAAATCTCAAAGACAAAGGGCCAAGAATCCTGCTGGCTTTTTCTCTTCTCTCCTCAGATAATTCGAGAGAGGAAGAGAAGTGAAGCAGTCGAGCAGAGGGAAGATGCTGATGAGTGTGTGTGGATGATGAGAATCTGGGGGACGATGCGGGGCCGAGTTTTATAGGAGTCAAGTCAACCCAAGTCAAGTCAAAGATATGCAACTTGTGGTAGAGTCTGGTACGACGGAGCATTAAAGCTCGCGAGTTTCATCTGAACGCGGTCGTTTCAGTCTACCCGACGCTTTTCTGCGGCCCGGAAGGACAAAAGTTCCAGAAAGAAGTTCGCCTTTTTTCGCAGTTTCGAAGAAGCTGCCGTGCCTGATGCAAACGTCCGGCAGCTTGGCGGTACGTCGACACGTGGCGCAGAGGGGACGGAGACGGGTCAAGGTCAAGTGGTGGGGTCGGGGGGTGTTGAAAAAACAAACAAGAGTGCACAGCTGTTGATGTGGACCGTAGATTCGCCTGTCCAATCATGTGGTGAGGAAGGACCCGCCAGTGAAGAGCCGGTGGAAAAACGGTACAAGGAAGCTCTTGGGGTTGGTCTGGCGGGGGAAGGGGGGAATTTGATTGCATCACCCACCCTCCCTCCACCACTTGCACCGTCGTTCCGAGCTCCCAACGCCGTGGCTCCGCTCGCTCACTCGCTGCTGTGATTTCACGTTGGATGTTCCTTGCAGCTCAAGGCTTGGTAAATTTGATCTCGGAGCATATTGGTTGTGTCGGATCTGCCATCACTGAATTGGAAAAATGACACAAATAGTTCATGAACTCTAACTAAATGTGTAATGTGATTCATGAATTTTTAATTTATTCAATGTGGTCAATGAATTTTAACCCAATGTGCACTGTGGTCTATGAATTTTTAATTTGTTCAATGTAGTCCATGAACTTTTGGTTTATATTCAATATAGTCACTGAACTATATTATTAGGACCACATTGAATAAATTAAAAATTATGTGATCACAGTGCATATTGTGCTAAAATTCATGAACTACGTTAAACAAATTAAAAATTTAGAGATCACATATTCAAAAACTGTTTGTGTTATTATCTCTCATTGAATAAGGAACTTAGTTTCTGTTGTTCAAGAACTCATGACGCTTCCTTTTTTTAATTTGGCTTTATTGTAAAAGTAGAATACTTTAATGCCCTCTAGGTAAAGCGAAATGCTGAGGTGACATACGGAGGAGTTTTTGCTTGACTTCAATTTTCATATATTGATGTACTAATATGTAATCAGAATTAGGACAATCTTTGGATCATCTTAGTCGGATTTCGAGATTATAGGACTTCCTAGTCTTGTTTTGTGATTACACGCGTTTGGCTGAGATCGTACCATGATTACCCCCTCCCCCCAAAAAAATATTTAGCTTGACATATTCGGTCGAATCATATGATACTCGGTTACTTTAGCTTATTTGAATGTTGGTCAAATCCTTTTAGTTCTTGATCGGGTTAGTCGTATGAGATTTTGTGGGATCACTGCTAAACGCCTACTGTTCGAAAAGCATGAAAGCTAAAATATAAATATTCTAATACGGACTTTGGGCCAAGTGTGGATGTATGGCCTGAAAAGATTTGAACTCTAAACCTACTACTTTGATACCGCATGATATTTTACGAGATCAAATCAATTGATTTTAAAGCTTAAATGCTAGATAAATGCGTGATTTTATATATAAATAGCCTAACAAATCGGATCCAATCTCTTTAGATTTTTCACCTTTCAAAAAAGGTCGCTATCTTTGGCCCAAAAGGGTGAATTGATTCGAAGTCACCGGTCGCTTTCCTGAGCAAGTGGCTTTCACCCCCACTAACAACAGCGTACGCTTGTTCTCACCGCTTCATATAAACTAAATAATTTAGATAATCATTGAAGTCTTTCCCCTCCCCTTTAGCCCTTTTATGGATGGATGCACCCTTCTTTCAAAAATACTGCCAAGGGCTTTTAAGAATCGGAGTTATGTTACGTATCTTTCGCGTAAACGACAATAGAATTGTTACTTTATATGACGACAATCAAGTTGATACTGAGATCAAATAGGCCTATGCTTTCGCGTTTATCTAGCGTAGGAATAGACACACATATCTTTATCTCAACTTTATGTTATGTGTAATAAAGAAGTTTCAATTTATTCGTTAGGTCGACCCGTATATGATGCTCTCCATAACTCAAGCGGGTCGGGTCAATTATTTGCCAATATATGATATGGTGACAAGTTAGTCCGTAGTCCATGTAGATTTCAAGAGTAGGCAACTTGGTTATTGTTCAATGTTGCTCGATGCGGATTCCTTACTACGTGTGGTATTTCTCCAGATCCGGGAGATGCAGAAGCAAAAGACTCGACGCAAGTGTTATAATCATTGACATATGAAAACAAGCTTGTTCTCAACGGTCGGGATTGATCAAGGCACCAACAATATTAGTTCTGGCGCAAAGACTCAGAGAATAGCAACCTCTTGCGTGACATAACATAATTTGGATTGCGCAAGGGAAAATGACATGAAGCATCGAAAAGTCCTAACTTGCTCCCACGACTCGATTGCATTCCAAATCCGATTGTTGATTTTGTATACCCGGTGGGGAAAGGAAAACAACATTTCCATGACAAAACGACACGTATGCACCTAAACCAAAGCAAAATCACGTTTCGAATTGAATCTCATACGTGCACAACTAGAGCTCTGCTCGTCAAAATCAGAATTTTCCCCCACTAAAAATCCATTTTAGTAACTGGTCAGATGTCTCCGTTCCTCTTCCGTACTCCACTCATGAGCGTGCCCGCTCTTTCCAACTCTCTCTTCTTTCTTCTTGGGGGGGTGAGGAAGGTGCGTACTTCCTTTCTGACCTGTTCCAATAGGGAATTCGGACTCCCCGACAATAATTAGCATAATCTAGAACGCCGGGTCGCGCGCGGTGTCCGAAATTTCAACGATTAACGCAAACGAAAGCGTTTTCAGTGATTTCGTAACCCAAAACCTTACGTTTTTGTTAGTGGATCGGTCAGATGCGTCTGGGTCGTTTTCCCATCGCAAGTCATCGACAAAAGGAGGAGGAAGAAGGGTCATCACCTGCTCATCGATACTATGTAACGTGATATATTTTGAGGTTTTTACCCTTTGATCTTATCAACTCACGGAGGACCGGGACATGAAAGAGATGAGTGAGGGGGGATCTTCGGATTTGTGCGAGGACGTGAAGACAAAAGACGAGCTCTGTGTCGATGGCTAGTGCCGAGAGCTTTAGTGGGTGGAAAATTCATATACTAACACTGCCTTAAAGGACACGGCATAACCCTAATGTTTTTTTATGCAAATCTCAACTCTATGATCGAAAAAAAAAGCTCTATGATCGGACTAATATGGTCGATTCATGTGATATAGCAATGGAAGTGATAATCGGCTCATGAACATTTGCATGTGATACCGTCTTTTTTTCATATGTGAAAAAGGGGAAAATTACCAAAAAAATCATAAAGTTATTGTAATTGAGCCAATTCAATCCTAAACCTTATTTTTTTTTCAATCGAGTCTTAAAATTTTTTGCGTTTGTGCCAAGTTAGTTTATCCGGCCAATTTTGTGGCCGAAAATTGCTGACATGTACTTCGGCTATCCAACGTGGCACGACCGGCGTCGACATGAACAATTTTTAATAAATATAATATTCTTTTATTTTATTTTTTTGTCATATGTTTCTCTTTCCTTTATTCTTTCTTCCCTATTCTTCCTCTGGTCAGCGAGGGCGAGGAAAAAAAGAAAAAAATACGAAAAATATTTTAAAAACTATTCACATAAGTGCTGGCCGCGTCACGTAAAATGGCACAATTGGCTAAGTGAATTGAATTGGAACAAATGCGAAAGGTTTAGGGCTTGATTGACAAAAAAAAAAGGTTTAGAATTGAATTACACAATTGTAATAGGTGTAGGACTTTTTTGATAATTCTCCCATGGAAAAATAGATGTTTTGCCGAGGTCAGAAGGGATTTATCTACAAATAAATATGAAAGGTGCCTCTTATGATGATCGCGGTAATTTTCCCTTTTTTTGCCTATGATTCTCGTTGCCGTGTGAAAAAGAAATATAGGAAAATTGCTGTAGAAGTCATACACGTAAGCATACACGTAAGTGCCAAGAGTATCCTAAGATTTGCTATCTATGATACTTAAAATGTATAATGATGTCAAGTGCAACTCACCAACTTTTCGGACGTTTAGCTTTGAAAGTATTCTCGTCTAATTTGGACACGAATTGTTTATAGATGAGATCCTCTAGAAGAAAAGCTTTCAGGAAGACTTTTGTCTTGATTCGTGACTTCATGGCAATGCAGCAGTATTGGTATGTAAACTAATCTCGTGAACATGTTGGGATTGTTTCGGGAAAATTACCAAAAAAACTCTAAAATTATTAATACGTTGCTAATCCAGTCCTTAATTTTTTAGTTTGACAAATTTTGTCTTAAACCTTTTAATTATTTGCCAATGAGCCATTCCGGTCAAAATTGGCTGGAAATCGCCGACGTTAACGCCGGCCATTTCTATGTGACACGCGTCGGCACTGACATAGACAATTCTTTTTAATTCTTTTGCATTTCTTTTTAACAAAATTTACGAATTTTGTATAATTTTTTCCATTTCCTTTCCTTTTCTTTTCTTTTCTTCCTCCACCGGTCGCCGTGCCTCGGCAATGGCCGACGACCAGCCACCGCCGAGGATCGACCTCGCCGAGAGCCTCGCCAAAGGCCGGTCGGTTATGACTTACATGATTTATCTTTTCAAAGGAAAGCGATAAGGTACAAATAGATTATATACCCTCCTTCATTAAATTAATCACGCCTCTCTAAATTTTAAGCGTTTATGGCAATTATGTAAGTAAAACAGGGAAACGTGATTGACTAGATGATAGTTACTATTAAGTTTTTCCTTTTTCTTATTGCCATTGCCGGCCGGCGGCATAGAATTCCCTACCTCCGCCATCCCATTTGGATGGGTAACCAGCTAGCTGATCATTTAGATCACGTTCGCATGCTAGTGATGGCATAAACTCCATGTTCTCAATTGTGGCTCTAATCAGAAAGCTAAGCCCCAGGATAATGATGGGTATGGTCCATACAAATTTGGTTTGAGAAACAAATGCAATTTTCACCGCTGGACATTCGAACGAGCATCATTTTGTGTTTGGAGGTATTGATCCAAACAATCCAAACAACCAAATACTGTCATACATAGCACTGTTCAAAGCTGCAACAGTCAATACGGAAGCTAGATGGTGAAAGCATCGTGACATTCCAGATAAATTAATACAAAGGAGTTATGTTTCAGACTGAAGAAACATGCGTCCAATTGTTCCACTATCTCATCATTGCCTGAACAGAGATATGTCAAGCCGTCCACACTGTTTTCTCGAGCTAGACTTTTCAAAGAAGCTTGCGTAGTCTTTCAAGCATCTTGCACTGTGGCTTGGCAATTTAAGTCGTGCTTTGGCCTACCCCAGCAAGAAGAAGAGTCGTGTTTTTCTTGCGCGCTGGTTTGACCAAACGAATAAAATCTTGAGGTATCCCCTTGTTTATACTAACAAAATCAACATTGCTATATTTTAGGCCAATTTCTCTTGAGGCTCAGATTTCTTGTTTTGTTTATTTATCTTTGTCACATGCTCGAACTCGAGTGACCATTGACTTCGGCGGAACCGAGACATCGGCAGTGATGACAACGTTCAAACTGGAGCATTAATGACTAGATATAACTTAGGTTACGTCTGCTTTGCAGGGAGACCGATCTTTTAAAGTAGAATTACATGTTTTTTCACTGCATTGTCGCGTAACATGGACTCCTAGGCAATTCGCAATGTGGTCCTTTATAAGGAGCGAGAGATTCAAGTAAAAAAGCCTTGTTTTTTATATTGGGGAGACGAGGGCCCGCACTCGCACCAGTTTCTTTTTCTTTTTTGTCCAATTTGCACGGTTTTCTGATTCCAACTCTCGATCCAATGCACCAATTGGTTTCACTGAAAGATGGAAATTAAAACTATGCCGAAACTCTGCCCGTCCTAAGCATCAGATATAATTACTCAAAATATGAAATCACGACTGCTTTTTTGTCTGCTGTATCACTGTTCTGCACAGCGAGTTTCTTTGGAGTCCAAACCAGCCGGAGAGCCCCAAAGTCCCCAACAAAGGGAAGAAGAAGAAGAAAGACAGACTGAATCGAGAAAAGCGTATTCCTCAGGAGGCAAATCAGAGTACACTCAAAATCCTCAGTTTAACATCAGAGAACAACCAACCCCAGAATTTTGATATACTTATGCACACACAAGAACTCTAAGCCGTAGTAATTTTCAGCTGAAGCGGTAAAAGATTAGTTATCGGACACTTGACCCAGGTTTCAAGATCTTCTCTTCTGCCAAATCTACTTATTCCATGCAAAAGATCTGAGCGAAACGTCGAATCAGCAGATGACGCAGGCATTTGGATCCTCTTCTACACTTACGTAGCCTCCATAGTAGTACGTGGGTGGTGGGGGAGGAGGTTGATAATACCCGTAGTAGGGCGAGGGTAGTGGAGGAGGAGGTCTATAAAACCCGTATGGAAACGGGTAGACTGTGGGCGGATCGGGCTTCGCGGCTTTCGGCTGCTCGTTCTTGTTGCCCTTGTTATCTTCCTTCTTCTTGTCCGGACCGTCTTTCTTCTTGTCGTCCTTCTTCTCCTCTTTGGCCGGTCCGACCGAGACTATCTCCGTGGGAAACTGCTTCCTCAGCTTCTCCGCGAGCTCCACCGGATCCATACCTCCGGCCACCGTCAGCTTCTTGTCCTTCATGTCCATGGCGATCGACTCGACCCCTGCACATAAGCAACGAGTTTCACACTCTGTTTTGACTAGGTTAACTTAACTGCAGAAATTAAGATCTGGGTTTTGTTCTTTCTGTAGAAATAGAGAGACGGGTGACAAGAAAGGTGATCTGATTGATACCTGCAAATCCAGAGGCTATCTTCATGGCCTTCTTCTTCTCCTTGTCATCATGCAAGTCCAGCTTCAGCACCGCTTTCTGTCATCAAAACAAAAAGCAGAGCAACGTCAAAATAAACCCCTTTTAGCCCAACAAGGACCACTTCCTCTTCAGCCACTACCAGCCACTACAAGTGAAAGTCCTAGATCACAAAAGAAAGGTTAAAGGGAACAAGAATCAGATACTCGATTCCGACTATATACGGAACACCTGAGGGCGAGAGCTTACCAGCATGTTTTTGCACGCGTGTCGAATTCGACAGCAACGATATCTGTGTATTTCACGCAAACGGAAATCTCAAAGAGAAAGATCTAAGAATTCTGCTGGCTTTTTCTCTTCTCTTCTCGTATAAGTAGAGAGAGAAGAGAAAGAGAAGTGAACCAGTCGAGCAGAGGAAGAAGCGAATGAGTGTGTGACGACAATCTTGGGTAAATATACTAGATCTAGTCAACCAGAGTCAAATTCGAGCCTAAGCCAAAGATATGCAACTGTTAGTAGTCCGATCTCGCACGACCGAGCATGACAGCTCGCAATTTCAACTAAACGCTATCGTTTCAAGCTACTCAGCCGAAAGAGATAGTTCCAAAAAGAATTTGGCCTTTTTCGCAGTTTCAAAGAAGCTGCCTGAGGCAAAACATCTGTGCAAGAACGGTACAAGGAAGCGCTCGGGGTAGGAAACCGCTGTTGTGGTGCGTTGATTCGTCTTTCAATCATGCGTCGAGGGGGAATGGCAGAATACGAAAAGAGAATAAGAAAATAGGAGAAATCACTTGTTGAGGAAGGGCGGAGATTGGATCAGTGGAAAAACGGTACAAGGAAGCTCTCGTGGTTGGTCTAATGGCGATTTTGATTGCCCCACCCACCCTCCACCACTTGCCAATATTTATGTACAATGTGTACGAAGTATATTCTTCAGATCATCTTAGTTGGATTGTAGGATTATAGGACTTATAGCTCTTATTTTGTGATTACCCGAGTTTTGCTGATACCAAACTATGAGACTCGACTCAGTATGGCCTATACGGTCAAATCATACGAGACTCGACTCACTTCTCGCGAAAATATGTTGTCTGCTTGATGTAATAACGATAGTGTTTTACTGCAATGCAATGGAAGGCGCAGTTAACAATTCATTACTAAACCTGCAGTGCCTCGAAATTAAGTAAATTGACTTATGTCACTAAAGCTTGCTTGATTAAATATGGGTAATGAATCCATCGGGAAAAAAGGGTTTGAAATGGATAACACAATAAGAATGGGTAACTCACTGGCCACGGCCCACGGCTCGCTCTCACCACTTTCTATAGATTAATACGATGGATAATCATTGAAGTTTTTCCCCTCCCGCTTAATCTTTTAGTTAATGCTCCCTTCTTTCAAACCTAACATTTTTCTCAGTGGATCAATCAAACACATGTGGGTCGGGTTCCCATCGCAAGTCATCAATTTCTTGAGTGGGCAAAAGGAGAAGGAAGAAGGTCATCACTTGCTCATCGATACTCCATATTCGAACTTAAGGATTGCAATCAAGTCATCAAACCCTTAATCTAAGTTTCTTTTTGGCCATTGATCTTATCAACTTACGTCGGATTGGGACATGAATGAGATGAGGAGGAATCTTAGGATGGTGGAAGGACACGAAGACAAAAAAGGAGCTCTGTGTCGTTGACTAGTGCGAAGTGGTTTTGGCACGTCAACATTCCAAATACTGATGGGCTTTAAGGACAAGGCAATAACCCTAATGTTTTATGACGCCATTCGCCACGCACCATCCATGAATGGACTTTGATGAGATATGTACTATGGTCGAGACATGTGATGTAGCAATGGAAGTGATAGGCTCAAAAGTTTCAAGATTTCAAGAGCAACTTGCCAACTTCTAGACATTTACTTTTGAAAATATTATATTCTAATTTGGACATGGACTGTATCCAGACCAGATCCTTAGTCCTATTGGAGGAATCTCCATGGGTTTCATATCATCACAAACCATAAAGTGATTGTGAAATGATCAAGATTTGTCGATTGATCGATGGAGATACTAAGCAGTGTAGAGAATCCTTATCCCCATGTATCTAGCATCCCTTTTTATCTCTTGGTTAGCAATGCGCGATAGATAGGCTTACTACCAAAAATAGATTAATCAAATGGCACATGCAAGTCTCTCCCATCTGTTGTCTGTGCATCGTGGGGCTGGAAGACTGAGGCCACTTAGTTTTTGGTTGTTCCGTTTCGACGAAAGTGTGGACTGTTGTGTTGCAGTTGAATCTTATTTCTCGACGACCCGTTGATTGGCATTCCTGAAGTGGCTTGAGCTGTCTGTGCTTCTAAAGGAAAATCATCTGCTTGTTTCTTGCATAAGCTTTCATGGAATGCGAATTTGTATCTCATTTGGATAACTAGGAACAAATACATGCATGATTCTTCTTTCATTGTAATTACTGATAGGGTTGAACAGAGGGGAAAATAACGCAATTGCCTTGAGGTTTTAGAAAGAAGGTAAGTGGTTACACTCATAGGAATCTTTGAGGTTAGAAAGAAGGTAAGGCTGCTCACGCTTCTCTTGTTCCTTTGCAATAAACTAAAGCTTATTGAGAAAAACTACGCAAGCTCGATGACGTGAGAGATTATGACCTCAAAGCAATAACCGAGACAAGTATCAATCTAGAAGAAGTCGTGTCCAATTCAAATAACGAGTCCACCTAACTATTTGCCCCACCAAAAGGTCAAAAGAACGTGCCTTCTTCCTATGTTATGACCATGAAAGAGGCTTGCATCTTTTCTTTTATTAATAGGTTGAGAGAAAATCACCATAGCTAGTCTGGCCAAATGATATGAAAGCATTTCCTTCTCATCCATGCATACTAAAAGGTGCAACAAGAAGCCTTAAAGGTCCAAACTTCCCTTGTCACACTCATAAAGTCGACGTCGAGGATAAACAAAAAGATGCATCACGGGACATTGAGCATCATAAAACTTAGGCTTTAACATGTTCATCAGAACACATTTCGTTCCAGGAACACTCTTCTAACGAAAATCTAGGAATAATAATACGAGGGCCGTGCCGATGGTGGATAATAGTAAGAAGGAGGTGGGTATGGTGGGTAACCGTAACAGTGGTAAGCTACGTGTTCCGGGTAAGGATTGTTTGGGCTGTCGATGTTGGCATCAGGTTTAGGCTTTTCAGTTTTGGGCTCCTTCGGGCCCAGGTACTCGATGTCCGTGTCAAATCGCTTCCTCAAGCTTTCAACTAACTGTACCGGGTCCATGTCCCCGATCACCGTCACCTTCTTCTTGTCCATGTCCACGGCCACCGATTGTATCCCTGCGAGCCACTTAAGCTTCGTTAAATGGAAACATGTTAGAGTATAAAATAAGCTGGTAAAGAGCCATGCATTCTAACTGAACCTTCAACCCTAGTTTCAACCGCGAAGCTCGAGATCTGAGATTCTGTGGGGTACCTTCATATGCAGAGATTATCTTCACGGCCTTCTTCCTTTCCCTTTCGTTGCCCCATTCCACCCTCAGAACAGCTTTCTGTTCCAAGGCAAAGATCGCAACGACGTATAAATCTAATGATGTTCTTGTTTTTCCGTTTCGGACCACTGATAGAAAAGTTACGAGGAAAGCAAAAAGGAAAGACTCAAGCTTATGAGGTGACGTGGGAATAAAGATCCTGACCTGCATTGTTTGGCCGAGCTCGTGAAGCGGATTAAAGAAGTAAGTGTGCTTTAGCTCTTCTTCGCGAGAAGAGCAATGAACTGAGTTTGAGTAGGAGAAGAGAAGTGTGAATGGAAGTGCGATAGGAATCTTTGGGAAAGCGATGGGGTTTTTAATGAGGGAAAATCTTGTTGACCCGAGTCAAGCGAAAAATACTAGTCAAATTTGATGGACTTGTGCCACGAATTCAAATCAGCTCAGTCCAGTTCGCATCCGTTTGAGTGTTCAAGGCAAGACAGCAGTCAAACGAGTTGCTTGTTGCATACACGAGAATCGTAGATACTTCGCGATTTTTTAAATATAGTTTATTTGTAATTTAATTATACCGATTTTGAGAAATTGAGGTCTTTGTCATGCAATCTCAAAAACATGCTTCTCATGAGTTAAAATATCCTGCGTCGCTTGAATATAGGATTTCTATATTTTTCATATACATATAATCTTACTCCACTTATTAATTTAAGTTTTTAGATGCACTTTTAAACATGGTATCTAACTTAAGCTTTAACGTCTTAATTAGAAATTAATTTTAAGTGGGAACTGTGCATTCGCAATCTATTGGTTAACAGATTGAATGATATAGATAAGGAGCTGCTCTTTAAACATTTGCTTCTTAAGATTCTCTCTTGTCGATTTTAAATGGTTTTCGACGGTAAATAAATGGTTTTAAAAGAGGAGTTAGGCGACAAAAATCCTTAAACGGCGGGTTGAGTTTGCGAATGCACCTTCGTGGAAGCTGCCTCCAGATGCATGCCATTTAGATTATTTTGCCGGAACACTAGGTCGCTCTCTAGGCTTCTTAACTACTTATTCATTTGAATTCACATGCAGCTCTTTTAAATTACAGTATTTCCCGAAGCTACCTGTCAGAGCTCCAGATCTGGCTTGGAGACCGCTTCTGTGTACTTGATTGAGATGTTGCTTTTTATCAAGCAGTTACACTTTATAATTATCTCTTCAATCTATTGCTTGCAATTTGGTCCAATAGATTCAAAGACAATCAGTGTGGCTACTCAAGCGGATCATACGGAACCATACACTTTATAATTATCTCTTGGTTAGCAGTGCGTGATAGGCTTGGTATCAAACATAGATTAATCAAACTGCATATGCAAGTCTCTGCTATCTGCTGTTGTCCGTGCAACGAGGGGCTGGAAGACAAAGATCACTTTGTTTTTTGGGTTGTTCAGTTCCGAAAAAAGTGTTGGGCTGTTGGTTGCAATGGAGCCTTACTTCTCGAAGACCTGTTGACTGGAATTATGAGGTGGGTTCGGCTGTTTCTGCTTCCAAAGGAAGATCATTTCCTTGTTTCCTGCTTGAAAGCTTTCATGGTGTGTGGATCTGAATCATTTCCTTGTTTCTGATGCAAATGTACTAATGTAGAGAGGAGTAAAACGGCTGTTAGGGGGAGGTAACGTGATTGTCTTCAGGTTAGGAGAAAGGTAAATGGTGATACTCGTAGAGATCATTATTGTAATTGGGATCTAGCTTACCAGTGATTAGCTTCTTGAGCCTCTAGCTGGCTGCCTCACGTGCTCTTGTTCCTTTGCAATAAACTAAACTTAATTTGACCTCGAAGTATTCGCAATGTTTTGAATCCACCACCCCTGAATTGGGTTTTCAAGGAATTGGGTGTTCAAGGAATTGAGTTTCTAACTTAAGATGCTCCCTTTCTGATTAGGCAATCTTGTAAAGTAGAATACTTAATGCCCTCTAGCTAAAACGAAATGCCGAGATGAAGAATGAAATACGTTGATGCTTGATTTCAATATTCATTTATAGATGTACGAATATATAATTTGGATTATCTTTGAATAATCTTAGTTGGATTTTAGGATTATAAGACTTCTTGGTCTTCTTTTAAGATTACATGAGTTTTGTTGATTTCGGATTATGATTAAGCAACCCCCCCCCCCCCCCCTCAAAAAAATAAAAAATAAAAAAAGACACATTCACACGCCAGAAAAGAACATTAATTGGCCTATGTGATCGAATCACATGTGACTCGACTTGTTCGTAGTTACTTTAGCTTACTTGATTAATTATGGATAATAGATCCTTTGGAAAAGAAGGGTTTGAGATGGAATAATACAATGAGAATGGGCAACTTTTGGTTTTTTGACTCTCAAGTCAGATCCTTTTACCTTTTGGTCGGGTGAATTAGATCCAACCTCTTTGGGTTTTCACCTTTCAGAAAGGGTCGCTCTCTTTGGCCAAAGAAGAGAATTAATTACAAATAATCGGTCGCTTTCTTGAGAAAATGGCTTTCCATCTCCACTAACGACGGCCCACGCTTGTTCTTTCCGCTTTATATAAGCTAAAAATGTAGATAATCATTGAAGTTTTTCCTCTCCTAGTTAATCTTTCACTGAATTATATATCTGGCTCACAAGAGATGGAGAAGCAAAAGACCTGGCGTGCGTGTTGTAACCTTGATATATGTAAATGAATTTGATAACAACGATGGAAATTTGTAGAGATGTTGGACAAAAACACTACTCGAGAAAGAAGATTTTGATCCGACTTTGGTTCCAACATATGTCACAAAACATAATTTGCATTGTGCAAGGAAAAATGACATGGAGCATCGAATTGTCCTAATTTGCTCCAAGGATTATCAGACTGTTGCCTTGTATACCGGCAGGGAAAGCAACTTTTTCATAATAAAATGAAACGTATGCACCTAAACCAAAGTAAATCACGTTCCCTCCCAAACCTAAAGATTGAATCTCACACGTGCATAGTATGAGCTTTTGCCTGTCAAGATCAGAATTTTCTCAACAGAAAATCCTTTTTAATAATTGGTCCGTAGTCCACTTATAAACGTGCCCTCTTTTTTCCGACCGTCTCTCTTCCTTTTCGACCAATTCCAATCTAGAAGTCGGCCTCCTCCACAAATTAATATAATCTAGAATGCTGGGTCACGCAATGTATGAAATTTCAACGGAATCTAACAAGCTTTCGTAAACCCAAAAGCGAAAAACGAGAAAACCTAACGTTTTCGCTAATGGATCATTCAAACACGCCAGGGTCTTTTTCCCATCACGGGTCATCAAATACGTCATCACTTGCTCATTCGATGTTTTATATTCAAAACATAAGGGCTGCTTCAGCCTTTGATCTTATCAACCTTACGTAGGATTCAGACGTGGATGAGATGACGAAGTGTCTTAGGTATGTGGTTGGTCGTGAAGACAAAAACAAGGAGCTCTGTGTCGTTGGCTAGCGCCTGGCGCTTTTTGGTCGGTCAAAAATTGCAAATGCTAGCAGTAGCAGTGCCTTTAAGGGCGCGGCAACAACCCTAATGTTTGATGACGCCACTGGCCACGCACCATCCATTGATGGACTCTGATAAGATAAGATCCTAATATGGTCGAGAAATGTGGTATTGCGTTGGAAGTGATAATCAGCTCATAAACATTTGCATGAGATACCTTCTGTTTTCTACGTGGAAAAAGAGATGCTTTGTGGTGTTATTGAGACTAATCCCTGTGGTCCTGATAGAGTTGCTTGGAAGCTGACTGCCTCAGGAGACTTCTCAGTCGGTAGTGCATGGAATGCTTTGGGAGCTAAGGGTGTGAAGGTGCCTTGGTGGAGATTGAGTTGGTGCAGCCCCAGTATAGCAAAGAACCGACTTTATCTCTTGGTTAGTAATGCGTGATAGGCTTGATACCAAAGATAGATTAATCAAATGGCGTACGCAAGTCTGTCCTATCTGTTGTCTATGCAAAATGTGGGGTGAAGGTAGAGACCACTTGTTTTTTTGGTTGTTCCGTTTCGATAAAACTGTGGACTGTTATGTTGCAATTAAAACCGTATTTCTCGAGGACCCGTTGACTGGAATTTTGAGGTGGCTCGAACTGTTTCTGTTTCTGAACGAAAATCATTTCCTTGTTTGTTGTTTTAGCTTTCATGGAATGTGTACTTGTGTCGCATTTGGATTACTAGGAACAAACGCCTTCATGAACATGAATCTGCTTTCATTGTAATTACTGATATGATTACAAAGAGGATTAAAACAGCTGTTAGGGGGCGGTAATGCGATTGTCTTGAGCTTAGGAAAGAGGTATATGGTGATACTTGTAGAAATCTTTATTGTAAATGGGATCTAGCTTACCGGTGTTTGAGCTGCTTGAGCATCTAGCCGGCCGCTCAGTTTGCTCTTGTTCCCTTGCAATAAACTAAAGCTTACCGAGAAAAACTACGCAAGCTTGATGACGGGAGAGAGATTATGACCTCAGAGCAATAACCGAGACAAGTTTTGAACTAGAAGAAGTCGTGTCCAATTCCAATAATGAGTCCACCTAACTATTTGCCCCCACCGCGATGTCATAAGAAGGTGCATTCATCTAGAGCAACTTTTTGTTCCATGACAAAGATCACAACACGACATATAAATCTCAAAGATGTTGCTTGTTTTCTTTTGTTTCGGACCCCATGGAGAAATGGTACAAGGAACACAAAAAGGAAGACCCAAGGTTGATAGGCGACGTGGACATAAAGAAGATAGATGCTTTGTGGTGTTATTGAGCCTAATCCCTGCGGTCCTGATAGAGTTACTTGGAAGCTGACTGCCTCAGGAGACTTCTCAGTCGGTAGTGCCAGGAATGCTTTGGGAGCTAAGGGTGTGAAGGTGCCTTGGTGGAGATTGAGTTGGTGCAGCCTTAGTATACCAAAGAACCAACTTTATCTCTTGGTTAGTAATGCGTGATAGGCTTGCTACCAAAGATAGACTAATCAAATGGCGTATGCAAGTCTATAGAGACCACTTGTTTTTTTGGTTGTTCCGTTTCGATAAAACTGTGGACTGTTATGTTGCAATTAAAACCATATTTCTCGAGGACCCATTCGTGAAGTGGGTTTAAAGAAGTGAGCGTGCTTTTGCTCTTTGCAAGAAGAGGAATGGAATGAGTTGAGTAGAAGAAGAGAAGTGCGAATAGAATTTAGCTAGGAATCTTGGGAAAGCGATGGGGCTGCTGTAATTGTGGAGGAACCAGTTGACCCGAGTCAAGCCAAAAATGTTAGTCAAATTGATGGAATTATACCACGAACTTCAAATCCCCTCAGTCTTGCTCGCGTCCGTCGGTGGTCCACTCCACATAGGAGTGGAACAAGTTGCTTAATGCGTACAAAAGAAACGTTAATACTTCCCTATTTTTTTTGAAAAAAATATAGTTCATTTCTGATTATGATTATACCGATTTTGAGACTACAACCGGGCTTTTCTAATTCATGTAATCTCAATACACCTGTCGATTTAAGCTTTTGAGTTGGATTTCCTAATATGGTACCGGAATCAGTGTTATCCATTTCTCGAGTACAAGTCTTGAATGATTTTATAAGATTTCAGGGTCAAATTCTGTCCCGTTTATTTGTCGTATGCATCCACCACTTTTTCAATTAATAAGAAATTAATTCAAGTGGTATTTTGGCGGATTAAAATATAGATAAATAGTTGCTTCATAATATTCTCTCTTGTCGATTTTGATCGGTTTTCCGTTATAAATAAATCCTTTTAACAAGGACAACAGACGACAAAAAACCTCAAACAGAGGCTCAGTTAGTGTATGAACCTTCGAGGAAGCTGCCTCCCACGCATGTTGTTTGGAACATTTCCCTTAACGCTAGGTCCCTCATTAGGGTTTTTTTTTTTTTGTTTTTTGTCTAACACCTTGTTTATATTATATCAATTCATGCGCAGCTCTTTTAAATCTCAATATCTCCCGAAGCTATTTGTACGAGCTCCAAATCTGGCTTGGAGACCGCCTTCTGTGTACTCAATTCATAATAATGTAATCTTTGCTAGTCAGGCCGATCGCACCAAACCAAACAGTATATTAGCATCCATGCAAAGGGTAGGGCAGAGCGATACAGGTGAAAGCAGTACAAGTAGAATTCAAAGCACTTGCGAAGTCCACATAGCCGTGAACATATTCCTACTGAGGATATTAACCATAGTAGCCCCCGGACGGCGGCCAGGGCTGCCCCCAATTGGAAGGATAGGAGTGATACGGGGGTCCGTTCGCTGGATAAGACTGAGCAGGGTAGTAACTGTTGTCACCCAAGTACGGCGGCGCGGACGGCCTCCCATAGTAAGGACCGTGGGGATACAAGTATGGGTAGGGTGGAGAAGGCTCTTGTTGCGGGATCTCGACTGCCGCCGGGGTCCCGACTGCCGCCAGGGTCTCGGTCTTCATGAAGACGATGTCCGTCGCCGGAAAATGCTTTCTCATCTTCTTCACGAGCTTTACGGGATCCATGTCCCCAACCACCGTCAGTCGCTTGTTCTCGTCGTCCACAGTAAATGATTCTACTTCTGCACAGTCAAATGAAAAAAATACGTACTCAAAGCGTTTACTTATTGCCATTTCGAATGGACAATATTCAAGTCGAGGCACCTTCATTCTCGGAGACCATCTTGATGGCCTTCTTCTTCTTATTCTCGCTGGACCAATCCACTTGGAGGATAACTTTCTGCGCCAAAACCAAAACCATATCGACGTGACAAAGAAACCCTAAATAAAAAATTACCATAACTTTACTTCCCATATCAAAGTAACCTCTCTGACCATAAAAAAGAAATATATGAAAGTGTCATCCTCACGTTTCAAAACCTACAATTACCATCCCCGTCTTTTACAGTAAACTTCGAGGCATGTCTCTCACTCACCCACACGTAATTTCATAGCGAACGCAATTCATCGCGAACATGTTTGGACGATTAATTAAACCCGACCCAACCCAAACCCTCCATATCTCAAAGAAGGACACTTTACCGGCATGGTTTTCGCCGGAGTTTCGAAGCAGATAGAAGAGGATTTCTGCTCTCTCTTCTCTCGCTCGTCTAGCTTGCAGAAGAGCACGTGAAACTCTCAAGTTTGATGGGAATGTGTTGAAGGATATCGAGTGCGTTTATAGAGAGGCCTAAGTGACTAGGTCCAGCACTAAGTCAAGCCGTAAACAGTAATGAAAAGGAAAAAAATTGGGCGCCAGAAGAAAAGTAAAAATCCATTCGGCTTCGGCTCTCGGATCCCCCTATCGTGGGTGGGGTCGTCGTCGTCATCTTAACTATGCATCACGTCACGATGGTGATGTCATCTCCCTATCGAGGGTGCGGTCGTCGTCGTCGTTTGTGCGTTTGCTGGTGGGATAGATCAAAAATCAATCACGGGTCTATTGTTGTACAAACAATGTGCGTTTGCTGGTGGGATCGAGGGTGACAAGTGTCCATGCGATATTCGTTATGAGTTGGCAAATAATTGAATCGAACAATATATCGAGAAATAGTTTGTGTACGACGTTGGACTCCCACCATATGATGTGGTTTTTTGTGCAATTCCTGCATCGATTGGTTTAGTCCAGGCCGCCCTTAATAGAATATGTCTAATTAATGTATTGCCACTAGCGAGGAAGACATAAGATAGGGAAAATCGTTTAAAAATTCTAAACTTTTTATTATAGTGTGGCAAGTTGAGTCCTATATTTTTTAATTTGATCAATTAAGTCATAAATCTATTGTCAATGGTGTCCTTTCATACCGATTTTGGCTAGAAATCGTTAATGTGACAGTCTAGGATGATCGACGCTGACATAGACGATATTTGCAATTTTTTAAAATTTTTTGAATGTTTTGTTTTTTTCTCTATTTCCCTCCGTTGGTCGTCAGGGCCTCAGCGATGGTCAATGGAGGTCATAAGGGCTACGAAGCAAAGGAAAATAGACAAAAAAAAAGAGGAAAAAAGAAAAATTCAAAATTTGCAAAAATCATCTACATTGGTACCGGCCGTACCACATAAAATGACCGCCGTCTACATCAACGATTTCTTACCAAATTTGACTGGAAAGACTACATCAGCAAATCGTCAAAAAGCTTAAGACTAAATTGAGAAAATTGAAAAGTTTATAACTGAATTGACTGCTGTATATTAAGTTTATGACTTTTTAAACAGTTATCCCCGATCAATATTCAATGCGCGTAAAATGAAACTATTTGATATTTTTTGGTTACTCATCATAATTGTGGTTTTTTTGCTTTTAATTCACTTGAGTTGTAATTTACATCATGTTTCAACAATTTAACAATCTTGATAGTTTAACTTATCACAGTGCTGATTAAATCACGTTACAGTGAGATCAAAGAGTCGCAAGCACGGTCTAACCGATGGAAGTATATGGATAAGCGATTGCAACATCAACATGAAGTTTACTAAATTTTTTTTTTGCATGTATTAGGCTCTATCAACATGGATTTATTATTTTCAATATCAACAATTTCCCTAAGAAAAGTGTATATCGCTTTCAATTAGATAGGGAAGGACACTAATCAAACGTATCCACATATATTTGTTTTTTGTAAAAAAAAAATTAATAAAAGTTTAGAGTAGAGTAGCCTAGGGGCAGAAGTGAGTCGGTGATTGGAGAACCATGGTTATGCATGGTATTTTTTTTCTCTAAGAATCTCTCTCTAATTACTTGCTTTTTCATAATGAATTTGTTTATGATGTGATGAAATTTTATAGAGGTATAAGAGAGAAAGGGCCTAGAACGACTTTTCCTATTATATATGAATCATGCACGATGGATGTGCTTCTAGAATGTGTGGTCATTACCTACCGGGGTTTGCACACTAGGGTGAATAAATAGAAAATAGCAACTATATAATAAAGTGTATGCAAATGGGGAGTTTTTATAAATATTAATCGTATTTTAATTATCTTTTTTTATTTAATTGGGTAATTTGAGAATGTCGGTAAAAGAGAGAGAAAACCCGCTTTTCGCTTGACAAAGACAGACTTGCATGCACGCGCTTTGAGTATGTGAGATTAAGTCTTGATGTATGCGGAATAAAAAACGAGTCATTAAGGCTGCGCATGGCAACCATTTTGTGCCCGAAAATAGATTTTGCTCTGAAATGATTTTTTTTATTTCATGCCCGAAAATAATTTCTAAGCATTTGAAAGCATTTAGTAATTGCCCAAAATTTCTATTCTTATAATAAAAAAGAACATAAATGCGTTTGGTAACTACACACAATTTCATTTTATTAATAATATTTTGAATTTTATAATATTTCTTTCTTTTTTTCTTTCTTTCTCTTCCCTTCCTTGGCCATGGCTGGTCACCGGCGCCGGCGATTGGCCACAAGCCAGGGCCAGCGAGGGCGTCGCAGCCCTCGCCGGTCGCGACAACGAGGTCAGCCTCGCCTTGGCTTGGCGAGGCCTCGCCATCGCGGCCGCAAGCCGCCCTCGTCGGCCTTGGCCTATGGCCGGTCGCCGGTGGCCGATAGGTGGCAGGCGGCAGGCCGAAGAACAACAACAAACCAAAAAAAAGAAGAATCAGAAATGAAAAAATTGTTCCAGAATCAAGAAGCTACTTTTTTTTTTGTTTCTTAATTATGTTCCAAAACTGATTCTGAGAACAATTTTTTATAAAATTGTGACGGAGCACAAAAAATTTAACAAACGAATTTCTATTCTCAAATTGATGTTATCAAACGAGTCCTAAATATAAGAGCGGGTTGTAATTTTGTAGTAGCGGGTGGTTACTCGACGGAGTGATAAGAGGAAAAGAAAAAAAAAATTACAATGATCAACTTTATCTGTTAACTTTCTTATACTTGGGTATGGGTAAATCCTAAAAAGTGAGACCAAAATTCAATTTTCTAGTCAAAAGATTCCCTCCATCACTTTCTGAAGAATGGTCCAATTTGGTCGGTCGGGCCCATTGGAGAAAGCACTGATCCCCAGAGAAAATTTCCTCAACCACGTGTTCTCCTTGTGGCCCTATATTTGACATATTTGATTGGAGATGATAAAGAGACCTCTTTTTCTAAGTTACGATAATTAGCACCCTTTGCTGATGTTTTAGCTAATGTATATCCTCAAAAGAGTCATGTGTGACTCTGCTATAGGCAATTGTAGCAAAGTCGAGGGACGCGAGACCTTTGTTATGTCTTCAGAGGCGATCGCCAGTCAGGGCAAGCTAGCGTCTAGGCTTGAGAGGCCCGACCGGCAAATGGCGGGTTCCGATGACGTCATTATGTGAAGAAGGCCCGAGCAGCCCGACTTTGGTCCGGGGCAAGAAGTTTATATGTAATATTTGCGTCATGGGCAGATTGCGCAACACATTAGGCCCGACCTTTGTCGAAGTTAAAGGGTAACCGGCTAGCCTTTAATGGGTCATCCCCAAATGAGAAAATTAATTTCTAGTTGGGTTTGGAGAAGTTGGTCCAAGCCCACATAGCTTCTAGCAAAGTCGAGGGACGCGAGACACTTGCCGTGTCTTTAGAGGTGATCGACGGCCAAGCGAGCTTGTGTCCAAGCCCGAGAGGTTCGACAGGCAAATGGCGGGTTCGGATAATGTCCTTATGCGAGGAAGGCCCGACCAGCCCAACCTTGGTCCAGGGGAAGAAGTTTATATGAAATAATGTCATGGGTGGGTTGCGCAATACGTTAGGCCCGATCTTTGTCGAAAGTCCAAGGGTAACCGCGCCGGCCTTCAATGGGCCTTCCCCAAGCGAGGAAACCAACTATTAGTTGGGCCTGGAAGTTGGTCCAAGAGCCTACGGGATTTGATTTTTTACCCGAAAATAGAAAGTTCCAAAGCCTCCACATGGGGCTGCCTCGAAAGAATGGATTTGCAATGAGATCGTTCAATCTGCTTTATCAGAACAACAAATCTCGACTCGATCTCTTCGAATATCTAATCGCCAGTACACCAATCGGCCCAAATGTAGCAATGGCAGCTCTTTTTGGCTATGGATCGTGACCGAATGCTATCGAAACACACACTTCTTTTGCCCACTATTCATCCTAGCCAATTGCCATACCCAAAATATACAATGAAGGGTTAATACCACCAAAAACTCCAAACTGATATACATGTGACAATTTTACCCCGAACATGCCCCAAATTGGTACATTTATGACAATTTTACCTTGAACATACCACAAAAAATCTCAAACTGATACACATGTGACAATTTTACCCAGAATTAAAATTTTAATATTATTTTTTTATTTTTTCGAATTTTTATTAATTTTTTTGTTTTTTCTTTTCTTCATCTTCAACCTCTGGCCCAGAGGCGGAAGCCGGCGAGGTCGGCCTCGCCGGCTGCTAGCGAGGGCCGCCCTCGCCGACGTCGGGCGAGGGCGACCCTCGCCTGAGTCGAGCGAGGGCCGACCTCGCTGCGTCGGGCGAGGCCTACCCTCGCCGGCGTCGGCGAGGCCAACCCTCGCACAGGCGGGCGAGGATAGCCCTCGCTTGGCCAGAGACGAGGCGCCTCGCCGGATGCGGGAGGTCGGCCCTCGCGCGTCGGGCGAGGGTTGTCCTCGCCGGCGTCGGCGAGGGTCGCCTCGCCGCCCGAGCGGTCGGCCCTCGCCGGCGTCGGGCGAGGGCGTCCTCGCCCTCCTAAGCGAGGGCCGCCCTCGCCCGACAGCCGGCGAGGGCCGCCGGCGCCGGCGAGGGCCGCCTCGCCCGACAGCCGGCGATGGCCGACCTCGCTTGGGCGGGCGAGGACGCCCTCGCCCGACGCCGAGCGAGGACGCCTCGCCCGACGCCGGCGAGGGCCGCCCTCGCCGATCCGGTGAGGCGCCCTCGCTGAGTCGGGCGAGGGCGCCTCGCCCGGTCCGTGAGCGGCCCCGCTGAGTCGGCGAGGGCGGCCTTCACACACGCAGCCGCGAGGCGGCCTTCACCCGCGCCGGCGAGGTCAAGCCTTGCCAGCGACCGGCGGGGCCGACCTCTCCAACTTCCGCCTCTGGCCGATCGCCGATCCGGCGACCGGCCAGAGGTTGAAGATGAAGAAAAAAAAATTCGAAAAAATAAAAAATAATATTAAAAAATAATTAGTTCGGGGTAAAATTGTCACGGATGTACCAGTTTGAGGTTTTTTGTGGTCAAAAAAATAGTTTAGGGTAAATTTGTCACGGGTTTACCAGTTTGGAGTAAAATTGTCACAGGTGTACTAGTTTGGGGTTTTTTGTGGTAAAAAAAAAGTTTGGGGTAAAATTGTCACAAGTGTACCAGTTTGGGGTTTTTGGTGGTAAAAAAAAAAGTTCGAGGTAAAATTGTCACACATGTACCAGTTTAGGGGTTTTTGGTGGTATTAACCCTATAATGAATTGTCATGAGCACAATTTGGGTGATTGATTTGAGTAGTCGGAAAACGTGCTAGGTGATGACAAAAGGATATACTTGCTTGAATCCATTGTCTTGAAAGTCGGAACTGTCGCGGTTCAATCAAGTCTCAACCCAATCTCTTGGCCTTTTCTTTCGTTTCGATTTGGATGGGTTTAATTCGATTTACCACGCATCCATTTTCAATGTCCGGTCATATGAACCTCATTTTTATTAAAATTGCCCCGGGATCATGCACAACATCAGCGCGATCAACTTGGTGAATGAAGGATTGATTCGAAAAAAAAGGAGTCTATTTGTCCATGAGAGGAAATGGGTTTTCATGAGTCTTTGAGGATGCAGTGACCGTTGGATCAATATGAAAGTCATTCCGATTCGTTGATTTGGAATTTTTCTATATTTTTAAATATTACGATATAATGTATAAAATTTGCGAGGAAACGAATACGATTGATTAAGGTAAATGATATAAATGGTTTTTGAATTTTGGTCCAATAAGCATTGTGGCTCCTGAACTTTAAATTTATTTAATATGATCCATAAACTTTAGCCCAATATGTAATGTCGTCCCTATACTTAAAATTTGTTCAATATGGTTCATGAAATTTTGGTACGTGTTCAATTTAATCCCTATATTGTATGAAAATGTTCAATATTGTCCATAAATTTGAATTAATAGAATGACAACTAAATTGAATATGCATCAAAACTCCATGGACTACATTGTACAAAATAAAAGGTTAGAAATGATATTACACATTGAATTAAAATTTATAGATTATATTGAATAAATTTAAAATTTAAAGACCACATTACACGTTGGGTCGAGACCTATCTTCTCGGAACTGAAAAAATATCTGCCCCTTTTCGCTTGGAGTAGGCCCCACGGAAAATATCTCAGAGGAGATTGTGACGTTCGGGGATGGGGCCATCACGTGGCGGTTGTTGATTGGCCACCGAAACCTGAGACCGTGGGCGGGGATGACATTAGGCGGAAGGGTTGGGATGCCAGCCACGTATCGACCTCTGATTGGCCATGAGTGCAGGACTTCACTTCCCTCTGCTCCGTCCCGTTTCGGTCCCCTTTTCCGTTACCCACCGAAGTTGGCTTCGGAGGTGGAATCGCCTGCTTCCTTATCCACGCTACTCCCTCGTCATACTCCTTCTCATTGGTTCTAATTTCAGTTTTGCATGTCTCTATCGATCGACAAAACACAATACCAATGGCATGTCCCTCTTGATTAGAAAAATCATGAGAGCTTTGCTGCTTCGATGAGGTCGATATGATAAACGTAGAAGTTTCGTTTATTTCGCGAAAAATGAATTATTTTTAAAATACTTTTTCTAAAAGCGGTTGCTTATATTGCTTGAAATAATTAGCCAATAAAAAATATTTTTCATTATCGACAACAATTAGCATTTAAATATTTGCATGAATGATGAATTTTTTTTTCATTCATTCATTTTTGTAAACGATACAAATATTCGTTTTTAAGAAAATATTTTCCAAATCATTCATTTTTTTTTTAAACAAACGCACTAAATATTGATTTAAGTAGTTAAATCTATATGATTTTCTTGCTCGTCGAAAGAAGCCTCTTACTTTTGATTCCATTTTTCGCCTGTTTCTAATATGTATGTACCGTGTAATTTTAGCACTTCCTTTTTGTAACCAAGAAATATGTTAACAAGCATTTTAAGCTCTTTGGAGCCACTTTTAAGTCCGCACGACTTTGACCATAAATATTTTGCATTTGTCTCTCATTTGATTGTCGAAGGGGGTTTGCAGCTTGAATTTGCTCATAAATTTCTTCTATTCTAGTTTTTTCGTTATGTATGCATTTTGCGCGGTTCTAAATGTATATAATTCGAAAGTAGCATTCCCATAGTTAGGAAACTGGAAAATCGCAATTCGATAGCTTCGATTTGTTGTATTGAATGGTCAATGGATTTCAATCCTCCACTGAGCGAAGTATCTCATAGCAAGCGCATTAATCAGAGCGAAAATGAATTTAAGGAAATCATTGTAAATTCTAAAATAAATTATCAGATGAACCTTTTATCGAGTGAAGAATGGTGATAATCACGAACGTTGACGGGTTCTTTTAAAATCAAATCAATCACGAATGAATAGATTACAAATCGAATTAAGTGTAATTGCAACATATCAAATCAAACGTAGCGAGTATATTGCATTTTCTATTTCAATTGTCAATTCATGCTTTTTACATTTTTTTTGGCTAGAAATTAAAGTTATTTAAGTCAAAATGTGGTAAATACCCAATTTGCGTACTTTACTTCGATTTTCACTGAAAATATCAGCGAGTAGAGAGGTCTTCCCTCGTAAAAATATCCTCGTTTTTCACTGCGCTTCCATCGGAAACCGGGGGCAAAACACCCGAACAGCCGCGCTATAAGACGGAACAGAAGTACGAGGATTTTATAAAGGGAAATGTTCCCGCTTGAATCATCTCGAGAGCCGTGGCGAGGTCTGGTTGGTCCACGTGTGATGGACTACCTAACAACGGACCGCAGGGGACACCGGCACCGCACACCCTTATATAATCCCCTCGCGTTACCTCTCTGCAAACGAGCCGCGTTTCTATTTTCTGCTTCCTTTCCAAGTCTCACTGAAAAACAACCACGAATCCACTCCGATGGTGTCCAAGAACCCGAACCCGGCCGAGGGATTCTACTTGGATCCGAACGGAATGGCGCTCCCCGGCTTCGTGCCCTTCTCGGCGGCGAATAATGCGGCGGCGGCGGCGGCGGCGTCCCCCACCTCGTCGTCGGCGGAGGATCTGGCGAAGAAGGTCCGCAAACCCTACACCATCACCAAATCCAGGGAGAGCTGGACGGAGCCGGAGCACGACAAGTTCCTCGAGGCACTTCAGCTGTAAGTTTCGATTCTGAATTGCGCTCGCGCCCTTATTGATAGGGTGATAGGGTTTCGGCGCGTGAAGCGCGTGGGGTTGTTTGGGGGCGGCTAATTTGAGCTATTTGGCGGGTTGGTTCCACGGTACTTTTACAGTGGATGCTAATTGGTGGGTGGGGTCGAATGTGTGGGAACTTATTGATAAGGAAATTGACTTGTGGAGTGATTTGATGCGTTCTAATGAGTGTAATAGTTTGTGTTGTGTTGATCTGGACTTGAGGAACGGTGGTGCCTGGCTTGATTTTCTCATGTACTGTTTTTGTCGCCCAGAGAATTTTCATTTTCTGTCTATTATTAAGGATAGATTGTTGTTTCTGGTTCAGAGGAGAAATATCTGCCCTTTCCTCAGTATACAAACACGGCTGGCATATGGCAATTAGATTACATTATAGAATGCAATATGGAAATTGCTATTTTGCGGATTTTTAGCTGATTTACCTACATATCGGATGAATAAAAATGAACTTTGTTTGGTTATCATTTTGAAATGAATCTATTTGCATGGAGAGTTGTGGAGGAAGTGGGATGTGACTTGTGAGTGGCTTGAAAAATTAGCTATCTTACGTGCATGATTGTAGTCCTGCTTTACAATTCTCTGGGTTGATGACGATGTTCAACTGTCTATGGTATGTTAATGGTATACTTTTATTAAGACTTAAGACATGCATTTCCCAAGAATGCATTGCTTTATCGGCTCATTGATGCTATTTAGAGACTGCTTTGTTAAGGTTGAGACTCGTTTGATTGTCTTGAAGACCCATCTACTTTTGTGATTATCCTGGTGTAGTGGCTAAGGCCCATATTCTCTTTCAATGCTTTTCCAGCTTTGATCGTGACTGGAAAAAGATTGAAGCCTTTGTTGGGTCAAAGACAGTCATCCAGGTACCGATCAATGCATTTACTCCTTCAGTGTATGGAAATATTCATGAAATTATTGGTTTAATTTCTTAGAAGTTAAGCATTTGGTGGCATATCTAACATTATGCAATAATATTCTGAATTGTAGCCTTGCATCTCATCAGTCTTCTGTTAATTGTTGATATGACCTATATGGATCTATTCATGAGTCTAATGGAGAGCGGTGGCTTTGTGATTGCTGACCTTTTGGTTGTGTGAAGACTTTAAATCAGATTATCAATATTAGAAGTTGCTCTGATTCATGTTTACATGTTGGGTGCAGATACGCAGTCATGCTCAGAAGTACTTTCTGAAAGTGCAGAAGAGTGGCACAAATGAACACCTACCTCCCCCTCGACCGAAAAGGAAGGCTGCTCATCCATATCCTCAAAAAGCCTCAAAAAATGGTAAAAAAAAATTAAAATAGATAAATGGATCGATACTGAATTGAATGCAGAAAGTCCTTTCACTTAATTTTGTTATGACTAACGAGCCACACATGGCAGCTTCGGTTCCGACACCAGCCTCTGGGGCATTTCATGCTTCACAAGCACTGCTCGAATCTGGATATGTTCTTCGGCCTGATTCCTCTTCAGTTCTCAGAAATCCTGTTAATAATGCTCCAGTGTCTTCCTGGACGAATAATACCGTGCAGACTGTCAGTTTCTCCCGCCCAACAAAAGGTTTGTGCATCAAATATGCTTGACCAAAGCAGACTCCATTTTCCAAAGAAGTGACCTTGGCAACTTTCTGTGTTATATAGAAAGCTCTCGCACTATATTTCGATCAATAATGATGTGTGTTTTCAGGCACAAATGTGATCAATAACTCCTGTAGCAGCACTGACAGCACTCCGAGAACACGACCAATTTGTGAAACAACTGACCAAGGTCATAATGCCACTGCACTGAGAGGTACAGAATCCATCTCTTCATCCCTTCCGACCCTTCTCCAGTACGAATTGTTTCAGGTTAATTTCAGTACTTTGGGTGCTTCTGACTTACTCGTAGCGGTACTTTTGGCCAGCTGGCGACTCAGTTGATCTGTATAATGTAGCTCGCGGTTGTTGACAGTCGTCTTAATTTACTGTCATGCAAGTTCTAAATGAAACTAAATCAATTGTTTTTAAAATCAGTTGTATATGTGCATACTATGTGGATTTGCAATAGTTGTCCCTCTTCTCTTTTTAGCTCAGTCGGCTGCCCCGGCCAAATGCCTAGTCAATTACTGATTGCTATGCACTTCTTGGACATTTAGCCGTACGGTTGCATCACTGTTTACCAACTTTTGGTTCTATTTTCTTTCATTTTCTAAGATTCATTTTAACTACCCCCAATTTCACCTCTTCCAAACACAACATTAGTTTTGTTACTATTGGAAGAGAGATGTTTGCACCAAATGTAGGGTATGGATTGACCTAGTTTCATTAAGAAAGTTGAACGGTTGGTGCTAAAAGTTAAAATGTTAAAGTTGCTGCTAAGTGGCTATAGGATTGTCATGTATTAAATTGCTGTCATATGTTAATTCAGTTTTGAAGGAGAATTTGGTGCGCCATTGTGGACTCTGCATATTTTTGCTTCCTGTTTGGTGTTGACAATTCACAAGTCGATGTTTGTGCTGGTGTAATCATGTTGCGTGTACCATGGAATTTTTCTCACTAATAGTTTAGGTGAATCCTCTTTTTTTGGGAGTTTCATTCATCCGCATTTATACTAACTAGTGACATATTTTTCTTTGTATGTGGTGCAGTTTTACCTGATTTCGCTCAGGTATACAGTTTCATTGGCAGTGTCTTTGACCCGAACACCTCTGGTCATGTGCAGAAACTGAAAAAAATGGATCCTATAGACGTTGAAACAGTATGTGCCCTTCTGCTCTTCCAAATTTTTGAAACTCTTTGTTTGGTCACTTCCTCAACCAAGAGTTAAGGCTCTGTTAGTAATACGTCATGTCTGTATTTTTTAGAATTAGTGTCCTAATTAATCATTGGATGGTTTCGGAGCTTTATATGAACGATAAGATATCTATAATTTAGTGAGAAACAGCTAAACTGTCAAGGTTAAAGAGTGAATGTGTGTTTTGTTTCAATGTGTGAAGATTAGTTCAAGGCTTATGGAGTGTAGAATAAACTGGAGGGTAGTACATCAGTATGGGAATTTAAGTTTCTGGTATCAGCAGTTCTAGAATCGACAAGGAGATAATTGAATTGAGAAAACAGAAACAGCTTATTGGTTTATGGTCAGGACCTCGCCCTAACTGGTCTGCAGCGCTTTTAGTTTCTATGTGGGTTCTTTTGCCTTTAAGTTCATGGGAGAAATTTCTTTTCTCAAAACCTGCTTCATGCCTCCCATGCTTTGTAAACTTATGATGTCATTTCTTTGTTACAGGTGCTTCTGTTGATGAGAAATCTATCCATTAATCTGACAAGCCCAGATTTTGAGGATCACGTGAGTAGAACCCCTCTCTCCCTCTATCCCACATGCACATGCGGCACACACACACACAACATGCACAGACAGTTGAGTACTTTATTGGTTTCTGGTCTGGGATACTTAGGGCCTATATGGCATCTTGCCAAATAGTGATTGATTATGTTCTTTTGTTCCTAGAATCAGTTTGGGAACAGAAAATCCGTTTGTTAAATTTTTTGTGCCCGGGCATAATTTTTCGCAAAATTGTGCCCAAAATCAGTTTTGGAACAGAATCAAGAATAAAAAAAAAGTAGCTTCTTGATTCTGGAACAATTTTTTCAGAACTGATTCTTCTTGGTTTTTTTCTTTTTTTTGGTTGTTGTTGTTCTTCGGCCCGGCCACCGGCCACTGCCGCCGGCCGCCGGCGACCGGCCACAGGCCAGGGCCGGCGAGGGCGTCGCGGCCCTCCTCGGTGGCCAGCAAGGGTCCCCCTCGCCACCTGGGCGAGGGCGGCTTGCGGCCTTACCCAGCCAAGGCGAGGCCGACCTCGCTATCGCCACCCACGTCCGTCGCCTGGGTGGCGACGGCGAGGCCGGCCTCGCCTTGGCTGGGTGAGGCTCGACCTTGCGGTCGCCACCGGCGAGGGCGGCGGCGAGGGCCTCGCCCTTGCCGGCCCTGGCCTGTGGCCGGCCATGGCCAAGAAAGGAAGGGGAAAGAAAGAAAAAAAAAGAAAAAAATATTAAAAAATTCAAAATATTATTAATAAAAAGAAATTTTGTGTAGTTACCAAACGCATTTCTATTCTTTTTCTATTCTAAGAACAAAAATTTTGGGCAGTTACCAAACGCTTTCAAATGCTTACAAATTGTTTCCCGGCACAGAATTAAAAAGAATCATTTCTGTCCAGAATCAGATTCTGGGCATAGAATGGTTGCCATACACAGCCTTACTAATGAACATTCATACTATTTCATTTTTTATTTATCTGGAATTTGTGAGGTGAAATTGGTTTAATGGTACCGATGAGCTTTATTAACTGTGTGCCTTCTGTTGGCATGCGATTTTGGTTTCAACTGTGTTCATTGAATTGTTTCAGAGGAGGTTGCTTTCAACTTATGAGATAGATGCTCAGATTGGTGGTGGAGCACACTCTCGTGATGATCAAACCAGCAATGTCGTGTAATTTTCTTAGAGGGATGCATAAAGAGATCAATTGGTCCTTGCCGGTGGTGGATTGCCAGTCGCTTGAAATCCATGGTCACCAAACCAAAAGCATCGGTTCCCGGGCTATATGATTGTCGGGACAGTCTTTTGTTTTGTCATGGGGGTATAGATCAAGTTAATTCCAAAGTAGCCTGTCCTGGTCATGGTTTATTTGTAGTTGCATATGGGGTTTGCTGGGTATATATATTACCGGAAGGAAATAATGTGGGGTTGTATAGTCGCCAAGATAGGCAGTGCTTGTGCCGGAGTCCCCAATTCTTGGCCGAGTTTTTACTGATTTGAACAGGAGGCGAGCAACAGTCTGTACAGTTGTAGGTTTCTTTGTATTTAAGTTTTGCTTCCTCTAGCAATAACGTTTTTGATCGTTGTCATTGGCACTGCTCATACTCTTAACTGTGTTCTTGACATTTCTAGTGGTCCAAGTTCTTAATCCTGAATAACTCCAGCAAAGTGAAGAGGTGAAGAAAACAGCTACCTTCATGTAGCGTTGACAAATCAACCACTCATAATCGGTTTGCCCATTGTATGTGTTAATTTGATTTCTACGACAAGTAGAGCTAGAAACTAAGGGTGCGACCGGTAACCATTCTGCTCCAGAAATTAAATTCTTGCCAGAAATTAATTTCTGGAATTCTTGCTAGAAATTGATTTCTGGAGGAGAAATCTGTTTGGTAAAATATGATTAAGGGCCCGTTTGGTAACGTGCCAAATAGTGAAAATTTCTGTTTTTTTGTTCTCGAAATAATTTGGGTAAATGCGTTTAGTAAACTTTTTGTTTCTCGGCACATTTTTGCAAAAATTTGTGCCGAGAAACGTTTGGAAGAAAAACAAGAAGAAAAAAGTTTCTTCTTGTTTACGCACAATTTTGAGAATCAGTTCTTTTTCTTCTTTTTCTTTTTTTCATTTCTTATTTTGTGTGTTGTTCCCCTGGCCGAGCCGGCGCTGTCGCGGCGGCGACGGCCACGCCCGGGGCGGCGAGGGCGTCACGGCCCTCGCCGGCGCGGCGGGGAGGCGAGGGTCGCCCTCGGCGAGGGCGAGGGCCGGACCTCGCCCGGATCGAGCAAGGCCGAGCCTCGCGCGTCTGGGCGAGGCCGCCTCGCCCAGGCGATCGGGCGGGCCGAGCCTCGCCCTCTCGGGCGGCCGCCGCCCGGCGGCGAGGGCAAGGTTCGCTGACGGGCGACCCTCGCCTCCGCCGGAGGCCGGCGAGGTCCGTGACGCCCTCGCCGCCCTCGGGGTTGTGGCCGGTCGCCGGCGCCGGCGACCGGCCATGGCCAAAGAAGAAAGTAAAAAGAAAAAAAAAATTTAAACAATTCAAAATATTATTAAAATATTATTTGGGAACAGAAATTTTGGGTAGTTACCGAACGCATTTCTGTTCTTTTCTACTCTAGGAATAGAAATTTTGGATATTTATCAAACGCCTTCAAATACTCAGAAATTGTTTCCGGGCACAGAATAAAAAAAAATCATTTCTGTTCAGAAATAGCGCCCGGGCACAGAATGGTATTCATGCGCACCCTAATTCTGCTCCAGAAATTGATTTCTGGAACAGAAATTTGTTTTGATTTATTGATTTTTTTTGCACCTAAAAAAATTAAAATTTTACTCAAAATGAGTGGCCACAAGTATTATAAGCCATTCTGTAAAGTTTTGAAATTTTTGATTTTTTTAATTTTTTTTTGGGCACCTAAAAAAATTTAAATTTCACTCAGAGTGAGTGGCCCACAGGTATTCTAAGCCATTTTGTGAAGTTTTGAATTTTTTTTTTGGGCACCTCAAAAAATTTAAATTTTACTCAAAGTGGATGGCTACAGGTATTCTAAGCCATTTTGTGCAGTTTTGAAATTTTTTATTTTTTTTGGGCACCTCAAAAAATTTAAATTTCACTCAAAGTGGGTGGCCATAGGTATTTTAAGCTATTTTGTGAAGTTTTGAAAATTTTTATTTTTTTATTATTTTTATTATTTTTGGGCAGTTCAAAAATTTAAATTTCACTCAAAGTGGGTGGCTATAGGTATTTTAAGCCATTTTGTGAAGTTTTGAAAATTTTTATTTTATTATTATTTTTATTTTTTTGACCTCAAAAATTTAAATTTACTCAAAGTGGTTAGGTATTTTAAGCCATTTTGTGAAGTTTTGAAATTATTTTATTATTATTTTTATTTTTTTAGACCTCAAAAATTTAAATTTCACTCAAAGTGGGTGGCCATAGGTATTTTAAGCCATTTTGTGAAGTTTTGAAATTATTTTATTATTTTTATTATTTTTATTATTTTTGGGCACCTCAAAAAATTTAAATTTCACTCAAAGTGGGTGGCCAAAGGTATTTTAAGCCATTTTGTGAAGTTTTGAAAATTTTTATTTTTTTATTAATTTTCATTTTTTTGGGCACCTCAAAAAATTTAAATTTCACTCAAAGTGGGTGGCCATATGTATTTTAAGCCATTTTGTGAAGTTTTGAAAATTTTTATTTTATTTTATTTTATTTTTGGGCACCTCAAAAAATTTAAATTTCACTCAAAGTGGGTGGCCAAAGGTATTTTAAGCCATTTTGTGAAATTTTGAAATTTTTGATTTTTTTTTGGAACCTTAAAAAATTTAAATTTCACTCAAAATGGGTGGCCACATGTGTTTTAAGCTATTCTGTGAAGTTTTGAAATTTTTTATTTTTTGATTTTTTTAAAAAAAATTCACCAAATTTTATATTTTCCCGAAATCTGACCTTTTTTTATTTTCTGGAAATTTTTATGAATTTTTCTAGAATTTTTTAATTTTTATGCATTTTCTGAAAAAAAAAATTGTGAGAAAATAGGGAGAATGCATTCCGGAATCAAGAAGCTACAAAAAGTAGCTTCTCTTTTTCTTGCCAAAAACTCATTCTGGAATAAAAAATGCATTCTGAAATCAAGAATACATTCTGGAATCGAGTATTTTTAACAAACGCATTTTTATTCCAGAATGCAAAAATCGCTTCAAAATGCATTCCGAAAATTTTTTAACAAACGTCATTCTGTTCCGGAATGCATTCCAGAACAGAATTTTTATTCCGGAATGCATTCCATGCGCACCCTAAAAATCCACCGTTGGAGAATTGATGCTACTGATGTGATGAAAAAACGATTCGTATCGTCTTCAGGTAAGTAGGTAGAGGGAACCTTAAGTAGTTGCACCACTAATTCACAAGGTGAAAAAACAGGTAAACATCGAACAAATGGAGCTTCTCATGTCACACGTCCAAATCGAACAGACCCAACATGACCTAGGACACACTTTTAGGGACTACTCACTTCACCATGGAACGTTGACAAACGTCACCTAAAGTACTGCGAGAATGAAAGTGACAAGAAAGTCTAAGACGAAAACATTCATCGACCATGATAACTTTGCATGGCAACTCAGTCCACTTCCTCCATCTTGCTCTCCTCAGCACGATCCTCCTCCAAGGCGGGCATATCAGCATCATCGCCTCCCGTCTCGTCCTCATCAATGCTAAGGCCCAACTTCAACATCCTGTGAATTCTAGCCGCGAAAGTGTTGGGATCGTCAAGGCTGAAACCTGAGGTCAAGAGGGCAGTCTCGAAGAGCAACATCACGAGATCTTTCACCGACTTGTCGTTCTTGTCGGCCTCGGCTCTCTTCCTCAGCTCCTCCATGATTCCATTGTCAGGGTTAATCTCCATGGTCTTCTTGCTAGACATGTAGGAGCCCATGCTGTTGTCCCTGAGGGCCTGAGCCTTCATGATCCTTTCCATGTTTGCCGTCCAACCATACTCTCCTGTCACCAGGCAGCAAGGTGAGTCCACAATTCTGTCGGACACGACGACCTTCTCCACCTTGTCTCCGAGGATGTCCTTGATGGTCTTGCACAGGTTCTCGAAGGACTTCTTTTTCTCTTCCTTCTTTTTCTTCTCCTCTTCTGTCTCGTCGTCGAGTTTCAGTCCCTCCTTCGTGGCAGAGACCAGCTTCTTCCCATCGTATTCCTTCAATTGCCCAACAGCATACTCATCAATGGCATCGATCATGAAGAGCACTTCGTAACCCTTCTTCTTGAGTCTCTCCAGGAACGGTGAGTTCTCAACAGCTTTCTTGCTTTCACCAGTAATATAGTAGATATCCTTTTGGCCCTCCTTCATTCTGGTGACATAATCTTTCAAGCTGGTCATCTCATCGCCACTCTTGGTTGAGTGGTAGCGGAGCAAGTCAGCCAATTTGGTTCTGTTCTGGCTGTCCTCATGGATACCCAACTTCAGGTTCTTGGAGAAAGCCTCATAGAACTTGTTGTAATCCTCCTTGTTCTCTGAAATCTCATTGAACATTTCGATGCACTTCTTCACAAGGTTCTTCCTGATAACCTTAAGAATCTTGTTCTGCTGCAGCATCTCACGGGAAATGTTGAGTGGCAAATCATCGGAGTCCACAACTCCCTTCACAAAGCCGAGGTACTCAGGGATAAGTTCCTCGCAGTTGTCCATGATGAACACCCTCCTGACATAGAGTTTGATATTGTTCATCTTCTTTCTGGTGTCGAAGAGATCAAATGGAGCTCTCTTCGGAACAAAGAGTATTGCTTTGAATTCGAGCTGGCCTTCGACAGAGAAGTGCTTGACTGCAAGGTGGTCTTCCCAGTCGTTGGTCAAGCTCTTGTAGAAGGAAGCATACTCCTCCTTGGTGATCTCCTCCGGCTTTCGCAGCCAGATGGGTTTCTGCTTGTTGATGAGTTGCCACTCGTGTGACACTTCCTTTATCTTTTTCTTCTTCCCTTTCGTATCTTCTTTCTCCTCATCAACATCCTCAACTTCTCCCTCCTCTTCCTTCTTGGGATCGTCTTCATCCTCGTCGTCGCTGATCTCCTTCTCAGTTGTTTTCTCGGTCCAGAGGTAGATGGGGTAACTGATGAATTCAGAATGCTTCCTCACAAGGTCCTTGATCCTCCTCTCCTCCAAGTACTCCAACTGTCAACAGAAAGGCAGACATCAGCAACCATAATCAGTGACCGGTTCAGTCCATTACCATTGCAAATTCAACATATAAACTAAACTCTGGTAAAGGAACACAAATGCTGCACGATCCGTGAGTCAGAAAAATATCCTACCTGGTCCTCCTTGAGGAACAGTGTGATTTTGGTTCCTCTTCCAAGTTGCTCTCCACTGACGTCCCTTGTGACAGTGAAGGAACCTCCAGCCTGCGATTCCCAGATGTATTGCTCGTCGTCATTGTGCTTCGTGGTCACGATGACTTTCTCAGCCACGAGGTAAGCTGAGTAAAACCCAACACCGAATTGGCCAATCATGCTAACATCAGCACCAGCTTGCAATGCTTCCATGAATTCCTTGGTACCGGACCTTGCGATCGTACCCAGGTTATTCACAAGATCTGCCCAAAAGAAACGGCCAGAATTACACTTCGTCCGAAGCAAGTCGCTAAAAGAACACAAGAAAGCTCGTTTGGCAAACAAATCTCACCTGCTTTGGTCATGCCGATACCACTGTCGATGATCGACAGGGTCTTGTTAGCCTTGTCCGGAACAAGCCTGATGAAAAGCTCCGGCTGTCCATCGAGTTTGCTCTTGTCCGTGAGACTCTCGAAACGGATTTTGTCCAGAGCCTGTATTATTTCCGTGACAAAACCAATTTTAGTTTCTGTCCTAAAAGTGATGAATCGTATTCCACGATAGACAGACATATCATATCGTCCAAATCGATCCCCTCAACTGTCTGTTACTACAATTCATTAAGAGATCAATCAAGGCCTAGTATAAGAACAGCCTTCAAAGCACTAGCTGATAGCTATACACCGATTCAGAGATCGGTTCAACTGCTCGAAGATGCAGGGGACAACAGTGTCTTGGTCTATAAAACTGAAGATTAGGGACACACATCAGCGACTAATTCTTCCTAAGGCAACGCAAGTGATTCGAAACGATAGTAGAATTGACCGATCTAAGCACGGCTTCTTCGTCATCTTTCTAGCCTTCCAACTCGTTCCATACCAAGTTGTCTCCTCCACTAAGCGATGCAGGGCACTCGCACACAACCACGGACACACACTCAGCAGATAAACAGGGGGGGGGAAGCAGGGAGACGTACGTCGGACGAGTTGCTGATGATCTCGCGAAGGAAGATCTCCTTGTTGCTGTAGAAAGTGTTGATGATCAGGCTCAGGAGCTGGTTGATCTCCGCCTGGAACGCGAACGTCTCCGCGTCGGCCATCTGCACGTCCGCCATCACCGCAGCGCCAGAAGAGGAAGGAAGCACGATCACAGCGAAAACGAGAGCGCGAGAGAAGATCAGAGGCAATGCAGAAGATCGCGTCGATGAACTCAGATGAATCCTTACTCTGTGTCAGAGAGAGACGAACGCGACGGTTTATATACAGAGAGGCTTGGCGCGAAGTAGACGGGGCGGGCGGGTTCTGGAGAGTTCCATGCAACGACGCCGTTGACGAGAACGGAGATGCCTGAACCCGCTGCGAAGTTGTCGTGTTCTTGCCTTTACGTTGTTTTGGAGAAATTAGAAATCGAGAAGGTTCGTCCACGTCACCAGTCTCGAATGTTCTCGTCGGACATTTTTTATTATATGCCTTAGCCCGTTGACCCGGAATCCCCACGGGGCCGAGCGGTTTGACAGACCTGGTCCAGGCCCAAATCCCAGACCAGGCCTACCTGGGCCATGATGGGCCTGCTCGAGTTTGGGCCTGAGCCTGCTCGGCCCGCCCACGGTCAAAACGCGAGTTCGAGACCGAAAATAAGGCAACAGGAAGATTATGAGCAAGTGCTGCGAATTGTGAGAAATGAAAAATCATGAGGCCGGATCGCATCCAAATCAAATCTGTTTAGGTCTTCCCAGCTTTTTGGTATGGCGCGACATTTTCGAGGACATGAGATGGGTAGTGGCTAATAGGATCGACAACTAGGTTGATGAAGTTGGTTCCCTCATTCATTGGATTTTGCCTTATGCTACAGCCTACAGTTTCAGATCTCGATTGCCTTGTTATTGATTGTTTATAAAAAATTTGATGGAATATCTAGCAGGTCTTTTGCCTCGGTTAATTTTGACGCGGATTCAATCTATGTTTCCACCTTCGGACTATGGTGGTGATGATTTGCTCGTTTAGGGCGGAAATAGTAGTGGTTCTTTCATTATTAAAGAGAGCATATGAATTGATTTCCCCGGATATAAATTGCCTACTAATAATCTCTGAAGTTTAGTGTGCAAATGGGATGGGTCGCAAAGGATTAGAAACTTTTTGTGGCCGGTTTCTTACCAACGCCTGTATACTAATTACGACAGATTTCAACATAAAATGCAACGGATTCTTTTTACTCTTCTTCTTGTGTGCAATTCTCTGAGACAATTTCACACGTGCCCAAGGATTGTACGTATGCAAAGGCTCTTTGGCACAAGATTTTACGTGCAAGTTTAAGGGTTGAATTCTTCACTCATGATTTGCGCAATTGGTCGGCACAAGTGGTCGTAGGCAAATCTATTATCCACTTCAACGACTCTATTAAAAGAAACAAACTAGCCACTAGTTTTTGGTGTGGCTTGTTGGCATTTTTGGAATTGGATGAATAAAAGATTAGTTCAGCCGGACTTTTCTATTCCCGGCACACCTATGAGCCGGAAAAAAGATTGACTTCTTAGAAAGAGAAAAGAGATAAGTTTATAGGCTGGACCACCCATTTTTTTGGTTGGGTCAAAGTTAATTCCGACGCCCTCAAGAGGTAACTTGATTTTAGCTTCAACAAGTGGGCTTCTTCATAATTAATTAGACAATTGGCTTTTTAGGTACATGCAAATTGTGTGAGTGTACTTTCCGCTCAAAGCATAACTTTGAGGTAATAGATCAAAATGGTCATCTCTCTGGGCATTCCCAAACTTAACGTGTAGGTGGACTCACAAGTGGCCATTTCTCTTCTTTAGAAATTAACCCCCTCTCTCACTTTTGGTGACAATCTCATTTCTCGCATTGGGAAATTGGTAGAGTATTTTCAACGGGTCAAAATTGTACATACTTTTTAGGGTCCGTTTGTTTTGCTAGAAAATTAATGATTTGAAAAGCATTTTCCTTGAAAAAATAATTGTTTGAAATAATTAGTCAATGAAAAATATTGTTATTATCATTTTCGTGTACGATAAAAAATATTTTTTGTTCATTTATTTTTATGAGTAATGGGAGTAATCGCTTTTAGAAAAATACTTTTCAAATCATTCAATTTTTGTTAAACATGCATATATTTATTAGTAGATTTTGTCATTTTGCAACTTTACCTACCCAAAAAAAAAAAAAAAAATCGCCACTGCCCGCAGAATTGAAAATATTTCTCCAAACCAAACCCCACTACCTCGTTCTGTTCCTACGTTGTCTTGTCCCTCCTCTCCGGCCACCTCTCCCGGTTCTGAAGTCAAAATGGCCATCGCCTAGATCACGGCGAAAGCTTCCATGGCCGGCGAGTCTCGCAGCGCCAGCAGCATTTACCTCGCGATCGATTCTCCCCTGGTTTCTCCATGAGATCTGCAGCTCATGGCGGCTAAGCAAAAGATCACCAGACGACCCAAGCTCAAGCCCGACAGCGACGTCGCCTCCCCCATGCCTCGTTCGCAGCGTCCTGATTCCAGATACCGGAGGATCGGCTTCGTGCTCCCGGTGTTCCTGCTTTTGTTCGTCGTGGGTTTCGCGGGCATTTACTCGAAGTGGTGGGGAAGTTTCACGGTCGACGATGTGTCCCCCGGCGTATATTCGATCGAAGTGGTGCGCGAGTTTCCTCACGATCCCCAAGCCTTCACTCAGGTGTTCGCACTGATTTCTCGCTGGATTGTTTTACTGATATCTGGGAAACTGTGGTGCTGTAGGCTAAATGGACACTTCCCGGCATTTTTTCGTCATCAGATTTACCATTCATGACGCAAATTTTCAGTGTTCGTTTATCCTTTTAATTCATCGCAATTTATGTAACAACTGCGGGTCATTGCTTAGTTTCGTAGATTGTGGAGACCATTTCTGGGCCGCGTATCCACACGTAAAAACTCGAATTGCTTTCAGTACTGTGCGCAATGCAGAAATCCTTGTTACTGATAACATTGCACATTGCGGATTCGGGGGTTGTTTTTACCTCCTTTTTAATGGTACATTGCCCGCTGTTTATTTATGTGAAAGCGGAAAGCGAACTGGATAGAAGTCCTGATGCTAATTCAATATTACGATCTGAATGAATTTGCTTCCTTTTGCAAATTGTCATTATGCCTCTGATTTGTGAATTTCAGGGGCTTCTTTACGCGGAAAATGATACCTTGTATGAGTCGACTGGTCTCGCTGGGCGGGTAAGTCCGCTGTCTCAGGACATGACTCAACAGTGTTCCCCTTCACTTTTATTCTTACTTTCTTCCATCACATATAAGTTATGCAACTCTGTTATTTGGGCACATGATTCATCTCTCAACTGTTTGCTTTTGTTCCAGTCATCAGTTCGAAAGGTAGCTCTCCAAAGTGGGAAGGTAAATTTTGTCTTTGACTGCCTGAATTTTACTGTACTGTGCAGCTCTTTGAGTTGGATACAATTGGAAGTATATGATATATCAGTGACAATATTTTAGAATGAAATGAACAAGTCAGTTGAAAATTGAAGCTTTCATCAGTTATATTATAGAATTTTCATGAGTATGTCGCATGGAGTAGGTTGCTAATTACCGGTTTTCTTATACCTTCCTCGGCATTTCTTAGATTTTGAATCTGGTTTCACCAGTCCAACTATCCAAATTTTTACAGGTTGAGGCACTACAAAAGATGGATCGATCTTACTTTGGGGAAGGTTTGACTCTTCTTGGCGAAAGGTATGTCAAAATGTCAGTAGCATTAGTGTTATGCATGAGCAAATCAGCAAGGTAAAGTTGATGTTGGTTTGTGAGTATGGCATTGTGTCGAGAATAGAAGGAATTTATGTATGAGTATCTTTTTGGCTGAGGATTTTCATTGATGTACTTGATGGAACAAAGACTACCATGCAAATCAACAAAGGCACTACATTGACCTATAGAACAATGGGACTCATTTGGACTTTCCAAGACATGCAACTCAAAAGATTGTGCCAGTGCCACTGCGAATTTATACTTGTTGCGGAATGATTAAAAATGGCACTAATCCAAGTGAAGAATCTTCTAGCTATAAGATTCAGGAATTCGACCTTTTCTTAAGAAGAATATAGAGATGGAAGTTGCATTTTCATAGGATATGAAAACTAACTATGGTAATTTTAATCTCTTTTTTAATCAAAAATTTTTCCTCTCAATATCACATACAATAAGAAAAATAGAGGTTAAGAGATAAGTGGATCGTGCACACAGAAACCAAGAAATAATTTCTGTTATCTGAAATTATCACAAGCAATTGAATGGAGACTATCAACAATTCTGTAGCAAAGTATTAAGATATAGAATTGAGGGATGTTTGGAGTAGAAAACTGTGATATTTAAAGGCTTAATAATATGACTATTTGGACCTACAGTATGACTGAGAATTACTCCTACTAACGTTTCCTTATTCCGAGAAAGTAAAAACTTAGCTGGTTGCACTGAATTAGATAGTTAATAATGGAGGAGCAGAACCCCTAGCTCTCTCTGAAGGAGAATCAGTTCTAAAACTTTCCTTCGAGTCTCATGAGCGCATATTTAGCTTTTTTAGTTGTTGAACTACTTAGACAATTGCTGGAGAGGTCTAGTAGGATTTTGTTTAATGAAATAATTTGTTTTAAGGTAGAAAATTAGTTGAAAATTGTTTGTGACAGGAATATGGGCTTTTTCCAATATGATTCAGCCATTCTTTGCTTTTAACTGAACTACTTTTGCTGTTTCTCAATTCTCGTATTTCCTTGTTTCTTTGTGATTTGAACTGCATTTACTTCAAAGATTTTACTCCGCATGCTAATTTTGTGCCTTTCATCCTTTTGTGTAGGCTGTTTCAAGTAACTTGGTTGCAGAAAACTGGTTTCATATATGACAGAAATAATTTAAGCAAAGTGTGTGCTTCGTCTCTTACTTTTACATGGTTATGACAATTAATTTTCTTGTTGCTGGCATATTTAAATAAGTTTTCTCTTAAGAAGTGAAGACTCTGAAATGCTTATGTGCATAAGTCTTCTTCTGATTTTTAGGGATTCATTAGGATCAACCCGTGTAAAGGGTTCTTCTCAAATTAAGAAATGGCTTATTCCTGTTTACAGGCTATTCTGTACACTCAAAGGCTGTAATAGAAAGATAGTCGTTTGCTCAAAATATCTCATTCAAGTTTTCTATCTGACGTGTAACTATTCAAAAGTCGCATGACCACTACTGCCTTTGTGCAGCTGCTTGTATGCAGTTGTGAATTTTATGTAGAGACTGCAGCTATTGTGAAGATTATGAAATTTAAGATGGCATCTGAATGGAAGATAAGACATAGTGCTAATATGAAAGAATCTAGATATTGCATTTGACTTAACAGAGTCTACACCCTAAAATAGTGAATTTGGCAAAAATACTTCCTCTTTGCAGTTACAGTGAAAAAATAACTTCTCTTTAATTGCCGTTACCGCCCCTCTCAGATTCACTTTCCCAGAAGATTTAGTTATAGTTGATTATCATCATTGTTGCATAGACTGTTGTGTTAGGTGATATTAGCTTTGAACTTGTGATGTTTTACTGTTCTCTATCTCCCTCTCTCACCTGTTGCCTTGGTGGCCAGCAGTTGCCTTTGCCAACTCTCTCTATCTTGCCTTGTTTATTCGTGGTGTGCTGTTGGAGCTCATGAGTAGTGTTCTTCCTGGATACCGACTCATTCATCATTTTTGCTCAGTGCAGTTTGAAGAATTCACTCATGAGATGAAAGATGGTTGGGGACTAGCAACTGACGGCAAAATGTTATTTGGAACTGATGGAACTTCAACGTTGTATCAAATTAATCCTCACAATTTCAGAGGTGCTCTAACTTATCCCATCTTCCACCATGCCTCTGCCATCATTGTGACCTTTTCCTTTAACAGAGCGAGTTTTTATACTGATAGGCGGCAATCTTTGTTGCAGTCATGGGTAAACAGGTTGTCAGATACAGGACTCATGAAGTTCACAACCTAAATGAGCTGGAGTATATTAATGGGGAAGTTTGGGCAAACATATGGCAGGTAAATACTCGATTCCCAGAGCACTGTAGGTGGGGAGAGAGCCTGGCATGTGAATATGATAACCTTACCTTGCATGATAAAATTTCCTCTCTGCTTCAAGTCCCAATTTCTGGGGAAGGACAGTCCCACTTTGAGTTCCAAATATTTGAATATTGTTATTCTCTCACTCATAGCAATGCTAATATGAGTGTAAAATTCTCTCTGTTACATTGTTGGAATACCATAAGTTGATTCTACTATTATCATTCTGCCTAAATGAAGATATCGTCCTTAGACTCATTGCCTCGTTTCTCTTAGATTATCCTTTGGTATTGTGCAGAGTGATTGCATTGCGAGAATCTCTTATAAAGATGGCAAAGTAATCGGCTGGATACTTCTTCAGAAATTGAGGTATCAATTCTTTCCTTGTAAATGGGCCCTTGATGCTTTTTAACAAGCTGGAAGTAGTTGAGTTGCCTCATAATAACTTGCTGCCTTTCTCTCTACTCTGCAGGGAAGGATTGATAACAGCAGGATATAATGTAAGTCATTGAGATGAAACAATGCAATCTATTTTTTCCAATTTTGCCAGCTTTGATACCGTATATGCTCTTTTTGGGAAATTTAGATAAGGCTTGGCCAGGCAAGCATGAATGCTTGTGTCTGGATGAGATGGCCTTTTGTAAATCTAATAGAATGACCTGCATGGGTTAAGTCATTTTTGTGATGAGAGATGCCTATCCGCAACATTTCATCAAGGAGTTTCCTCCTTTTCACCTGTATGAAATTTAATTATTTTGTCTGTTCTCTTTTTGTATGAAAAGTGACTGTCTATTTAACTTGTCTTATTCATGTGGGCATTTTGCGATCTACCAGGGAATTGATGTTTTAAATGGCATAGCATGGGATAACAAAGAGAAGCGCCTTTTTGGTAATCTCTCATCTTTAACCTGCATTTTCCAGCATGTAGTCTTCATAGCCACAAGTTCGTGTCTCTACGAGCAACTCATCTGGTGATCATTTACTGAAGAGGTCAGATACTCTTCTGTCGCAGATGTGTATTCATGGGCCATGATTTGAGATGAGTCTTTGAAATAGTTTTCTGCCCTGGTTTACGTTGTTGCGATACACCAATCTGCATTTTCTGTAGCGAAAGTGCTGTAATCTAAACGCTGGTCTCAAGCGCTCATACTCATGGTCATGCTTCTTTACTTGCCGCGTTATTTATTTATCGATGTTTTGATTGCAGTAACTGGAAAATTATGGCCGAAGCTGTACGAGATCCGGTTGCATCCTGTAAAAAGGCGGTTTGATGATGGAGTCATCAAGCGACTGTGTTTGCGGATGCCTTTCGATTTCGGAAAGCCATAGTCCGACGGAGGAGCCATTCACGGCATGGTGATGGTTAGTTGTGCTACAAACAAGTTGGCATGATCGGGATTATAATGTTAGGAAACACGGTGCCGTCGCTGAGAAACATACAATCACGGAAGAGCCAAACTTTTTCACATTGATAAATTCGATATCTCTCTCTCTCTGTGATGGGTTTGTCGAGTCTCGTCTCTTCCATTCTTCTTAACTCATGCGGTTTACCAGGAGTCCACATAAAAGGACTGTACATATGCATTCGCTGAAGCTTTGTTTTTGAGTTAATGGATTTGAATGGATTGAAGCCACCTTCAGAAATTCGTAACAAAGTGGAAAATATATCAATACAAATTACGCTTTTATTGCTTTATTCGTGGAGGGTAAAATCGATTAAAGAATAAGAACTTCTGAAATGTCTTTGTTCCATGAGGTTTTTAGATCGGTAAGATCGTTTCGTCTGTTGCATAGACCCGGTCCGGTTTCCCACTGAAGATGGGTTTTTTTTATCTCCGACTCCGAGCAGTGAAATTATATAATAGCAATAAATAAAATAAACAAGAATTTTCTTTTTTTTTTCTTTTAAGGGATGAGTGAACGACAATTTTCAATTTGATCGTGTCGACTATTACTTCCCAAAAAATTATGTAAACCCACTCAAATGTTCTGCGTGTAATCACAATATTTCAACTGCATATGAGCCTATCTTCACAACATGCGGGCAGAGAATAATTCGGTTTCAGTTTCGAGGGAGTTTCACCGTTTAAAATAGGGGTGAGCAAAAGGAACCGCCCAGATCGGATCGAACTGGCTGGTTCTAGAAAATTTCTGGAGGCACCCGTTTGGTTCCTTTGGAACTGGTAATTTTCGGTCTGTTCCCCGTTCTATGTATGGAACGGCCCATCTGAATCACCCGGATCGGATCGATTTCTTTTTCAATTTCTTGCAAATCTGTAAAAACTAAAAAGGCCTAATCCTTCCTTCACAACACAAACCTTCAGCTTAGTGTTTGATGTATGTTCATGAACAAATTAATGTCATATCATGGTTGCTGAATAAAGCCGGTATAGGACGATGGTTATTGTGTTTCCATAGCACCTAGAGTATTTCCATGATAAGAATCCTTGAGAGCTAGAATCTAAAAACATAAATCAAATATTGATATGATGATATTACATTGATTTAACGAGAGAATATAATGATAAATAAATAAAAAAAAGAACATGTCGACTGTTCCAAGAAGCACCGGTCCGGTTCCCGGTTTTAGAAATGGGAACCGGTTCCTCTTATCTGTTTCCCGATTTCTGGGTGGAAACTAGACTGCCCGGGAACCGATCACCCTTAGTTCAAAAGGTATAGAGACATTGCTTTCGCATTCTGAATATCTAGTAATAGTTTGGTGCATGGTGCTATGGCCGTGGAAGGTACCACAAAAGCCATACATGCTCGCCAGCCGACGAGAGATGACCAGCTAGCCAGGTATTCAGAACTTTATCAGAGACAAGGTCGACTCTGAGAACTCCCGAGCGATAACACAGCCTCACTTCATAGCCCTATTTGAATATCAAACACAATAGTTCGCCATCAATAACCGTCACTAATCATCTTTGAATAATAATAATTATTATTATATCTTCACATTTGCTCCTAATTGTTACTGTATCCGTTCGTTGATGCTCCTGCAATTTGCTTCCATGCCGGACGAGGCGGTTCACCGATCGCGCCCTGTTAAAAAGAAGACGGCGAGCTTCGTCCTATGAATTCTCGTACCCGTACGATGAACCGCGCAGAACACTGAACAAACAGCAACAGGTCTCCGAGGTCAGCGTCACCTCGAACGGCCGTTGGGAAAAGAACCGGTCTTCTCCGAGAAGAATGGGAACGAAGATTTGGTTAAGTACCAGAATCTCGCGCCACCGAAAGCAAACTAACGAACTAAACCCCGTGTGAACTTCAATATACCTCTCCACTTCCAACTTCATCCTCTGTTCATCTCCCTCTCTTTCTCTTGAAGCCACAGTCAAGTCATGCCGTCAAACTCGTCTCACACGGCTGAGCAGCTCTCGGACCGCGTCCCTCCGCTCTTCGTGCTCCATTCATGGATTCAAATACTCGAGTTTTCGGTCATCGTTTTGGTCGTTACGTTTCTCATCCCCGTTCTCTTCATTTGCTGCTACCACAGGAAGCCGGGGCCCGGGCCTCGCCTCCGGCCGTCGAACCCGTACGCCGCGGCAAAGAGCCGTTGCGTCGCTCCGAGAGCTTGGTCGTTCGATCGCAGACTCCTGTCTTCGTTCCGCCTCTCCGAGGTCGAGATGGAAGCCGTCCTGTTCGATCAGTGGGCAGCGACTCCGGCTCGTAAGAGCGGGGTGCTCCGGACAAGCCTTGTAGCCGATTCGGAGTCGGTTGTGGGGGAGAGGAGTTTCACGCTTGATGAGATTAAATTCGCGACGAATGGATTCGCCGGCGAAAATGTGATTGGATGCAGAGACCATGCGGCGGTTTACCGAGGGGTTTTGCTGAATAATGTAAGAGTGGCAGTGAAGAGATTGCTGCGCAGTAGGTACCAAACAACTTTTGTAGCTTGATACATATAGGAACTCCAGATAAATTAATGAAAATTGAATGGATGCGACGATCAATGGTAGGCCTCGGAAATAGATATCGGAAATGAGTAGCTTCAGAGCATTGCCATGCTATAAAGACCATGACTAAGTTAGTAACTACTGGAACTGATTTTAAGTCCGGATGAACGCTTTCATTTTGGTTGGTCAATGGCAAAAAAGTGCGAGTCTGGGCTTTATTACTAAAGCTTCTGTGGTTCCTCAGCCTGGAAGATGAGGGATTCGAGCGAGAAGCGGAGGTGATATCGCACATTAGACACAAGAATCTCGTGAAGCTGCTCGGATACTGCGCCGAAGGAGATTACAGGTAACATCTAGGTGCGCGCTCATCAAACATTGCTTTCGACAGAATGTTCAAATGTTGAGCTAAATCATCATTGTATCAGGGCGCTTGTCTATGAGTATGTTGATAATAGCAATCTGCATCAGTGGCTTCATGACTGTAGTGGAAAGGCCAGTCCTCTAACATGGGGTCAAAGGATAAATATTATCCGAGGAACGGCGAGAGGGTGCGATTGCTGAACTCAAACTAGATTTTACATAGTTTATAATCGCTATCTTAAGGAGCAAGTCCATGCAGATTGGCCTACATTCACGAGGACGCTGAACCGAAGGTTGTCCATTGCAATATCAAATCTAGCAATATACTGCTCGATCGTCAGTGGAATCCAAGGATCTCTGATATTGGGTCGGCTGAGCTCTATGAACCGGAGCAGAGTCACATGTCAAGCGAACGATCGAGGTAAAACAGTTCACTGATCAAGCATGGGTTTTTGATCTTGTGAATTCATGAAACTTGATTATTCATATGAACTGACCCAAATTCCTTGAGTCCTCAGTTATGCAGCACCACATTGTGACGTCTATTGCTTCGGAGTACTTGTCATGGAGATAGTAACAGGGAGGGTTCCTGTGGATGAAAGCCAACCCCAGGTAAGGCCTGTGGAACTGCAAATCAATTACGTCTCCGACCGTGACAGATGGTAAGATCAAAGGATGCATCGACTTAAAATTTGATTTCTGCTGACAGGCACATTTGATTGATTGGTTGAAGCTCATGATTGCAAATCAGAGAACTGTACATGTGATTGATTCTAAAATACCCGAAAGGCCTTCTTCAAAGGAACTCAAGCGGGTTCTTCTGGTTGCTCTAAGATGCGTCGATCCCGATTTGAATCACAGGCCTAAAATGGGGGATGTAGTTCACATGCTAGAGACGAAGGATTTGCTAATCGGAGATGTTAACTTATTAGCAAATTAATCGCGAAACATTATGTTTTTAGTGTTTGCAAATTATCCATTATTTCAATCACCTGGCCCCCATTTGGTTCGGTTTGATCTGGAAGCAAGGCATCGGCGGAAAGCAACTTCTTGTACTTAAGCAGAAAACATTTATGAGTTTTGCTGAATCATCTCAAAGTCTTCGCCTTATTCCAAAAGGGGAAAACACCATCACGTACCAGAAAATGAGACCAAATTAACACGGTGATCATGCAGAGATTGATAGAGCGAACATGATTTCAGGTCTTAAATGATTATGCTTAGATAAATTTTTCCATCTCCGTGATACTTTTTATCTTGAAATCTATCTAGTTTTTTGCTATAGCTTTCTTCATTCTCATCCAATCTTGAGGTACGAAAATGAGCATTATGGAAGATGAAGACTTCTTGTTCCATCCTCCCGAAAGAACAAATCGTTCTGTTTCTTATTGGAGATTACTAGGTAAACAGACAAATTATCCTGCTAAATTCTCCTTGTAGATAATATCATTTATGATCCTGCACAGTTGCACGGATCAAAGGAAGACGGAATAAAACAGAAATTCAAGTTTGTGGACAGTTTCTTGTGAAGCATCACTCTTCAAACTCGACAAACACTTAGCGAACATAGTTGTGAGGAACAGAACACATTTTCATCTCCACATCCTCAATTGGCAGCCTATCAGTAGGAAAAGGACAGTCTATCGCCGGTTTCTTCTCGGGCAACAGATCACAAGCCGTGGGAGTGACGTTGCTTGTGACTCCCGCTATGTCTGTGCAGTTCCACTGTAGTTCTTTTGGTTTTTCGGTCAAGCTGATATTGACATTCGAAATGCAGATCCCAGTAAAAGGATCTCCTTCTATTCCTTCAAGTCTAGCCGAATAAGTCACATTTTCAGCCACCATGTCTCTGTAATTTATTCCTTGAATCACAGGTAGCGCCTTGGGATCGTACCCCGGGTCGGGGTGGGAATTATAGGTACTAGTCATCCAAAACACGTACTTCATGGTCTTCATGATCATCCCCTTCACGAAAATGTCCTTGACATAGCCTCCTCTTCCAGGAGCGGTTTTGATTCTGACACCCGATTGGGTGTTGATGGCCAGGATAGTCTCAGCTCTAACGTCTTGGATTCCACCAGACATCTCGCTGCCAAGAGCTATTGTGGCACTGTCCGGAGAAATGCAAGTAAGCCGTCTTATGCTCATGTGTTTCGTCGGCATTCCGAACTTAATCCCGTACTGGTCCCAGCCACTCTTGATTGCAATGCAATCATCGCCGGACACTATGTAGCAATCCTCAATTCGGACGTTTGTGCATGAATCTGAGGATTGGAATTAACAAGCGATTAATTAGCTCATATTATGGAGACTCAAGGTTCACAAATAAGAGCTAAACTTAACAGCTATGAACTTACGAGTCGCATTGGAAAACAAGAGCAGCTACTGTAAACCGGCACTTGGTAAGCAGCAAGAAAGAACATAGCAATTGATTATGGAGCAATAAAACTAGAAGGCTAACCAGGGTCTATTCCATCAGTATTTGGAGAATCAACTGGAGCGAGGATGGTCAGCCCTTGGACGAAGACATTGCTGCAATCATCACTTTAATAGTCAGTAGCAGTCTCAAACTAACAAAAGATTCAAAAACATTTTAAGATAAATTTTTGGAAGTTCCGTTCCGAGAGTGACATAGATGCGGGCAAACCTGCTGTAAATTGGATGAACGAACCACGACGGAGAATTGACCAAAGTAAGATAAGCTATCTGGACCTGATCCGAGTACATGATTTCGATAAGGTAAGGTCGAGTCAGGTTCAGTTCTTCTTTCTTGAACTTGTCCCACCAGTAAGCACCCTGCCCGTCTATGGTACCGTTATTTCCTGCAAAATCACCATTCAGAAAAGTTCTCGACCAGAAATGTCTATCAAAATCTGATGATTAGACCTTATCTATATGTGAACTGACTTACAGTAACAAGCTGAAGGGGAGAAAAGCCAAATCTTGACTAAATATATGTACCTGTGATCACTACGTCGGTGAGATTTGTACCGAAAATTAGACTGCTGAACCGTCCACCAGGAGCATCTCTTCCTCTCCCGTACGAGGGCAAGACAGCCACTTGCGGCCATTCCGATTCATCCTGTACGACAATATCAGGCACATATCCCATACTTATCCACGGCGCATGCGCAAATTGAATATACAAAGTACATTCTGTGCACAGACACAGACAAACACACACAGAGTTACGTGCAAATGCTTAATAATCTACAATAGAAAAACCAGCAGTCAAGAATATGAAACTCTTTTCATGTTTGAATCTAAGAAGAGACATCGCAAGCAGATGGAACAGAGGCTGTTGGTCAATTATCATGTTCCGACAACAGACTTCTTCCAAGAAAACATGAGATGAATTATGTTTTTCTATATGTTCCTGTTCAGATCCTGTGCTATACGAAAGATATGATTCATTTAGTCAAGCGGACTTTACATATCCTCGGACCTTCTCTTGAAGAATCGGACGTGAGACCTTGCGGTCGGCGACGTGATTCCACGGACAAACCATGCAAAGCAAACGACTTTGTTTTTTTGTGCTTTGTAAGCGTCACCACACACGCACAACCATATACCTGGGATGCGAGAATGGTGGCGTCTTTCTCGAGGTAGAGCGTGAAGTGGCTGGTGAGATTGAAACTCCCCGTCAACCACTTCCCCTCCGGCACCACCAGCTGCACCCCGCCGTCCGCCGCGTGCGCGCTCAGGTTCGCGACTGCCCGCCTGAACGCCTCCGTGTTCGACGTCTTCCCGTCCCCGACGCCCCCGAAATCCACCAGCGACGCGGTGTGCTTCCGGCAGTTGATCGCCGCGTACGATTCTCCTCCTCTCACCGATAGCAGGGACGAAAGGAGGAGCAGCAGCAACGCCAAGAGCCCCGGCATGATCATCTGTTTCGAAACGAAACAAAGAAAAAGCAAAAACGCAGGAGATGGGTCCGGCCCAAAAAACAAAAAAACAAGAATCACGAATGAGCAGTGACCGAGAAGATTATCGGCTGAAACTAGAAACACAGAGACGGGAAGACGAATAGTATAACGCATGAAGCAATGAACCTTAGATATAAAGATCTGCATCATCATCCTCAGGACCAGGCGAGGACGAGGACGATGACGATGATGTGAGTGAATGGAGATGGTTCTTTACGTTATAAATGGATATGCATTTAAGTTCTTGGTTATTGTTATGGAATCAAATCTGGGGCTGCATTCATTCTCTCCAGGATTCTTGAATTTGGGTTAAGATCGGATTCTCCTCTTGCGCGGGGGATCGCATGCATCAACAGCTGCGGTAGGGAATCAGCTCTAGATGTACGAAGAACATGGAAACCTTGGATGTTCAAAGCATTACTGAAAGTTACATCGATTGCTCTCTAACTTTTTCCTTTCTTTTCACCCTAAAAGAGGAAGGTGACACCGTTCCATCCAAGCACCTACTAAGTTTTTTACTAGCTTCCAAATATGGAACTCTAGATATCGACATATGATTTTGCTGCTGGTTTTGGGAAATTAGGATAAAATTTCCTATCTTATCGTATTTATTCCTATCCTGGCTAGAAATCCATATGACCGAACGTAGCGTTAGAGTTTTGATCGAATCTTTTGTAATTGAGAAACTGTTGCCAACATACAATGAAATGGAGCACTGTTCAGTCCTTCAATTTTGTTTTAATGTCCAAAAGGGCAGGGAGGTCACGTATGTAGCTCGATCATGTTTCACAAATAACATCGAAAGTCCATTTGTTTGAAAAAAAATTGTTTTTCGATTTTCTGATGTCTAATCGATCTAAAGAAAATATTTTGCATTGACCGAAAATGATAAGCTTAAATTGGGGGAAAGCAACTTTCCCTTCTAAGAAGGAACACACTTTATAATAAATAAAAACTAACCGTTTTTCTTAAAAATGATTTTCATGAAAAATATTTTCGTTTATCATGAAAATTTCGGTGAAATAAACACACCCGAATATGTTATGGACTCTACTAATTTTTTCATTAAAAAAAACTAAGGAAATGCCATTGAGTTAGCTCATCTTTGAGCTCCATTATTCGTCGTAAGATATAAATGGAGTTGACATCATCGACAGAAGTAAAGATTTAGGTCGAGGGGGTCGAGATAAGTTGAGGAAGACAAGGCGACAGTAATTCTTAAAGTTCTCTTTAGCGGTCGGGAATTGACGAGACGACCACCATCATGCCTCTTAGGTCCGGCAATCAATCAAGATAATCAATCTAGGACTGGTTCCGTCCATTGATCACATGCCTTTGCGTATCTTGAACCATCAAGCAATCACTTGGGCAGAATTACATAGACCTTGATGTTGCTCTGGCATTGTCTAACCTATCGATCCTAATCAATCTAGGAATGGTTCCATCCATTGATAACAAGCCTTTGCGTATCTTGAACCATCAAGCAATCACATGGGCAGAATTACATAGACCTTGATGTTGCTCCGGTATTGTCTAACCTATCGAAACTCATTCGACAGTGATGCGGCACTACACACATGTCTACCAGATCCCATCAATGTCCGTCTCTCATGAGATAGGCAAGCAGAAGCTGCACAAACGATTTGGCCAAAAAAGTTAATAATGCTCCGGTGGTCAGGCAGTTCAGTCCCGTAAAATTTGCAAGCGTCACGATGACAATATAGGAAACATTTATTTCACTTAGTGAGGGCAAAGATGAGCACATACAAGTCTGCTGTAAGATAAGTACACCCACGAACACCAACATAAAAAGATAAAAATATGTTGCCCAGACTCCTCCGACTCCAAGATCTGAAATATCACGTGGCTGATCGGTCCTAATGGTGGACTCACTCATTCTTTGTGGATGATAGCCAGTTTCAGGTCCACCAATGACCTTCCACATCTCCTATTTGCTCGTTGGAAGCAAGTTAATCAATTTCAGGACGAGAAGATGAAATATTTTGCTGACAAGAGATGAGTATATCATTCTTTCGAGTTTCTTTTGTGCATTTGTGTGGGTGTGTGCAAGTTTTGAAGGGAGGGGGGAGTTTGAACTGAAGCATGCCTTAGATGATCAATCTAGCATTCACAAGAAAGTACCTCAAGTTGATGCAATAAATTCAACTTGATCTACAAGAATGCTTTCCTCCCAGCAACTCCTAATTAAGTCACAGAAAAGTGTTCCAACTGAACCGATAGGGCTAAAGAAGAACAGCCATTTAAACATCAATAAAAAAACAGGCCCAAGTCATCTAGCTAACAAATGAAAAGAAAGGATCTCCCAACACAAAAATCATTACCCTCAGAAGGGATAGACAGACTGACCCAAATTATACACAGCTTGACAATTTTTTCTACTCTTGGACAAGTAACTGGTAGCTTTCAATCCACAAGCAGATACCTGTACTTCAAAACATTCCAACATTGATCCCACCAGAATTCACTCAACATGAATCTAAAGCATCATGAACTCCATCGACACCTTCACTTCAGCCTCCAAAAAGGGAGAAAAACCCGCGCTTCTTCGGCTCCTCCTCCACCATCACAGCTTTCATACTATCCTGCTCAACAAGTCTCCAAGCAGCCTGCTCGAAAGCCAAACCTGCTAATGTCGGCGGCTTGTTCAAAACAAGAGGGTACCCTCGATTCGTACTCCTAAGCACTTCAGAATCCTCCGGTATCACCCCCAACAAAGCCAATCCCAGCATCTCCTGAACATCCAGAACCGACATCATATCCTCTCCCTTAATCATGTCGGTCCTGACCCTGTTCACAATCATTTTTATATCCCTGATCCCATCACACTCCAACAACCCAGTGACCCTATCCGCATCTCTCAAGCTCGTTATGTCGGGAGTCGTCACCAACACGGCCTCATTGGCCGGGGTTATCGCGGTGATGAACCCGGCATCAATGCCGGCAGGACAATCAATGAGTATAAAATCAGGAGACCCTTCTTGCCTAGATTTCAATGCATCAACAAGCCAGACTAATGCTTTCCCACCGAACCCAAGCGGCAACTTCGACCTCGGCTTCGAAATACACAGCAATTCGAAATTAGACCAGCGCTTATCCCTAACCAGAGCCTGATCGAGCCTACAGTCACCATTGAGTACCTCGACCACGGTGTAATTGACGCGGTTCTCGAGCCCGAGGAGGAGGTCGAGGTTGCGGAGGCCGACGTCGGCGTCGATGGCGACGACGGAGAAGCCGAGGCGGGCGAGGGAGAGGCCGACGTTGGCGGTGGTGGTGGTCTTGCCGACGCCGCCCTTGCCGGAGGTGATGACGACGACCCGGGGGGTGTCGCCGGCCAGCTGGGGCTTCCGGTTCCACTGGAGGACGGACTGGATCGGCGGTGGGGGGCGGAGGGATTTGAGGGTTTTGGCGGGGTTGAAGAAGGAGGAGAGCTTCGAGGTGGGGGAGAGATTGGGCGCGGCGGCGGAGGAGAGTTGCAGAGAAAGCATTGCTTGGTAGTGAGAGAGAGAGAGAGGTTGAAGGAGGAGCGGAGCGGAGCGGAGTTGAGCGGTGAGCGAACGAACGAGTGAGCGACCGAGTGTTGACGGAGCGAGCGTATGTATGTTCAGCGGGCAACCATATTTTTTGTTCGACCGTATTCACTAAAAATTTTAAAACTTATTATCAAAATATAATTAAATTCTAAAATTTACACAATATGCAACTGAATCCTAAAATTTATTAAATTAGTTTAATTGAGTTCTAAAGTTAATATTATCCAATTTGATTAACGAAAAATGACGGCGTGACTTTTTTATCCAATGTGATGATGACGTAAATTTTTTAATCATTATTTTATTTAAATTAATTTATAAAATTAGCTAATTTTTTTTAAAAAAAAAAGGGAGGAGGAGGACAAGCGGGGAGGGAGGGCTTACCCTCCTCGCCGACGGCAGGCGAGGGCTTGTGGGCCCTCTCCTAGATCGGGTGAGAGTCGCCGGCCCTCGCCTAGACCTAGCCAAGGGTCGCCAGTGGCAAGGATCAACACTGGCAACCCTCAGCCAGGTCTGGGGGAGGGCTGCCACTAGCGGAGGTCGACCGCCATCGACGATCCTTGGCCAGGTCTGGGCGAGGCCCACGGGCCCTCACCTGCCGTCGGTGAGGTCACCAGTCCCTGGCTGGGGCCCAGCTACCCCTGCATGTTCTCCTCAACCTCGTCGGCCCCTCCTGACAATGGTGGGGGGCGGCGGCGGCTAGGAGGGCAAGCCCTCCCTCCCCACCCATCCTCCTCCTCCATCCTCCACTTTTTTTTTTTTTTAAAGATTTTTTTTAATTTAATTTAAATAAAAGTAGTATTAAAAATCAAATTTGAGCAAAAACAATGTTGTTTAAGTCACGTTATCGCCGTGTAAGAGAGAAAAACATTAAAATAAGCCACGTCATCATTTTTCATTAGTAAATTTGACATTGTTAACTTTAGAACTCATTTGAACCAATTTGACAAGTTTTAGGATTTAATTGCACATTTTGCAAGTTTTATGACTGAATTGTACTTTGGTAACAAGTTTTATGACTGAATTGTACTTTGGTAACAAGTTTTATGACTTCTAGTTAATATATTCCTTTTTCTTTTTCTCTTTGAAGGAAGAATTTGTAATTTTCCTTGTTTAACTGAAAAATATTAACATGAAAAAATGGGGAAAATTTTCAAATAAGAATTTGTTTTTGGTCTGTATTCAAAGAAGAATTTAAAGAGTAGCTCTTATCTCAAAGAAATGCTTACAGTGATCGGGTTAGTTTTAAATAAGAATTCGAACTTACCAATTGGCCAACTCTAGGGGTGTCAATGGGTCGGGTTGGGTCGGGATTTCATGATACCCGACCTGACCCGAAATATACAGAGTCACGCTCGACTTGACTTGACCCAACCCAAGACCCTCTTCAGCATATACTCCAAGAATAGGGTCGGGTTGGGTCAGTCCAGGTCGGGTGTAGGGTCCCAAAACCTAAGCCTTATGCGGTTGCCACATGCCTCGATTCTTCTCTAGAGGCCGATGGAGTCCAGGACGAATTGGGGGTCGATGAAGAGGCGGCTCGAGCGCCGGAACGCGTCCTCGTCGTCGCACTTGCCCAACGACTCCTTGTCCTCCGCCTCGGCCTCGCTCCACACACGGTCGCTGGACTTATTCAAGCAGACGAGATTCCGGGTCGAGGGGGACGAGGGCGAGATCGATCGGATATGCCGGAACTTGGGGCTGTTCGAGATCGACAACTTCACTATCCCGACAACGGCGTGGGAGGCGAGGAAGATCAGGTTGTCCTCCGATCTCCTGCCGCGGTCGAGGCTGAACTGGATGGAGAGTTTCAAGGAAGGAGGCGAAGAGAAGAAGGCTGCGGCGCCAGGAACTCGACCTGGGCTGTCACGGCGAGCATCGTGAGGGCGAGGACGAAGGCCACCACGGCCATGTTCGCAAACTTCACGGCCGCCATTGCCACGAACTCGAACTTGAGGGCGAGGAGGAGCAGAGAGAGCGAAAGGGGGGAGAGAGAAGTTCACGGCCGCCAGAGAGACAAGAAGCGAAGGGGAGAGAAAGGGGGGGAAGGGTTATATTTGGTGCCATGTCACAAAAGCCCAGCCCGACCTGGCCCGGCCCGATTCTAATAAATACCCACATCTAAAATTCATACCCAGAGAAAATAAGACTTGACCCCAAAATACCCTAAAATTTCGGCTCGGGCCAGGTCGGCTCGGGTTTTTTTTACACCCCTAGCTAACTCTTTGTCGGCGTGTTACATGACTATTTCGGTTGCCGGAGCAAGAGCACTTTGGTCATCTATGATTGGTCAGCACTAGCACTAGTATTAAATGGGATAAAGTCAAAAAAATTTTGACAAAATTGCCCATGTTCTGGTCGCCGAAAAAAAGTCGATGGGCGAAAATTTGGTCGACTAGCTAGTATGAACCTTTACTTGAGACCAAATTGGTCATTTTATGGAATCTCCCCAAAAGAAAATGACATTAGAACCATTTCGTATGGTCAAGCCAAAAATAAATAATTTTCTGTCTGATCTCGTTTATCACGGCAATTCTTAGTTGCTTGTAAATTAAGTTGTTTTGTGAGATTCTAATAATAATGATGTGCTTCATTTCACGTGCAAAAAATGATATATAAACAATATGGAAATGTGAATAAATATGTAAGGTTATATAAATTTTTTGATAAGTTGAATGAATCATAATTGAAATGCAGCCCTCATCTTATCTCTAATTTTATTAGCTGATCATAATTTGACTAGCGACGGAGAAAAGTGATAATGATGACGCAGCGAAAAACTCGAGGATTGTTTCACATCTTATCGTATTTTTTAGACCAAACAAGCCTCTCGAACAAAAAAAAAAATTAAAAAAATAATAACAACTTGCGCGAAATCGCTTGACTTGAATTACGAGAGACACACGGCCTTTTGATTTATTTGGAACACGTGGTTATGTCACTTTCATCTCCACCTGAAATATTTACGATGCATTTCTACGAATCTAATTTAATTTTTGTCATTATCTTTTGAGAACCGCGCAATTGAAATGGTAATGTTGCGTATCATTGATTTGATGAATCTTATGCTAATTTAGAATTTGAAAGTAATGAACATAACGAGTGTGATAAATATCCACAAGCAAAAAGATTTGGCCCATCTACTTGTGAAGACGGACGGTGCTACAAAATGTCATTTAAGCATCACAACAATTAATACAAACAGTAATTTGTTTCGTAAAAGATGGTGGTGGGGACCCCACTAGTGCGTATTCTTATCTTGATAGGACGGCGAAGTAGGAAGGGAGGAACTTCACGAAGTTTTCAAACCCCAACGATCCGCCACGTGTCAGAGCACCAAGGCCGACCCCCCATCCCCACCATCAACCCCGTCTCTCCCCTCAGCGAGAATCTTTCTCTGCCCGTGTGTCCATGAGCTCAGCGAATTCTTATCCGTTGGATCACGTATGCTTCTTTTGGGGCCCACGTGATCCGACGGGAGAGAAATGCGCCGGGCTCATGTGTACCCGGGGGTTCACGAAAGCGACGCTGCTCTCATCAGAAAGGAAACGTCAGAGACTATCCAGACTCGCTCTACCCCTTCCCCAGTCCCACATCACGATCACGCCCCCGTGGCGGGGCCAGGCGCGACACGTGTCGTCTCGGCATTCGCGGCTTGCACGACTCCTCTTCCCGTTCGTTCGTCACCGCCCTCATGTGATCAGTTACTTTATCGCTTTTGCTTCCTCTTCCTTCCTCCTTCATATATTGTTTTTCACCCCCATCTCTCTCTCTCTCTCTCTCTCTCCGATCTGAACTCCACTCGAAACAAAGCCCCGCTTCGCTCCGCTTCGCTCCGCTTCGCGCCACAGAGATCGCCTGAGATCGCGCTTCGCATCCCACCACATCATCAGGTGCGGCTTCTTCTTCCTCCCTTTCGCCTTCTCTTTTTCCTCGCTCGGATTGCAGGAATCGTTCTTCGCGGGGTCGTGATTTGCGGGGGATTTTGGGGGTCAATTCACCTGCCTACATGACGTTTCGGTCTCGTGGTTCGGGGGAATTCTCTGGATCTGACGTGAATTTCGCTTCGCAATCGTTTCTTTGTGCTCGCGTCTGTGTCCCAGTAGAGTTTCTGGTTTAGTAGGTGAACGTGCCTGCTCGGAAATGAAGTTCGATTTAGGGTTCAGATGTGTTATCCGAGTTGGATCTGTAATTTAAGGTCCAGATTCCTAGTGTAGATGATAGCTTCCGATAGAATTAAGCGCGGGGTTGAAACTGGATAATTGAGAATCGATTGATTGAATCTTCGATCTGGATATGTTACTATGCCGAGATTTTACGTGGACCGCAATCTCAATTCAAGATCCTTCCGTGGAAAGGTGCCATTTTTGGTTATATTCTTAAATTAATTCCGTGTGCAGTTGCGCTCCTGTTAAGCCTCGCCGTACGCTATTGAAATTGTGGATTGAAACCATAAGCTGTTTTTCGAAGTATTAAGGTTTCAATTGACACATCAAAACATACGTAAAGTTTATGGCTGTGAAGGATCCGTCTCCTGAGGATCTTGCATTGCAGGATGCTGCTTTTAGTGTTGTAGACTAGAATTCTCTCTCTCTACATTAAGTGTTCTGTCCCCCCTTCATCCTCTCATCTAAGTGCCACCTTGTATTCGTTGGTGGATGGAGATGCATAAACTTTTTCAGAAGCATTCCGGCAAATCTATAGTCGTTGTTGTGCTTTTATTTTTTACAAATGCTTTTCTTTTATAGGATCGAACGGTTTGAATCTTTTGTTTTGTACTCTCTCTTGTTAGGTCTAGACATAGCTAAAAAATCTGTCTTGGAAGTTTCCATTAAGGCAGGCTCATACTGGCACTGTGCATTATTACCATAATGTGCTTCCTTCATGAGTGCCGAGCCATATTGGTTTGATGGTTGGCTGACTTTTTTTCTTTTCCTTGTTGCCTTATGCAGGCCAATGTGAGCTTTCTAAATCTGGACGATAAGAGTCGCTCCAGCTGTTCAGTTCCTTGGTCTTTCCCTATAGTGGACAATGGGCAAATGCAAGGGTTGTGGAAAATTAGGAAGAATGATGCCCAGGGATGGGAACTCGAGTGCTTATCTTTTCGCTCTTCTGCTCTCTCCCGTTGTTTCCGTTTGGGAATGTGTCATCCGTAAGATGAGGTATTCCTACAGACCTGAGTGGGTGTAGTTTGTACATTTGGGCATTACGTTAGGTTACTGAACAGTAATTTAGGGTTTACATACATCACCAAAAGGAAGACTTGTCTTAAAGAATAACAGTTAATTGGATATGTTTTAGAGGAATCTCCATTTGAATAGCAGTTATAAACATTAAACTTACTAGAGTCTGGTAGTTATTATGGATAACTTGGCACAAAACAAAGGGCAACCTGTTGTGAGGAAAGTCAAAAAGAAGCAGGGGAAGGATGAGCTGGATCGACTCAAACAGGCTGAGAAGAAGAAGAGACGCCTGGAGAAAGCCCTCGCTACCTCTGCAGCTATTCGTGCTGAGCTTGAGAAGAAGAAACTGAAGAAACAAGAGGAACAGCAAAAGCTTGATGAAGAGGGCGCTGCAATTGCCGAGGCTGTTGCCTTGCAAGTTCTACTTGGTGAAGACTCGGATGATGCATGTAAGATCGTCCTAAATGAAGACACTGAGGGTTTTAATCCTTGGGACTCTAATGGCCATTTTAACTTCTTTATGGGTGGAAGGAGCGCTGATGTGCCTTATCACCATAGCCTGAACTACGCGCTTGACCCAGTTGGATGGATCTCACATTCTCAAGATTCTAGAGTTGAGTGGGGTGGTATTGGCGGTGGTGATTGGGGATGTTCCGATGGAACCTATGGACGCGATCTACGTGGTCAATTCATCAAGAATGGAGGTTGGGCTTCTACAGATCTTTCGCCTGGCCTAATTGCAGCCCAAGCTGTTTCCTCTCTGCGGATAAGAGAAGATGGGGATGTGAACACCATTCTTTTGAATGGGATGCTCGGAGGTTAGGCCATTGGCCGAGATATCGTTGCAGTCTGAAAGGGGTGCTTTAACTATGGTTTTTGAAGATGGTTTTCTTCTGTATATATCCGTGAAAGTCGCTGCATTTGCTACGCATCAGAAATGGAACTCGTTAAAGTACTATTGCCGGGTCTTGGGCTATTTTCAAGCCTTTATTTGAGTTATGATGTTTGACAATCAGAGACATGGAAACTCCTGTGGTGTAATTTCTTCAATGGAGAAAATTATCAGCTGTTCTTCCTGGTTTCAGAATGTATGATTTTCTGTAACTTGATGTGCTGTGCGAGATTCGCGTCTCGAGCGTAATAGGGTGACTTGTCTGTCTCTGTTCAATGGACCATAAAAAAGGGCTCTCTTTAAAGAGGCTTTCAGGTTCTGGTTATTCATGCCGTAATTACATTCGGGGGTAACGATACAAATGGTTGATGAACTTTGGTTCAATATGTAATGTGATTCATAAACTTTTAAGTTATTCAATGTAGTACACGAACTTTACCTCAATGTGTAATTTGGTCCCGAATCTTATAATTTGTTCAATGAAAATATTCAATATTGTCCTTCCTTTAATTCAAGTTCAAGGACATCATTGAATAATGTTTAGGGACGGTCTTGTACATTAAGTTAAAATTCAGGGATCACATTGAATAAGTTAGAAATTTAGAGATCATATTACATATTTGGTCAAAATTCAGTGACTATTTGTGTTCATTTACAATGCATTGATCATAGATAATGTTCCGACCAAAAAAAAAAAAAATCATAGATAATGTGAGAAAGACTGTTTTGAGGATGAGAAAGTTTCTTCGTGTAAATGTTTAACAAGTGTTCCTTAGTCACTCGATAATTAAATATGGGATTAAAATTTCCTTTTATCATTTCCCACCATACCAATCATACAAGTTAAGTCGTGTCTTTCTCTCTCTCTAGCAATTTCACGCACCATAGAAAAAGTTCTATTCCAGATTTTCGAGAATGAAGAGTCCCTAATCAAGTTAGCTCAGGGGAAAAATAATATAATATATAGTTAATACATGAAGAGGTAAGCGACGAGCCGACCCAACTATCTACGTAATTCAAAGGATTAGTATTAATCTACCCCATCGTCACTCGAAACCCAATTCTGGATACGATGCATAGATAAATAGAATGGTCCAATAATAAATAGCTCAATCACGAAAAGTTAAAAAATATTTTCACGGCTTGAATTTGAAGAACAATAATTTAGAGATAAATCAAGGTCAGTAAAAAACAAAAAAAACAAAAATGCACATGATCCGTCTCCTTTGGAAGCTTTTGCTCGTTGTGTGAGAAAAAGATTAGATTCCATTCATGGAGGACAAAATAAATGAAGACACATAAACAACAGCGGTATCGGACCTGTCTGGCCAATAACCTCCACGTGTCACGACAAAACATCAAAAACAAAAGCCAAGGGATAAGATATTACGAACGATGCCAACGGAATCTGATTAAAGAATCTCCAGTCCGTTGATGAGCTCCTCTGTGGCAGTCAAACAGCGCGGTGTCTCATCCACCGTCCATGGCGTCCTCCGCCGCCACGGCGGTGGCGCTCGCGACGCCTCTCTCTCGGTCTCCGCCGCCGCCGCCGTCGCCACCACCACGACGGTTCCCTCACCGTCTGCCCCTGGTGGTCCTATCGTCCTCCGATGCTCGCTCCTCTTTCGTCGCTCGCGGCCAGGCGTGCACGTCCCCGTTCAGCTCCGTCGTTTCACCTCCAACAATGCCGAGCACATCGCTCCGAAGCTTGAAACGGACGTGGAAGTTGAGGTCGCTAATCGAGCCGCCTCTTATCTCCGCCGATGATCAGTGGGGCGTGTGGACAGCTCTCTTCGCGACCGGCGCTTTTGGTCTCTGGTAGTGGTATCTGTCCTTGCTCTTTCATGGATCGCACTGTTGGCAGTCTGATTTTAGTTACTCGACACTGAGTATGTTGGCTAAATAAGCGCTTCAAAGAAAAGAATGGACAGGAGGAACAAGCGATTTTGATAGGTAGTGCTAGTTTTTGGCAATGCGAGAGAGAGAGAGTGATTTGGTTCGTTAACTTGAATGCAAGGTCTGAGAAGACCAATATTGGGAGCATGGTGAGCGCTGCACTGGTCAGCACTTTGATCGGGCTTACGGCGAGCAATGTTGGAATCATTCCTTGCGATGCGCCTGCTTACTCGACGGTGTTGGAATTCCTGCTGCCGTTAACTATCCCGTTGTTATTGTTTCAAGCGGACTTGCGCCGTGTCTTTCGATCCACCGGGAAGTTGCTGTTGGCTTTCTTTCTTGGCTCCGGTAATTGCAGTAGCTTTAAGGAGGGCATATGATGAAACTCACTCAAAGATTGATTACCGCATCATGGATAGAATAAGAAATCCTTGCAATGACCTCCCTAATTCTTTAAATCTATGCTTTCTCGAGGCTGGAATCTCTTACTGATCAGTGCTCCTTATTTACCCTGCAATGACATGTATTCAGCACTCGATACCATTCAACAATTGTGTTGGAGCTAGCTCTTCTGCAAGTTCATATAATAAACCAATTTTATCATCCCAGAATAACATTAGCTGACCGCCGCCATCTCTTTTTCGATGATTTACTATGCATTTTAGTCATCATGTTATATTCTCATATGACTCTGTCTTACTCTTTGCAATTTTATAGAAGGATCTTTTGCTTGGACTTCGTTGGAGTAATACTTTCTTTTTTCCAATTGTCACAGTTGCCACTGTAGTCGGTACTGTTGTGGCATTTTTGCTGGTGCCAATGAGATCGCTTGGTCAAGATAGTTGGAAGATTGCTGCTGCTCTTATGGGAAGTTATATTGGCGGATGTGAGTCCTAAGCAAATGCTGCTGCACATCTTTATATATATAACTTAACTCTCAGAAGAACGGATCTTTCTCTTCTCTTTACTATACAATCAGTTTGGCAGCTTTTGATTGTAATATCTTATATATTAGCTCGATTGGCATCCCATCTACGTGATTCTTTCTTCATTTTCTGGTTTTGTCGCATTTATGGCTCATGACTCTAAAAAAGTGTGTAAAATTTCTGTCTTGTTGTTAACTCCTTCTCAATCGAAAGTGTACGATCCTACTCAACATTGATGAGAATTTGCATGATAAATTCAATTGATCATTTCCATAGTCAAGTCTCCTGTTAGTTTAGATTTTCTAGTTATATTGCATTCCGTTTTATAAACAAATTTTCGTACGAGTCACCTGATGTAAGGTGCAAATATATATATACACACACAAGATTAATATCACAAAAAATCCCAAATTGGTACATCTGTGACAATTTTACCCCGAACTAATTTTTTGACCACCAAAAACCCCAACTGGTACGCCTGTGACAAATTTACCCTCCATTAGTTTCCGTTAAATTTTACTGTCAAATTGCTAAGTTCGATGACATGTGGTAGTTGACGGGTATACCAGTTTAGGGTTTTACCCCTCTGTTTGTCACAAGTTTACCAATTTGTGATTTTTCGTAATATTAATCCAATTTAATGGACACTAACGGAAGGAAAATTTGTCACAAATGTACCAGTTTGGGGTTTTTAGTGGTAAAAAAATTAGTTTGAGTTAAAATTGTCATAGGTGTACCAATTTGGGATTTTTGGTAGTAAAAAAAATAGTTCGGGTAAATTTGTCACCAGTGTACCAGTTTGGGGTTTTTGGTAGTCAAAAAATTAGTTCGGGGTAAAATTGTCACAGGTGTACCAGTTTAGGGTTTTTCGTGGTATTAACCCATATATATAGGTTTTTCGTGGTATTAACCCATATATATATTTATCGGTGCACAACATGTTTAATGCCTAACATGACCTACTTTATCCAGCTTGATTATCCACTTTCATGTTTATACTTTTGTGTATTTGAGTTCCCCTACCAAGGGCTAAGACATGCCCGAGCTATTATGTGATTTCTTAATTCTAGAATTACATTCGCTTTCTTGATGATTTAATCAAACATGTCCATTTCTTTCACGAAGTTGATGTCATGACTGACAGATATTTTCTCTTCCCTTATATTGGGCCCTTGATGACTCCTGTAGCTGTTAATTATGTGGCAATCTCCAAGGCTCTTTCAATTTCTCCATCAGTAGTGGCTGCTGGGGTGGCTGCAGACAATGTCATATGTGCTGTATACTTCATGATATTGTTTGCCTTGGCCTCCAGAGTACCTCCTGAGACTTCAAAATCACCCAGCGGTAATGCATTATGTAGCCTTATTTACTGTCATGTCTGTATTTAGTATACCCTTTTCTGAACGCATATAACTGCTTGAATCATATACTTCTCAGACAATCTTGTTCATGAGTATCACACTGGAGCACAAAGCTGATTGATCTTCAATTTTCTGGAAATTCTTTTTGCAGATGTTTCAGTGTCTCTGGAGTTGGATTCTGGAGGCAAGATCCCGCTGCTACAAACTGCTACAGCCGTGGCTACAGCATTTGCCATCTGTAAAATTGGAACTTCTATCACAAAGTTAAGTGGAATTCAAGGAGGAGGTCTGCCAATTATAACAGCTCTAGTTGTCATTTTAGCAACTACTTTTCCTGCACAGTTTGGTTCCCTTGCGCATTCCGGTAATGCTATTTCACTGGTTCTGATGCAGGTAATGGACTAAACAGGGTTATCTTTAGCCTCGCCTCTAGGCGAGATTTGATTCTTCCTTTCTTGCAGTTGATCATCTCACATCTTTTCTGCCCTGTAGCAAATCCAGTGCTATGCGTCATATTAGTAAAATTATAGAGTTGTTGGTGTTCTGCATCTTAAAGTTCCACCATAAGCACAGGACAACCTGCAAGGGTTAATATGACAGCATCTACCCTATTGTTTAATGAAACAATCTAGTCGGCCCTATTTAAAACCAGTTACAAACCCAGGTTTTTGTCAGGTCTATATTCTTGAGAATATAACCTAATGGCCCCAGGGATTCTTTTGATTGGGCAGAAGTTCCCCCAGCATAAGCTTTTGAATCGAAACATCTAAGCTTGTGTGACTTAAAGGACTTCACATCCTAAAATGCAGTAATGGAATTGGATAATTCTTTCTGCAGGTTTTTTTTGCTGTGGTGGGAGCTAGTGGTAGCATCTCGAATGTCATCAACACAGCTCCTAGCATCTTCATGTTCGCTCTAGTTCAAGTGAGCATCCATCTAGCTTTGATCTTAGGATTGGGAAAGCTGTTTCGCTTTGATCTGAAGCTTTTAACTTTGGCATCCAATGCCAATA